TCGAATCGGTAATGCTTGGTACGATTAGCAACACGTGTTGAGCTGCAACAAGAAACTCGAATACCGCTTTGAATTGCGGATTCAATAGTCTTTTGCGGAAAGTCGAGTGGTGGATTGCTGCGAGCGGTCTTTCGTAGAGTGAATTGTTTGCAAAGCTCGGGTTGCTTTACATTTGTTCATCTAATGACACTGAGAGTGTCGATTGAGTAGTTCAGTGGGAGTACTGTGCTGAACGGGCCGAACACGAGTGCGAGTTTGTAGTGGGAGTATTGCGGTGAATCTCACAAAGGACGGGGGCACTTCTAGCATGGTTGCAGTTGATCGAGCTGATTCATGAGTTGAGCCGGACTGACACATGGTGTGGTGAAGTGCATTGACGAGTAGATGCGGACCAAGTGTGAGTTGGATAAGTCAACATCAGGGGATATGCGGCTTCACAGCGTGCTACGAGTAACCAGTGGAGGATGGCGAAAATCCGAGTACAACAAAGTGTCTTTGTCGCATGGCAAACTAGATGCGTTCTAGATGAAGGTGGTACTTGAGGGTACATACACTTTGCTTGATGATGGTGCGGAGAGTGAGCACTCAAGTCAGATATCTTCCTGAGCCATGGCTTTTTGCAGAGACAGACAGCGCCAATGAATTGGAGTCGAAGATACACTTTGGGATCGTTTTGGATTGATTAAAGTGGAAAACAGTCTGCGACTCTAAACTTGATTCGCCGAGTGTGAATGGAAGCGCAAGAAGATCTCTCACTCTCTGGACAGTTGCAGTCGTAGGCAATGGCTGAGGCCATTGTTTGTAGTGACGAGTAGCTGCGGCTACGATGATGTCGACCAAGTGCTTCTCGATTTCCCGCTCGAGTTGTCGGAAGCCAAAGAAGTCAGCTGCGTGCTGATGGTGTTGAATGGATGCTGTTATCTTGGCTGCGTACTAGCGATCAGTGGTTCGACGGTGATATCGGCTACGTACTGGTATGTTTGGTGTGTTCGGTAAAAACCCTAGCTGAGGCTATGGTGGTGGCTTATTGGACTTGGGATGGCGAGTACTTCGACAAATGCGGTTTGATCAAGTACGCGTTGTGCATCCTAAGTTAAGTGGGAGTACGAGAAATCAAGTGTGATTTCGAGGATAACCTAGTCTGCAGCAACTGCGTGTTGTCTGTGACTGAGTAATGGAGTGGTGGTTGAGGACTACGACTACTCGAAGAGACCCGAGGGTTTCTGAGAATGACGTGCAGTTGTTGTGATTGGCTGAAGCCAATGTTGTCGGAAAGAGTCCACGGGGGTTTTACTGCTTGCGGAGCTTTCCCCTACAACAACACTTGCAAGAATAAACATATCCCAATTTGACCCACACCAAGCAAGTCGCTCCTGTTTTATGATCAATCTACTTGTAGCTTTGTTACTGAAGCTCTCCTGCTCCTCGATGCGGTCGACGGACAGGATTCCAAGGTGCTCCATGGGACTGAGAGTCTCGTACGAGCTAATTGGCTGGCTGGCTGGGTAGCTCACCCCTTGCATCAATTTTCATCGCGGGTACACTTTCCTCACTTTATCTGTACGTGTTTTGTTTCTTTCTGAAACCCGATCATTCTGGGTTCCTGCGGTGGTGCGCGTTTCACACGCTCTGCTGAAGTTTTGGGGGCTCGATACCTAGGTAAATAATAGCAGAGGATTAGACAGCGGAGGACAGCGTGAAGGTGCTGTAGGAAGAGGTCTTGGAGGAGGAAGGATGCCCCGGAGGTGCGTGTGTATTAGCAGAAGTCTTGTGTGTGGGGCTTAGTTAAAAGCAGAGTGAGGACTGGAGCGGAGGAGAGTTTCCCCTTATTCTGCAACTAAATAACTGGTCTACATTGTATGGGACAGATCTCCTATCGAGTCCCATGTTCCTGAGTAAAGCATCAGCACGTCGGAGATGCTCAACTTTAACACGCTCAATGACAGCCCAGCTCCGGAGTGTTGAGTGTACTGCAGCATGAATTAATCGTGGCATCTTTACTGATTGCCCCCAGCCTGGCATCGCGCCATACGACAGCATTGTCACGCTTACTATTCTTACGACGATGTCACCCTGAGTTGCGATCGGCAGTCAGACAAGCAGACACCATGAGCGCGCACAGAGCCCGCCATCCAAGCCAGCCAGCCAGCCCGGCCTCCACCCCATTCAGCTGGATCGTCCAGCTAATCAAACCGATGCTTCGGTGGTCGCAACGAGATCCACCACCAGCTCAGGCCTCTTCAACGCTTGCTTGCTGGGACGGCCCTCAAATCCAAGTCGAAGCAGAAACACGCAGCACATGGACGTCGTGCATGTGCTGCGTGCATTGCACGTACGAACGTACCCCTCCGACCGACGGACTGACTGACAGCCGGACGCCACACTGGACCATACAATATCCAAATCAACCGTGATAGAAACGGCCAGAACCGGGACGAACCCTCCCTTAGAAACGAGCAGGAACGAAATTAACAAAGCGTAACCCCGCAATAATCTGCCGCTCCTGTCGCACTCGCGTACAGCATGAATGCACACGGGCGACCGTCCGCCGGCCACGCTTGATACTGACTGCTCCCGCCGGCCGGCCATCCCGGAGGCGCGGAGATGCAAGCTCGCCTCGGCCCATGACCATTCTGCATTTCACCAGCTACTGGTCAAGCAACAACACCAACCACCCCACCATCAACTACCAACGCAAATCGACATGGCTCCACTGCCGTCCGCAGCAATGGCCACGCCCAACGTGGCATCTATCGCTGCCACCACCGCTGCCGCTCAGCCGTCCGACGACGCGGCCGACAAGGTCGAGTGCGGCTACGCCGTGATGCCCACGACCCCCAAGGCCATGCCGTTCGCCGCCCTCGCCTCCAGCGGCGCAAAGCCGCAGGGCCTGGCCCGCTTCGCCGTGCAGAGCGTGCACGTGCGCGAGTGCTTCGCCGAGTTCCTCGGCACCTTCGTCATGATCGTCTTCGGCATGGGCGTCAACAACCAAGTGACCAACTCGCAGGACGCCAACGGCACGTGGCTCAGCATCAACATGTGCTGGGGCATCGGCGTGCTCATCGGCGTGTACTGCTCCGAGGGCATCAGCGGCGCCAACCTCAACACGGCTGTGACGTTGGCGCACTGCGTCTACGGCCGCCTGCCGTGGTGGAAGGCGCCGGGCTACATGCTGTCGCAGCTGCTGGGCGCCTTCTGCGGCGCCTTCGTCATCTACGTCATGCAGTACCAGAACCTCAACGTCATCGACCCGCAGCGCGAGACTACGCAGAGCAGCTTCGCCACGTACCCGCGGGACAACATCTCCAACTACACGGCCTTCTACACGGAGTTCGTGGGCACGGCCATGCTGGTGCTCAGCATCTACGCCATCACGGACAAGCGCAACCGCGCGGCCGGCCCCGTGGGCGCACCCTTCGCCTTCGCCCTCATGATCATGGCGCTCGGCATGGCCTTCGGCATGAACACGGGCTACGCCGTCAACCCGGCGCGTGACCTGGGCCCGCGCCTCTTCACGGCCATCGCCGGCTGGGGATCGAAGGTCTTCACGCTGCGTCACTACTACTTCTGGATCCCGATCGTGGCCGATTCGCTGGGCGGCGTGTGCGGCGCGGGTCTGTACCGCCTGTTAGTTGAGATCCACCACCCGCGGGGCCCGCTGCTTTGAACGAGCGGTCCGAATGTGAGCGAGAAGCGGGGAGAACCGAGAAAACCACAGCGCGCAGCTAGCGCCTCCATCACAGCGCAGCGAGTGCTTGCGCTCGCTATTTTATAGATTGTAACCAGTGCAATAGATTATTTGGATTTCTACCGTCATCAATTGCAACACACCGCACTCTCGTACACAGCTCTACCTTTTTGGAATCTAAGCATTGTCATCTAGTACGACCCAAGCTCTCAGTACCTTGATGGCGCCTGGAAACAGCACCGGCACCGGGCCAGCACCACCATTGGCCTTGATGCGTCTTGGTGACCGCTTCTGAGCAGGCGGTGCTCCTCGTCATGGTAACATCTGAACCGGCCCTCAATCGACTGGATCCAGCGCAATGAGACGGAGCTGTCAGCACGCGAATCCTTGCCAGCAACGCTGGAACCACCTCAGCTCATCGCGGTGTGCCAGCTAATCGGCGCTTGCTTGCCTCCATGGCCATTTGCCGAGCATGTCAGTCTCGGGATCCAAAGAGTATTAATAGCCATACGGCGCTTCAAGATATACATGCCCATGCACAGGCCGACCGAGCACGGCTCGCGATCCGAGGGCCTCGGACCGAGGCTCGAGACTCGAGGCTCTAGTCAAGTTAAACAAGCGCGTAGACGCTGCGCGTGCGCAAGAGAGGGCGCCAGCGCCGCACGTTGCTTGCTCAGAAACTGAAGCAAGGCACGGACCGATGCCACTCTCGCGGATGCGCTCGTCATACGGTATCCTTTTTCGCTGCAGCGACACGGGCCCCGCGGCGGGCCGGTATGGTCGCCGCCTCGCAGATTAGGCCGCCGCCGCATCATACCCAATGCCTGGCCCAGCGGGCGAGCGACAGCACTGTGTGGTGCACCCGCTGTGAAGGCTCCACAGGGCCTCTCGCTCCGATCGATCTGAACCACCTCAAATCGGCGGCGTATCGCGGCAGCCCACCGGTTTTAATCAATCTCCACAGCCAAGGGCCGTATTAGTCCTCTGCACCGTCATCCCCATCCTAAAGACACGCGCCGAAACCGAACGTCACCCCAAGCAGAAAAACGAATCAAGATTAATCCACCGGCGCACGTAGCATTGCGATCGACCAGCAACGGTGTCCTTCGCGGCAGACACTCGCAGGCGCAAGAGTACCATTCTGCATTTCACCAGCAACTGGTCAAGTCCTCCACTCACTCACTCACTCACTCACTCACTCACTCACTCACTCGCTCGCTCGCTCCACAGACCGCGAGTACTGTAGTGCTCTGCAGTCCACATCACCACCACCGCCAACAACAACAACAACAACCAAACCGACTCCGTCGCCATGGCTTCCAAGCAAGACACGAACATCGCCGCCGTCTCCTACGACGAGCTGGTCGACAAGGTCGAGACCGGATACGTCGACGCGCCGAGCACGCCCAAGGCCGGCTCCGCCTCGCACGGCAAGGCCCCGTCGCGCTACGCCGTGCAGAGCGTGCACATGCGCGAGTGCCTGGCCGAGTTCCTCGGCACCTTCGTCATGATCGTCTTCGGCATGGGCGTGAACAACCAGGTCGTCAACTCCGAGGAGAAGAACGGCACGTGGCCAGGCATGCCGAAAATACGATATATATCTATTTTCTCAAGTTAACGAAATACGTATTTGTTTGTGTACCAAGGAGAGAAGAAATAAATAATCTGAAGACCCCGTGCTGACGCAGTAAATTATTCAGTAAATTGCTGCAATCGTGTTACCTTCATGGGTTCTTACAAACACTGCCCACGGTCGCCACATCCGTGTTAAGGTTGCTGAACAACATCATTTTAGCATATAGGGAAAATTTGATGGCGTTAACACAATGAAAATTAGGGGAAAAAACTTCTCAATCATGAAGGATATATTCAACCGCAGAAATAAAATCTAGAAGTTTTGATCTAAGCTGGAATAAATACCGGATAAACCAAGGAGGTATACCTACAATAAAATATTGATTCCGAAAATACAAATATATTTCCGGGCGTATTTATTTTTCGGGATCCCTGCACGTGGCTCAGCATCAACATGTGCTGGGGCGTGGCCGTACTCATCGGCGTGTACTGCTCCGAGGGCATCAGCGGCGCCAACCTCAACACGGCTGTGACATTGGCGCACTGCGTCTACGGCCGCCTGCCGTGGTGGAAGGTGCCGGGCTACATGCTGTCGCAGCTGCTGGGCGACTTCTGCGGCGCCTTCGTCATCTACGTCATGCAGTACCAGAACCTCAACGTCATCGACCCGCAGCGCGAGACCACAGCAGAGCAGCTTCGCCACGTACCCTAGCGACACCATCTCCAGCTACACGGCCTTCTACACGGAGTTCGTGGGCACGGCCATGCTGGTGCTCAGCATCTACGCCATCACGAATAGCAACCACAGTGTACCTAACATGTAGAGTAAATATAAACGAAGGCCAATGAGCACACTTTGGTTAAATAATGTATTTTCGTTCCGTTTAGCAGTCTTCACATAGCCTACCATCAGCTAAAACGCACACTTGTCTACGACTGCAATCGCGTTCTAGTGCACTCTTCCTTCCGCTTAGAGCAGAGGCGTCTGGGGGTGGTGGATCTCCACCATGAGACGATAGAGACCGGCACCAGCTACGCCGCCAAGCAGGTCCGACACAATGGGGATCCAGAAGTAGTAATGATGCGAAGTGAACGTCTTCGTTCCCCAGCCAGCGCACAACGTGAAGAGACGAGGGCCGAAGTCACGCGCCGGGTTCACAGCGTAGCCAGTGTTCATGCCGAAGGCCATACCCAGAGCCATGACCATCAGAGCGAAGGCGAAGGCGTTGCCGTACTTGCCGGCGGGACGGTTCTTCTGGTCGGTGATGGCGTAGATGGCAAGCACCAGCATGGCCGTGCCCACGAACTCCGTGTAGAAGGCCGTGTAGTTGGAGATGCCGTCAGCAGGGTACGTGGCGAAGCTGCTCTGCGTGGTCTCACGGTTGGGGTCGATCTTGTTCAAGTTCTGCCACTGCATGACCCAGATCGTGAACGCGCCGCAGAAGGCGCCCAGGGACTGCGAGAACATGTAACCGGGGGCCTTCCACCACGGTAGACGGCCGTAGACACAGTGGGCGAACGTCACAGCAGTGTTCAAGTTGGCGCCGCTGATGCCCTCGGAGCAGTAGACGCCGATCATGACGCCGATGCCCCAGCAAATGTTGATGCTGAGCCACGTGCCGTTGGCGTCCTGCGAGTTGGTCACTTGGTTGTTGACGCCCATGCCGAAGACCAGCATGACGTACGTGCCGAGGAACTCGGCCAGGCACTCGCGCAGATGCACGCTCTGCACTGCGAGCCGGTACATGCCCGTGCGCTTCTCGGCCATGATCGGCACCAGGTCCGTCGCCTTGGGGGTCGTGGGCCTGTTGGCGTAGCCGCTCTCGACCTTGTCTGCTTTAGCGTTGATCACGAGAGTCTCTTGTTGGGGCGTCGGGGCCACGTCCTCCGTCGCGTACTTGACCATGGCGATGATGTGTTGGTCCGTGAGGCAGATCCAAGTCTGGTGTTGGTGTTGCTTGTGTACTTGGAAGTACAAATGATAATGGGACTGGGGAACCAAGCGGAAGCAACTCGCAGAGACCTTCGAGTCTGCCGGCATCTCTCATGCGGGTTGCTGCATAGGCTGTCTGAGCCCAAGCAAGCGAGGCCAGCTACTGTGGGATTCTCGGCATAGCATGATGGTTATGGGGACGAGAAATGCAGGACGATTAACGCGAAAAAATACTAGGACAACTATGATTGACGACACGTACACGCTTCGAGCTTGCCACGACGCTCTCGGTGGACGACGTCAGCCCATACAGAAGTGTAAGGCTGGATTGGTTCATTCCCCTCAAGTGGCCTTGATTCCTCACGCTTTGGACCTGAAACGGAGGGAGTGTAGTGATGGGGTTCAAAGAAGCGGGGGGGGTCTATTATGCTTGGGGTCCTGTCACACTCCACGTCTCAATCTGCACCCCAGATTAATGCTCGCGTCTCTGCTGGATTCGCTATGGAAGTGTCTGCGGTTAATAGGGCGCCGCGAACTAGCGAGTCATGCTCCTCTGTGTAGTGCTTTCGGACGAATGTATGGCTTGCTGCGCTTGCGTTTCCGTCACACCAAAGAGGCCAAGAGGGTGAGGCTGGAATGTGTCTGCCGAGTTGGTGTATCGGATTTGCGTTGAAGTCGCCGCTGTTTCGAGCGTTAAACGAGCCTACGGGTATGGTTGGTGCTTGGTGGTTTGTGCAACAAACGATGAGCGTTGAAGCTAAAGGAACCAAGCACCATAAGAGCCAATCTACAGTTATTGCCTCCTTCCGTGGCCGAGCCCGAGCTAGGAGCTGAGTTGGCAGACTAGCTCAGCTTGGAAGGCCCCGATCCGACTCGGATTCCGAGGTGGTCACAACGATGACGCACCTTGCCATCGCTGCCAGGTTGAAGTGAAGGTCTCACTGTGAGACCTTGGCACGTGAGACCTTGGCACTCTCGGACCCGTGTCCATGGCCCAGGGCTGTCGGGGTGGAATCCACCAATCCACCGTGGATTGTGTGGTGGGCGTCGCATTCTCGAATCGAGTCCATCGTAGCTTGAGGTCACGAATGCTCAGAATCCGACGAACGAACACGCTCGGATCAAAAGGATCTGACGAAGCTCCAGCAGATCATTTCGGCTTTGGAGCCGTCGAGCACAAGCGCGTTGTCATATGATGCTGGTATGGATAGGATTGATCGACCAAAGCAGAGCAGAGCGGGCTCCTTTGACCGGAGACTTGACGCGATGAACGCCTTCTGTCACGTAAACGCATAGTATATATATCGTTATTTTATGAAAGCCACGAAGGCTCGAGCTCGACCACAACACTGACTACTACTTGGAGCTCGTGCGTCGACCCCTTCTTGGTCGTCGTTGAGCGCTGGTCTTCTCCTTAAGGGAGCGTCTGCGGCGGGTGGTGGATCTCCACGAGCAGAATGTACAGTCCGGCGCCGATAACACCGCCGATCAGCGGGCCCACGATGGGGATCCAGAAGTAGTGGTCGCGCAGGGTGAAGACCTTGGAGCCCCAGCCAGCGATGCTCGTGAACAGGCGAGGGCCGAAGTCGCGCGCCGGGTTGATGGCGTAGCCCGTGTTCATGCCAATGCACATGCCCAGAGCCATGATCAACAGGCAGAAGGCGAACGGAGCGCCCACAGGTCCGGCCGGGCGGTTCTTCTGGTCCGTAATGGCGTAGATGCCGAGCAGCAGCATGGCCGTACCGACCACTTCAGTGTAGAAGGCCGTGTAGTTGGAGATGTTGTCGCTCGGGTACGTGGAGAAGCTGCTCTGCGTGGTCTCGCGGTTCGGGTCGATGACGTTCAGGTTCTGGTACTGCATGACGTAGATGACAAAGGCACCGACGAAGGCCCCAAGAACCTGTGAGATCATGTAGCCCGGAGCCTTCCACCACGGCAGACGACCATAGACGCAGTGCGCGAGTGTCACGGCCGTGTTCAGGTGTGCACCACTGATGCCTTCCGTGCAGTACACACCGATGAGCACGCCGATGCCCCAGCACATGTTGATGCTGAGCCACGTGCCGTTCTTCTCCTCCGAGTTGGTCACTTGGTTGTTGACGCCCATGCCGAAGAGGATCATGACGAAGGTGCCCAAGAACTCGGCGAAGCACTCGCGCAGATGCACGCTCTGTACGGCGAAGCGAGACAGCCGCTGCAGCTTAGCGGGGGCGGCGGCCTTGGGCGTCAACGGCATGTCGTTGTAGCTGGCCTCGTGCTTGCCGTCGACGTCCTCGAACGGCTGCGGCACTTGGACGTCCTGGGTCTGGTTGGACGGGAACGGAGCCATTGTCGGGGGTGTTGACGGGTTTTGAGGGGCAGTGGCTCGTAGACGTCAAAAAGGAGAATGAGCAGCTCTGGAGCCGCCGACCCAAGCGATGTACTGTACGAGAAAGTGCCGTCAACAACGAGTCTCTTGTTGGCGCTGGTGCAGAGGCACCTGGATGGGAGCCAGAGTCCTGGCGTGAGAGCGCTCGGACAAGTTCAACGCCAACTCTCGACTCGGCTTGACAGGTCAGAGTCCTTGCGTGTCGAGCAGCGACACGGCGAGGGACCCGTAAGCTGCCAAAGCGAAGCAGCATCGTGGGACGATCGTGTTGATATGAGCGCAGAGGTCCATTACAGCTCAAGGTGCGCGAGGAAGCATGGTTTGCTAAGTGGAGGGATTCTGGCGGATATGCGCGGCTGGAGGTTATCAATTGTCAGCTGCGTGTTACGTGAATCGAGACCGCCGAAAATGTGCGCGAAGCTCGATTGACGAGCGGAGGGAGGAATGGCTCACAAAAGCTCCACGTTCGAGACGGACCTGTACTCTCCAGGGTTTCTAGAGTACACGATTCAAACTCGAAGTACATGTATTAATTTGCGGGCAGCGTGCGATGAGCCGCTGAGTCAGGGTCTGGAGCAACGCGGACTGGCCGATCCACTCCTGAAGTTTCACAAATCCCGTACGCACGGCGCCGAAGCAGCACGCCGGTCGATAATCGCGTGGCAGCACGTTTGTCGTCGCGCGATTAGTGAGTTCAAGCTGCAGCGGCGTTGGCTCAAGTTCAAGTGGAAGCAACATTGCGCAGCGCCGATATTCCAGGGCGAGCAGTGGCGATGCTGACTCGCATCCGCCAGCGAGTGAGTAGGGCCGGGGTATTCCAGTGAAATCCATCCTTTCCAGGCCAAAACTTTAAGGTTCAAGCGCGGTGAGCCGGAGCGTGCACACGCGGAGTGCAAGGTGCTCCCTCCGCTCCGACTTGCTCGCGTTATGGTGCCGCGCGCGTGGCAAATTAAGGCTGGCGTGCGAGCGAATTAATCACTATTAACGAGCTGGGCGACATACACTGCGGCTGCGGAGGCGATGCCGAGGCTACTTCGGCACTTGGCGCTCGTGCAGACATTGGAGGATGGGCTCCCGCTGGTGCTTGGGGCTCTTGAGGCGCGACCTGAGTTTCTGAAGCCGCCCCGCTCAGCACTTCAGGATCCGCGCGCTTCGACTTGGATCCGATTCGAGAGGTTTGGATCTCGCATGCTGTTGTTACTAACAACTTGTTAGTTGGACCGGTCAACTGTGTGGCGCTGTCTTTGTGCTCGCCACGGCGATCTTGATCGGCCGCAGCCTGCGAGCGTCGAAGCAACCCTGGACTGCAGACGAAGGCAAGTGTGCTTCGGCTCACCTTCGAGCTGGATGACGCCTCGCTGACGCGCGCAGGCTGGCAGCAGCGTCAACGTGGGTCAACCCGTCTCCACTTCTTACGAAGAACTGTTGGCGCTGCATCCTTCATTGCTGGATGAGCGGCGTTGAAGCTTTGCCAGAGCGATGCAATGCCTCAACTTGGCGTTGTTAGTCACTCGTTCGCTGCCCAGGTTTCGTTAATCCTCTATAGAAGGGCGGTCTACGTCGTGGCGCATGTAAGACAGTCCTATGTCGGTTGGCTCTATCGTGCACGCTCTACTTCGCCAAATAGAGAGTAACTGCGCTAACACTGCACTGATGGCAAAGGCGTCGTTGGCAGCTTTCAATTGTGGCGCGCGTTAAAGCTGCTGACGGGTGTTGTGCAGTATTCTGGATGCATTGATTTGCTGCACGCAGCTTTCGAGTAGGTTTCTTTAGACTACCGACAGTGCTGCGTTGACAACCGAAGTGTTTCAGGATCTTAACTCGCTCAAACGATGGGGTGGCCATCGTTGTAGTAAGTGCAGCAACTTGGGGCTGAGAAGAACGTCTCAATCGCAATTCCTGGCGCCAGCCTTGTGTCGTTTCAAGATCCGTGATGTGGTGCCGCACACAATATTTGTCTATGCAGCCTCTATCGCGTTTCTTGCATTCGCGTCAAAGGCGCGCGATGGCGATATTCCAGCACTCATGCCATTCTCCGACCGTCGGGCTCTCGGCTCCCAGGCAAGACTTACCCCCACGATCCCTTCTGCCGTGGAGGCAATAGCTTACCCCGCTCTTTGACTGTGATTTCGTCAGCCCCCCCCCCCCTCGACTGAAGCTTAGTAGAACCAAGCCCACACTCAAGGCCAACACAGCAATGCTCGACGTCCACCTGGGACTACTGCAATACGGCGTTGCCGACGTCGTGGACGAGGACGGCATGATCGTCGCACAACGTGTGCAGGTGGCTCTCGTAGTACCGCCGCGACTCCGGAAGTGGTTCCACACAGTGTCCCGGTATCTCCAATCCAGGCATCTCTACTCCTGCTAGTTAAGATCAGTCTCAGTAAACTCCCGTACATTAAACGCCGTCGCTTGTATATTCAGATCTGTTGTGTATTAACCTTTAAAGCACTCGGGAAGCTACTGAAGCACGTCGCTCTCCTCCTCGTCGTCGTCGCCGTGCTGCAGCTGCACGATGAAGAAGTACGACCCAGCGCCCATAACGCCCCCAATAGGCGGACCGAGGATCGGGACCCAGAAGTAGTGCGCGTGGTCGCTGAACACCTTTGGGCCATACCCAGCAAGAAGTGTGAACAACCGCGGCCCGAAGTCGCGCGCGGGGTTCAGCTCGTAGCCGGTGTTCATGCCCAGCGCCATGCCCAGCGCCATGAAGAGCATCGCGAACGCGAAGGGCGTGCCGACCGGCCCGGCGCCGCGGTTGCGCTCGTCCGTGATCGCGTAGATCGCCATCAGCAGCAACGCCGTCCCCAGTGTCTCGCTGTAGAACGCAGTGAGGTTGGAGATATTGTCTCTCGGGAACGTCGCGAAGTTGCCTTGAGTGGTGTTGCTGTCCGGGTCCTCGTCCATCAGCCGCTGGTAGTGCAGCACGTAGATCAACGCAGAGGCGCAGAATGCCCCAAACGTCTGCGCTAGCGCATACCCGGGCATTTCCACCATGGGAGACGGCTGAACACCGCGTGCGTGAAGGTGACGGCCGTGTTCAAGTGCGCGCCGCTGATCCCCTCCGCGACGTACACGCCGATGAGCACACCGATCCCCCAGCAGAGGTTGACGCTCAGCCACGTCCCGTTGGCGTCGTCTGAAAGGTTCACCTGATTGTTCGCGCCGATACCGAAGCACAGGAACACGAGCGTACCGAGTAACTCGGCCAGGCACTCGCGCATGTGCACGCTCTTGGTCACGAACAGGATGTGCTCTCGACTGCTTGGGGGAATGTAGATATGACTGCGGTTGGTTTCGTGCAGCATCGTGTATGTCGATTGAGACCGAGGCATGCGTCGGCGGTGCTGCGGCACGTTGCCGCCTCCGGTCTTGGTGTATCGGTGAATCTGGTAGCCCGACTTGTCGGTGAGGGAGAAGATGTCCCCGCTGTTCACGAAGCTTGCTTCCTCCATGCTGGACGCTTGGTGTTTTCGTGTCGTGGCTAAACTGATAATGAACAAGGGTCGGCAGCAAGCTCTGTTGAACTGTACTACGAACAGGTTCCTTCTTCGTGGATGAAACCAGGGTTCCATTTGGTTTGCCAGCTAAGAGACACTTGATCCGGCGGTATCTGATACCCGGAAGTCAAGATCCAGCAGCTGCCGAAGTTCAAGCAGCTGCTGCGCGTGGAGGCCTCGGGGATGTGAGGCCAGGAGCGCCCCCCCCCCCCCCCTCGGAGCCTGTAGGACACAGAGAACACACAGAACACAGAGAACAGTAAGAGTCTAATGTCAGTTTGGGATTAGCACAGCTTGTGCAATCTGAGCAGACAGATCAAAGTCGACTTTAGTACTGTGCTGCGCAGGCGCAGACTCCGCGTGACACGAAGACACGAGTGACAAGATGGCCGACTCGGACGAGCGGCTGGCCGAACGTACGGCGGCGATGCGGCTGGACAGCGCACCGTCCCCCTCGCGTCCGGCAGACCTGGAGATCCTGATCCCCAACCCCTTCGAGCGCAGAGACGACGAAGGCCACGGTGCGAGTAACGCCGAGATGCCTACGGCGAGCCCGAGGCAAGGACCAAGGGATGGAAGGATCGCGGCGGCGCCGGCGCTGCCGCAGCCCCCGATGCACTCGGGGCGCACCATGCAAGACCGGCGCGACTTCATGCACAAGTACGAGGGCTACTTGGTGAAGGTGAACGCGCTGCAGACGGAGTGGACAGCAGCGCTGGCCATGCCCGTGAGCGCATGTATCGAGACGGATACACGACGCATGATCGCTCGCTGGGAGTTCAGCGGAGCCTCACCCGAGACGATCACGGAGGAGCAGTGGAAGGACTACTTTCGCCAGGCTCTGGTGCCTACCTTTGTGGACTACGCGTCGATCGACACGGCCATGAAGTCCCTGAAGATGCAGACGAAGTGGCCGGAGTCTGAGAGTCGCATGATGCACTTGCAGGCCGACATGGAGGCCATCCTCAACCGCTTCAACGTCACGGACCTGGCGTTCAAGCACGAGCTGCGCCGCCTGGTCGGCTACCTGACGAAGGCTCTCGAACCTGTGAGCTTCCGCGAAGTCGTGGCGACCAAGCTGACGCTGCAGGAGTTCAAGCCGTTGAAGAACGACGCCATCGGCTTCTGCAAGTACGTCGTGGAGCTCATGCGGGGCTTCATGACCTGGGAGCATGCAGCCGAAGCTGCTGCCCGCTCCAGCACTAGCAGCTCTGGCGGGCGGGGCGGCGGTCGTACCAGCACTACCCACTCTGGCAGCCGAAGCGGCGGAGGTCGTGGCAGTGGAGATACAAGCGCCGGGCAGTCCGGTGGTGGTAGTCAAGCCGGTGGCGATGCCAGTAACCGGACCAGTGGACGCGGCAGCGGCGGACGTGGAGGTAACCGGAGTGGACGTGGAGGCGCAGATGGTCGTGGTGGCGGAGCTGGAGGCCCGCCTGTCGGAAAAGGAGGGCCGGACGGCGCCGCACGACCTCGCGGTACCTGCCTCAAGTGTGGCTCGACGCAGCATCAAGTCCTGAGCTGCCCAGACACCCAACCCGGTGAGGCCGAGCGCCTGCTGGCGGAACTGCGCGCGCGGCGTGCGGCTCCTATAATTACCTTGCGTCGAGTCGAGACCGTGGCCGAGCCTGGCCATGAAGCTGCGGCAGCGACAGAGCCATCAGGCGCAGTTGAAGCGCGAGTGGATGGACTGAAGGTCCACGCTCTCCTCCTCGATACGGGGGCCGACGAGTCGTTGGTCGCCCAGGGCGTCGTGGACGCCATCAAGGCCCGCGGAACACCGGTCTTCTTGCGCCGCGCACACTGTCGCCGATCGGAGGCAAGGACTTCGTCGTCCATCAGGCAGTAACGTTCCGCGAGGTGGAGTTAGCCACGTCGGCCGGACCCTTGATGCTAAGGAACTTGGCTTGCCTGGTGGAAGACGGCAACACGTCGCTGGACTTCACGCTGGGGCGGCCCATCATGACCGTGCTCGGCTACTCGGCCGACGAACTGCTCGTGCGTGCTCGAGGCACTAAGTCGAAGTGGGAGCTTGGTGACAAAGAGCAAGTGGGGGACGACGCCGAGACAACGGCGCTCCAGCGCATGTGCCGGATGCAGACGCGCGCAAGAGACATCGCGTGGGACACAATGGTCCTAGAGGGACTCGTGGACAACACGGCGCCTACCGACCAGGACTGGGGTGGCAGCGACACCGTGCACGGCGGCACAGACTCGCCCGAGCCCATCTTCAAGACGAAGAACCTCACGCCCGCTTATTGGCAGTTGCCCTGTCTTCAAGTGGGGCCCAAGTGCTGGCCTTCCAGACGCGGGATGGCTCTCCGCGTTTCAGTCGCGCGCCCGCAGGAGCCCACGCGACAGCCATCGAGAATGCCGATGCTGTGGAGAGACACGAAACCCGCACAGCGTTGCCATCGCTCCGGTTGTATGACTCCTCAGCCGTGCACGACATGTTGGATTCGAAGCTCGCGGCGGCGCGAGCGAAGGGTCTGTCCGCGAAGGGGGTCAAGCGACTGCGGGAGATCCTGCTGCGACGCCAGGACAGTTTTCGTCTGGAGTTTGGGAGCGACCCGCCGGTGAAAGTGGCGCCACTGCAAGTGCGCGTGAAGGTCAACGCGGAGCCCACGAAGGCGCAGCCAAGGCGCTACTCACCGGACGATAGGGCGTTTCTTGACCGCCACACGGCCAAGTTGCTGGAGTTCGGGCTGGTGTTTCTGAACCATCGCTCCCGTTGGGCGTCTGCGCCGCGGATTGTCCGCAAGAAGGAGCAGGTCTCGGACCCGACGGCCGACACGCGAATGACGATTGACACCAGAGGCGTCAATGAGCGTACGGAGGCTATGCCGTGGCCCATGCCCGTGCTGGAGGTCGTCCTCGGCGCCTTGGAAGGAGCCAAGGTGTTCTTTGCCTTGGACTGGTTCCGGGGGTATTGGCAGTTGCCGCTGCACGAAGACTCGCAAGCGCTTATGAGGCGAGGCCGATGAAACCTTTGTCGCCCAGGGGGGTTCGTATAGCGCAGCCCAAGACTGTTCCCCAGGGGTAGACCCAGAGAATCGACTTGAGAGCCAACAGCAAGAAGATAGACCCAGAGATTCGCAGCCGCAAAAGCTTTAAACCCTGTGAATCACACTCCTTGGTTGGCGTGGGTACCTTGTGTAATCCCTGTCGGCTCGTTTGTCTTCGACGGAACGGCACTCCACCGGTTGAAAATGTAGCCTCGAAGAAGTGCGGGAGCGCACGTCTACTTCAGAACGCACCTCCACACCAAAAGGCAAACCCAGAGAATCAGATCCCCTGAAACCCAGAATATCACGAATTCAGGGTCCAGGATTTCAGTCAACTCTGGGACTTAGAACTCAGAAGACACCTTACCCAAATGCCCTCCTAGCTCGATAAAACCAACAAATACAGAGTATACAAACACTACAACTAGCCGTCACTTATTCTTTTGGACCCTTGGACGGTGGGTCACACACACTAGGTCTGAAATTCAGGGACCTAGCTCCCCTGAGACTCACACAAACGCGCACCACCTCCAATAAAGGAGGAAAATACAATCACTATCAGTTACATTCTCTTCACACAAGCAGTCAATACAAAATCCTGGAGGCGACTACCTAGCACCCCAGAATACCCTCTGGAATAATATGAAATGGGCTACCACGAGCACAGCAAGTGACCCAACTAGGATATGGAATAGATGGATCACCCCAGGAAGCTCAAGGCCGTCGCTGGTCACCACCTAACTGGACTTGAGTTTTGATGGAGCCCACACAGACGGCTGTCCTTCGCTGTTGATGTGCCCTTAGCGTCCCGCGGTCGTAGTCTCGGGTCCTCCGGATTTCCGTCCGCAGGCTTGGTCGAAGTCACTTGCGCAGTACAGGGTAAAAGGAACCCTTTATTAATCTCAACAGACTAGGCCTCAACAAGCCAGAATACCAATTATTAGACCTCAACAGGCCGACCTCAACAGGTCATTTCCCAGGATTTTTCTTCAACAGTCTTCAAATTCTTCAACAACTTCAGGGTGGTGAGAGCTTGTACGCATCTTCCGTCCACAACTCCCAGCGTTCGTCCCATGGTCCCCAGGGCAACTTCTTCCTGTGAGCAATTCCATGGTAACGCACATTCAGGATTTCAGCATCAGTCCCATGGTCCCGCCAGGCATCTTCCTTCTGGTGAGCCGCCCCATGGTAATCCGCATCGTGGATGTCAGCGTTAGTCCCGTGGTCCCCCAGGCATCTCTCTTCTGGTAGGCAGCTCCAAGGTAACTTGCGTACGACAGGGAAAAAGGAACTCTGTTTGGTTTTTATCGGCTACTTCTCTCTCTCTCTTCTTCGGGCAAATACCTTCTGTTCACTATGCTTGGGGTCAAAATGTCTTGTCTTGAGTATACCTTGGGATCAGCGGTCCAAGCTTGCGATCGGCTTGCGAATCCATTGTCGCACGGCGTCGAAAGTGCCAATAGTGGGTCCTTAGACTTGGTTTAGTATGGTGCAGGACTCCCTCTCGACTATCCAGTCTGTGCATCCATGACGGTTCTTCAAGGTCACGCATCATTTTGATTGCAGACTGGCTTCGAACTGACTCGAATCCCTGAAAACCAGGTGACACTCAGGGTCATCTTCTGAAATCCTGGGAATTCTGGGGAATCTTGGGGAACTGTGGGGATTCTTGGGGAACTGTGGGGATTCTTGGGTGTTGGCTCGGGAAACACTTAAGTTCAGTATAGAGAGTCTGGATTTATGGTCCAAACCCAGAGAATCATCTTTGGAACTCTGGGTCGCCTGTACTCAGGGAGGTGATCTCTGGGTCATCGTGCGGCACTCTGGGTTTCCGTGCAGCGCTCTGGGTAACAAGTCTGCTACATTGCAGGCCTGCGTGCATCTCCACAAAGCCACACTTTTAGCGGGTTTAGCGGCCTCCTGCGCATGATCACGGTGGTAGTGGGTTGATTTTCAGGGTAATTTGATCCTCTGGGGCACTCTGAGCCAGGTGTACTCTGGGATACATTCTCCAGAGACACTTTCCGCCAGACTTTAGGCACTCATCGTAAGGGAAAGTCCGCAGCTTGTACCCACGAGGGGGAAACGGAGTGTATCATGGCCACCGCCTCTGGTGGGGTTGAGGCTTGGCAAGCACTGCACTCTCTTGCGAGGCTCGTCCGGCGTGGCATCCTGCACGACTTCCAGTTACTCTGGTCTCTGGTGATCCCCATTGTGCGCGTAGGGGCGTAGGGGTGACGATCAGAGACTGAGGCTCTGACCGTACCGAGCGGACGTGTAGCGATCGCGCGGGCTGTGGCCGCGTGTCAGGCGACAGCTCTAGCGAGGACTGGGGCCTCGCAGTGGGAGCGGCCGTTACGTTGATGAGATCGGGTCCTGACGGAAACGGAGAGCGGCCCGTGGGAAGGGCTCCGCGGGGGACAGAATGACTGGCGGAGTTTTCTACCAGGTTGCGCTTGTACGAACGAGCAAAAGGGTTAGCTGTATTGCGTGACTCCTTGATCGCGTCTACAATCTGCACAGTACGCTCGTCTTCTGAACCGGTGCCCACCATAACGTCCGCGCGCCGAGCGTGTTGCGAGTGTCAAACCTTCTGTCCAGGCCGTGTTTGACCGACACGACCCGGACTTCTTCACTTGTCGCTCAGCATTTTGCAGACACCGCCGAGGCGAGACGTGATGTAGTTACGAAGCTTAAGTGCAATGGAGGCTGGTACAAAGTGGAGGCGGTTCTTGAACGTGCAGTGGTCCGGGTCGTGCGGGTTGCAGCCGCGTTGAGATATATAGTGGAGACAAACCTCCTTACCGTCTCTGACTGGGATGCTTGCCACTACATCCGCGAGGATTCTGCGCTCTGCTGCCAACGTGCGACAGCGCCCTGTCACTGGAGGCGAGCCTGATGGACCCATGGGGCTTCTGCTGGGCGCCGCAGGACCGCGTCCTCCTTGCATGATGCGGTCCCCAAGAACCGCAAAGAGGAGAGTGTGGACTTCCGGGTTTGCCGTGGAGAACCACAAGGCTGCTTCCGATCTGTATGCCGTTCCGTCGTGAAGATCTCGCAGAAACGCACTGCGATACTTCTCCAGCGTCGCATCGATCCACAACACCAGGATAGGTAACTCATCGTCGCGGATCTGCTTCCAGCCTTCCATTGCGAGGACAAACTGGTCCAGCGCCTCCGCTACGCGTACGGTCGTAGTGTCACAGAGATCTCTGCAGTACTCCACGAAGCTGCGTGTCGATGAGCTGTGGTCAGCCCAGGTGCTGGGCGTCTCCGACTTTGGCGCCGATACTTGGTAGTCCGACATATTGACGATACCCGGGGCCAGCGAACGTAGCTTGTCCAAGAAACCAACGCGCTTGAAATGCATGATTGACAGTCCGTGTTTGCCGAACGCGAGGTCGTACGCTCGGGTCACTACTCCCGGGTGGGCAACAAACGGGGCAACCGACAACACATAGTCAACAAAGGCATCATTGGACTTACCTTTGTGTTGATCACTAGTGATGGCCATGTGAGCGCGTTCTTGTTCCGTCGTAGGTGAGAAGCCACAGCGGGCCTTCTTCGATGCATGACTTGGTTCGGACTCGATCGGTCACTTTCGCGCAGGAGCTGGCGGCGCCTTGGAGAGGTACGGTGCGAGAAGGTCCGGTCGGTGCTTCTGGAGTAGCTCGATCACCTCGAGTTCGAGGTTTGTAGACGAATGACAGGTTGCGTCGTCCGTGTTGGACCTGGCGGACGCGTTGGCCTGCCGCCAGAGCTCCGTGTTTTGCAGTTGGTTTTCGCTGCGCTCCTCTGTCGGTGGCACGGCAGCGGGGATGTCGCCATGGCCCCCGCCGACGTGTCCAACGTCGTCTTCTTCTCCTCATGGCTCGAAGAAGCTGTCCGCTCCTTCCGATGCCGGCCCGTCCATGACTGGGGAACTTGGTTCGTCGTAAAATGATTGGCCTAGTCGATCGCGCATAGTGTCCGGGACCTCACGTTTACCGTCCACATAGTACACATACCGGAGCACGTGGTCTAGGGACGTAGTATGAGAAGCACCAGAGTCCGGGGCCAGCCACTCCACGTGCAGGTCCGTTCGTTCCTTGAGTTCTGGTACGATTGTTGTTAGCCCGCTGCTTGGGAGTGGTTTGTTCGCCTCGCCCTCCAAGATGGCGTCCAGGAGTCGGTTGTGAGCGGTCTCCAGGGCTTCAAACGCACACGTTCGGATCGCCCAGCGCTGGGAACCCATGATCAGGGCGATGACCGGATACACCTCGCCGGCGACTTGCTGCACTGGCCACTCCTTCACACCGAGGTACGTGGAGACACAGAGACGCTCCCCCTTGACCTGTACAACTTGGCCGTAGTAATGAAAACCTTCGGCTTGCACGCAGACTGCCTTCCGCAGCCAGACACACGGTTGTTGACCTTCTGCTTCCGAACTGGGTACTCGACGCCTCCCAGCCAACGACTTGGCGAGCGTGTAAGTTCCAGGTAGGGTCGTCGTGACAGACTTCACGCGGGCCGATGAGCGAGTCATCGACATGACCACGCCGTAGAAGGCTCCGCCGACAGCCTGCTTGACGTCCTCCGGGAGGACCAGCAGGTAGTCTCCGGTGGCAAGCGGCGTCGGTGGCATCGTAGTTAAGACTTGGCTTAGGCTTTCTCGCAGCAAATTCTAAACTGACCTACCAGGCTACCTCGCTATCCTTGTTGCGCTCACAGCCAACAGTGTGTGTAGGCTGCTCTATGTCGGCAAGCGCTTCTTCTCTTCTTGCAAAGCGAGATTTTCCTCAACTGCAAATCATCCAATCAACCACGTTCCGCATCCTCCTTGATTGCCAGGATTGTTTGGGTCATGTGATTGGTTGAAATGGTGTTTCCTGGTAGATGATTGGCTAAAAGGGGGATCGGAATGGATCGTAGGCATGGTCGACACAGGGTCACGTGATCTCGCAGAGATGCTTGAAACAAAAGTGAACGCGCTGCAAAGATGAGAAAATAAGGTGGTTCGTGTTCATGACGTGGATGAAATCTATGCGTACGAGCTATTTGCAGGGGTCAGCTAGCTATCCGTTGGCTTTGCTGTTTCTTTCTCGTTGACTCGTGTCTCCCTCCGTACTCCTTAGGTTAGTACTCCGCTGGGTCGTGCGGGTGCTGCACCTGCACAAGCAACTCGTACGCACCAGCGCCCAGCACGCCGCCGATCAGCGGAGCGAACATCGGGATCAAGAAGTAGCAACCGTTCTCCGTGAACACCTTCGACCCGTACCCCGCGAAGAACGTGAACAAACGAGGAGCGAAGTCGCGCGCCGGATTCATCGCGTACCCCGTGTTCATGCCGAAGCTCATGCCCAGCGCCATGATCATCAGAGCGAACGCGAACGGCGTGCCGACCGTGCCCGGCGAGCGGTTGCGTTGGTCCGTGATGGCGTACACGCACAGCAGCAGCATACCCGTGGCCAGCGCCTCCGTGTAGAACGCCGTGAGGTTGCTGATCTCCGGGTTCGGGTGCGTCGCGAAGTTGTGGTACATGGTCTCCTTGTCCGGGTCGGCCTTCGACAGACGCTGGTAGTCGAGCAGGTAGATGGCGACGGCGCCCACGAACGCTCCGAGGAACTGCGACAGCACGTAGCCCGGCACCTTGCGCCACGCGAGACGGCCGTAGACGGCGTGGGCCAGCGTCACGGACGGGTTCATGTGCGCGCCGCTCACTCCTTCGGAGCAGTAGACGCCCATGAGGACGGCGATCCCCCACGCCATGTTGATACTGAGCCAGGTCCCCTCTTTCTCTCCGGAGAGCACGACTTGGTTGTTGACGCCCATGCCGAAGGCGATCATGACGAAGGTGCCGAGGAACTCCGAGTAGCACTCACGGAGGTGCGGGTTTCGCGTGACAAACCATTGCTTGTGGTGGTCCTCGTCGCGGGAGTACTGGCTGCGGTTGGTGTGGTGAAGCGAGCGCTCGCATCGGTCGACTTGGCGAGGCGAGTACGGCGTGTCGGCGTACGGAGCGTAGGTGCCGGACTTGTCGGCGATGTCGACGACCGGCTGCGTGGTGGTGGTGTAGTTTGACTCCATGCTGAATTGCGACTTGGGTGGGTTAGTTGAGCCGCTGGTTGTGTGGCTGCGGTCGGCTCCTGTTGCTGCTTGAGTGTAGACGGCAAATTGAGTAGTGAGCTTAGCGAGGAGCAGGCTGCAGTGCGAACAGCGGAGGTCCCGGGCCAGCCCCCTCTATGGTGAAACGCTTCGTGACCTCGAGGTTGCTTGCCCCTGCTTGGTCCTGTCGTCGAAGATCGTGTCTATGGTCCCCCCTGGCAGACTAACGGCAGGCACCACACACGCAGTGCTAGGTGCAACCACCGTAACCAACGCCGTCAATAGCGGCACCGTTAACGGCCGCATAACGTTCCGCAAAATTATCTTTTGGCGTGTTTTTGCGTGCCTGCGAAACTCCTCCACAACACAACCAAGCGCACGACAGCCTGTCCGCGCCAACGGCGTCGCGATCGATCAAAGTTGATGCGCTATAATGCCGCTCGTATTGTAGCCGTTGACTCTGCTTGTAGCGTTGATCTTAACGACAACCCGTTTCTGAAGCAAAACCGCACCGAATTGCTATGACGATACCTTTATCCATAGATCCATCTAGGACAGAGAACAATCTGAGTGCAGCACTCCGTGTATTAGTGAAAAACATATAATGGGGGTCATACTCGTAGTAACCCCTACAGATCCTCCGGCTCAGTTGGATGCTGTACTTGCACCAGCAATGTGTACATCCCCGCGCCGACGACGCCGCCAATAAGGGGTCCGAAGATGGGGATCAAGAAGTAATACCCGTCCGCAGTCCACACCTTCGAGCCGTAACCCACCATGTACGTGAAAAGACGAGGACCGAAGTCTCGCGCAGGGTTCATCGCATAGCCCGTGTTCATGCCGAAACTCATACCGAGAGCCATGACCATCAACGCAAAGGCAAAGGGGGTGCCAACGGTGTCGGGTGATCGGTTGCGGTGGTCCGTGATGGCGTAGATGCACAGCAGCAGCATACACGTAGCCAGCGCTTCCGAGTAGAAGGCTGTGAGGTTGTTGATGTCTTCGTTCGGGTACGTGGCGAAGTTGGCCTGCGTGGTCTCCTTGTTCGGGTCGGCCTTCATGAGCTTCTGGTAGTCCAGCAGGTAGATCGCACACGCGCCGAGGAACGCGCCCACCACTTGTGAGGCGCAGTAGCCCGGCAGTTTCCACCACGGTAGACGACCATACACCGCGTGGGCGAACGAGACGGCGCAGTTCATGTGCGCTCCGCTGACGCCTTCGGAGCAGTACACGCCCGTGAGCACGGCGATACCCCACGCCATGTTGATGCTGAGCCACGTGCCGTTGCTCTCCCCAGAGAGCACGACCTGGTTGTTGACGCCCATGCCGAAGCACATCATGACGAAGGTACCGAGGAACTCGGTCACTGCGCGTGACGAACCATTGCTCGTGGTGGTCTTAGTAGCGGTCGAACTGGCTGCGGTTGGTGTGGTGCAGCGAGCGCTCACAGCGATCGATCGGGGCGTGCGGTGTGTACGGCGTGGTGGCGTAGGCCGAGTAGGCAGACTTCTCCCCGCCTTCAAGGGCGACTTGGCCGCTGCTGGCGAAGTTGGGCTCGAAGTTGAGATGCGGCCGCATTGTCTTGGAGTTAGAGTCGCTGCTGGGGCGTTGGCGGTGAATGAAATAATGAAGATGTCGGGGCAGGCGCACTCCGTCCGATTTACTAACCGGGAGTGGAACGCAGCGAGAGACCCGGAGCTGCTGAGAGACTCGCGGTGTGCTCGCGGCCTCTCCCATCATGCAGCCAGCCACAAGGAGGCCATTGCTGCGCGCTGACGACGGCGCAGCAGCAACGGGATCTTTTTGCTTCTTGGGCTCGGGCTGCCCCCTGTTGGCCTAGAAACGTTGTGCTTTGGTGTCGTCGTCGCCAGCATGTTGAAGTGGTTGGCCAATCCGCGCGCTGCGACTCGTCTACGGCTGGCCACCGCACCACCGAATTGTCAGAGAGAGGCGGGCGCCGACGCATTGGAGAGGTCAACAGCCTGACTGGCATGGGCGCTGCTGCTTGTTCGCATTAGAAGCATGATCAGAGCTGACTTCAGCTTTGCAAAGGTGAGCCCTCCGCTGCAGTACAGTAAAGGTGTAGACCATCAATAGAACTTGCAGTCTCCTGCAGGAGTCGCTCTAGCCTACGTCCAGACGATGATTCCTTCGGAAGTCTCACTGGCGCTTCGTTGAATCATCTCCCTCAACTTCAGATTTCGTGTCTATGGGAGCCCGCTTTCCATGGTGTGTCTGGATGGCGATCAATGACATCTGCCAGTCCACCCCTAGGCATCGCAGCCATTGCGGTGCAGGTAGACGACGAAGAAAGGAAGTACACCGCTACAGTACATTTAGCAGTACTTGTGAACTCGGGACAAAAGCGTTGAGATCGCCCTACTCGGACATTTTAAGCTGTTGTAATAATCGCCTATATGCGTTGCTACGCTGCTAACTCGCTAATATGCCTCTATCCCAGGAACATTCCTTCCTGTACGGGGCTCATATCGCTCTGTCGCCAGTCAGACGTGGGCACCACTCCATCAATGACGCCTCGCTGCATCGTCTCAAGAGCGACTGGCTGGCTACCAGTGCAGCTTGTCTGGCAAGCCTTGCCAGGATTTTCTCCTGGTTGGGACATCGCTTGCTCAACTCTACCAGAGCAAATTAAGTTAAGGTGGGGATCCGCAGCCAGCTGAACATCATTGTTTGTAAGATACCAACTTACACCAACAGTTTCATGATCTGCCTCATACATTCCGAGTCTCTCCGTCACAAGACGATAATGGAAAAAAGCTCTCTACCCAGGAATCGTGTATGCACAGCCTCCAACGCTCTCAACAAGATAAGGTATTTGGTTCCTTGTCTGTCCAACTACTCAACCAGCGTTCATTCGCTCATGTGAACTACGTAAATGTCGTCTGGTTCATGCGGGTGCTGCACCTGCACAAGCAACTCGTACGCACCAGCGCCCAGCACGCCGCCGATCAGCGGAGCGAACATCGGGATCAAGAAGTAGCAACCGTTCTCCGTGAACACCTTCGACCCGTACCCCGCGAAGAACGTGAACAAACGAGGAGCGAAGTCGCGCGCCGGATTCATCGCGTACCCCGTGTTCATGCCGAAGCTCATGCCCAGCGCCATGATCATCAGAGCGAACGCGAACGGCGTGCCGACCGTGCCCGGCGAGCGGTTGCGTTGGTCCGTGATGGCGTACACGCACAGCAGCAGCATACCCGTGGCCAGCGCCTCCGTGTAGAACGCCGTGAGGTTGCTGATCTCCGGGTTCGGGTGCGTCGCGAAGTTGTGGTACATGGTCTCCTTGTCCGGGTCGGCCTTCGACAGACGCTGGTAGTCGAGCAGGTAGATGGCGACGGCGCCCACGAACGCTCCGAGGAACTGCGACAGCACGTAGCCCGGCACCTTGCGCCACGCGAGACGGCCGTAGACGGCGTGGGCCAGCGTCACGGACGGGTTCATGTGCGCGCCGCTCACTCCTTCGGAGCAGTAGACGCCCATGAGGACGGCGATCCCCCACGCCATGTTGATACTGAGCCAGGTCCCCTCTTTCTCTTCGGAGAGCACGACTTGGTTGTTGACGCCCATGCCGAAGGCGATCATGACGAAGGTGCCGAGGAATTCCGAGTAGCATTCACGGAGGTGCGGGTTCTTGGTCACGAACCACGGCTTGTGGCGATCTTCCTCGCGGTCGTTCATACTGCGGTTCGTAGGGTGCAGGGAGCGTCTGCATGGGTCAACAGCTTCGTGCGGCGTGTACGGCGTACTGGCGAAGGCGGAGAAAGACTTGCTGCCCTTCTCCAAAGGCTCTTGGACGGTGTTGCAGTCGGCTTGGGGACTTGGACGCATTGCCGTGAGGTGGGAAGGTGAAGTGGCGGCGACGCTCGAAAGCTGCTGGTTAATCCGTCGATGGCAAATGGGATACTGAGCAGCTGAGGCGCCTAGATCGACTCGACTGCCCTTAGCGTGAAGACCATCACCTGATCTTACCGTAAGCCACAAGATGTCAACTTTCACCTTCAGAGGCTTGATAAACTTGAGAGAGCCGTGTTTGTAGCACCGGATGGGGTCTTTTCGCGCTTGGGGGCGCGCAATGTTGGCGCCAAACGCCGAGAACCGACACCGCGACCGATCTTGTTAAACGGTTCTCGCTGAACTTGCAGCTGCAGACCAATGAGCACACCCGGTGTTCGACTTGGCTAGCTGCGTCGCTAGTCCTGAGGGCATGGACGCATAGACACTGAGTGTGTGCGTACCGCGACAGGCAGAAGAGTTTCGGCCTCGACCACTGAGCTGAGGCAGGAAACGTGAAACACCATACCTGTTGGGAGGAGCTAAAACCTGGGCGGTTGCTGTCGTGGAGTCTCGTGTCTTTTGACTCCGCTGCGTGCCTGTCACCGTAGGCCAGCGCGAATACCGAGAAATATCCATCCTCAGGACCTCGTCACCTGAGGCTGTCGCCGATAGCTGTGCGGGGTATACTGCTCTGGCGATGGTATTTTACTTCAGCTTTGCCTGCGTGAGGGCCCACCATACTGCGAAGTAGCTTGCTTGAATTCTGCTTGGTCGCCGGTCGTCGCGCGTTCTACGATACCTGAGATCGAGCTGATCACCTCCATACGTTGATGGTGCTGCGTTAACACACCGACTCATTGGGGTTTTCTCGTTCTTGGTTGCCCTTTCGCCGCCGCCGAACACATCAGCAAGCCAGAACTGGGTCTGCGTAGTAATGTGCGGGACTAAGTTCGTGGTCGGCCTGGAAACGTGGCAAACATCAACACTGGGCCGTTCACTATTTCAGCCAGAGGGTCTTGCACATGAATAATTCATGGTAAGGCACAAATGCGGCACCAATTCCTGCCGTAGTATGCGTGCTGCCTCATAAGTGCGTACTTCGAAGTACCTGTGTTCCTGGGAGCTATTGCTGTCTTTGTTGTCAGGAAATCTAGTCATCTCCTGCGCTCAGCAAAACACAGCACCAAACAAAGCACTAAAAGACTTCCGACTGTGCATAAGAAAGATAAACAGTTGTTAGGGGGGTAGAACGAAGTTACTCGGGTCGGAACTTATTGGCCTTCTTCATCTTCTCCACCAACTGGCGGTCCTCCTCGAAGCGTTCGCGCAGCGTCTTCAGCTCTGTATCATTTTAAAAGCAACCACACCACAGTCAGCAAAAGTCCTCCTTCACCCCCACTCCATCACATCTAACGTACGGTCTCGCTTCTTCTCGCGCGTCTGGAACCTGTAGAAATTGTCCATCTCCTTGCTCTTCTGCTTCTTGGCGGGCTTGGCCAGCACCTCCTCGGCCTGCACGATACCGCGCTTCTTGGTGTTGACGACCGTCACGAAGCCGTCGTCGTCCACCTGGTTCTTGAGCTCCTCGCGTCTGCGCTTGTCCTCGTCCTCCATCTCGTCGAACGAGGCCATGTAGCGGTCCGCCAGCTCCTTGATGACCGACAGGCCGGGGCGGTTGCGGCGGTACGCGGCCGCGTAGCCTGATGCAGTAATAACAATGGTAAGTCCTCCAATTGTCCACCTCATGAGGACACTGTTAACTCGTCACCTTGCAGTCCACAGGGCCGGCCCGGCGCGGGCGTCTCCAGAGTGTCCACCTGCAGCATCTTGTCCAGCGACTCCGGAGCTTTAAACACCACGTGCGCCGTGCGCGCGGCCACGTCGTCCACTGTAACATCTTCGTCCTGTCCTTCAGCGTCCATGAGGCCTCCGGTGCCGGCCACCACGTGCTGGATGGCGCCCAGCGGCTCCAGGCACGCGCGCAGCCATTCCTCCGACGCGGCGGCCGGCAGGTTCACGAGGTACGCGGTGCGGCCCGCGGCCAGCACCGACTCGGCGTGCGCGCCGGGCTTGGCGTCGTGCTGCTTGGCGTAGATGAAGCGCCGGAACGAGCTGTGCGCCAGCGGCAGCGCGATGGCGTGGTAGCCGGCGAAGGTCGTGGTCGCGGTCATGGTGAGTGCCTTATTGCGCTTTATTGCTGCTTTTGACTGGCGACGGGTAGTGGCGTCATGTGATTGGTGGGAAATGGAAACGGGGTACAGTGTACCGGTTGTGTGCAGATTGTGTACAGATTGAAGTGCTATGTTGCATTGTTGTGGTGGATATCGACACGAAATGGGCCGAAGCAAAGAACGTAGTGAGTCGTGAAGGTGGAGCAGTGTGAGTTTTGTGGTGGCTAGCTTGTATCTATCTTCATCGTTGCAAACTGTGGCGTTGCTCTGTTGTTTGTTCGTAGGAGCTGATTGTGTGAGGGAGGCCTATTCGCAGTGTAGAACTTACCCAACAACACATCGGCACGTGACCTCTTCATTCAAAGGGGTCGTTGTTTGGGCAAGGCTGCCGCTACCGGTGGTTCCGGGCACTCTATGCCTTGGTGCCGTCTTCGGCTAAGACTTGTGCATATGTACGTTTCGATGCCCCCCCCCCAATTTAGTTCGGGGCTTGACTGCCGTCGGTACTGATTGGCTGTTTCACTTCAACACTTTGAGCCGGGCGCGAGGTCGGACGCCGAATGGTGCTTGAACGCTGCATCGAGCGGTCTTCCGAGGGTATCAGAGCACGTCACATACTCGCCGCATGTCAGTAGATCCACTCGCACGCTCGCTCATTCTCTCTTTAGACGCCTTCATCACACATTTCCCAGCAGGATGGGGCCTCGACTCAGCGTCGAACCTACTGTGGACTGCAGCGCTGCGAGTGCGGCAGCTCCTTACTCCACCTTCGCCGCGACACCGTACAGCTGGCGTGGATTCATCGACCGCTGCGAGCGCTCGCTTCATCGCACCAACCGCAGTCAGTACACCCGCGACGAGAGCCATCACGAGAAATGGTTTGTGACGAACCGCGTGCACGTCCGCGAGTGCCTCACCGAGTTCCTCGGCACCTTCGTCATGATCTGCTTCGGCGTGGGGGTCAACAACCAAGTCGAGCTCTCGGACGATTCCAACGGCACGTGGCTCGGTATCAACATAGCGTGGGGCATCGCTGTGCTCATGGGCGTCTACTGCTCCGAAGGTGTCAGCGGAGCGCACTTGAACTCCGCCGTCACGTTCGCCCACGCCTTCTACGGCCGTCTCGCGTGGTGGAAGCTGCCAGGTTACTGGATCTCGCAGGTGTTGGGCGCGTTCGTGGGCGCTGCCGCCATCTACCTGCTCAACTACCAGAAGATCCTGAAAACCGACCAGAACAAGGAGACCACCAAGTCCAACTTTGCGACGTATCCAAGCTCCGACATCAACAACCTCACGGCCTTCTACACGGAGGCACTCGCAACGGGCATGCTGCTGCTGTGCATCTACGCCATCACGGACCAGAACAACCGCTCGCCGGGGACGGTGGGTACGCCGTTCGCCTTTGCACTGATGATCATGGCGCTGGGTATGAGCTTCGGCATGAACACGGGGTATGCGATGAACCCTGCGCGCGACTTCGGCCCTCGACTGCTCACTTACGCGGTCGGCTACGGCTCGAAGGTCTTCACGACGCGCAGCTACTACTTCTGGATCCCGATCTGCGGTCCGCTTGTTGGAGGCGTCATTGGTACGCGTTCTTGGTGCAAGTGCAGCACCCGCACGAGCACGTAGAATGAGCTCGACGGCGTGAATAAATACACGTTCATCTCAGGACCCCCATACTAGTACATATAGAGTCTACTAGTACGTCGTAGACACGTTGAGCTGGGTAAACCGCGGGGTAGTTTACGGGCCAAAGCAACTATGGGCTCATAATCAGCAAGGCGGGTCAACATTCGTCAAAGCTTTTCAACCGGCTCACAACTGAAAATCCTTCCAGGCAACCACCTCGACCCCCTCCACAGAACACCAAGCATGGCTATCGCGGGCGCCACGACCCAGCAGCCCAAGCTCTTTATCTACGACTTCTGTCCGTTCTGCTGTCGCGCCCGCGTTGCGCTGGGACTCAAGAAGGTCAAGTACGACGTGATTTTCATGGCCTACGACGACGAAGCGACCCCCAGGAGCCTCGTGGGCGTGAAGGCTGCTCCAATCTTCGTCCCCGTGGGTGAGAAGCCTTTCGGGGAGAGCTGGGACATCGTGAGCTACGTGGACAACTACGGCGACGGTCCCATCATCAAACCCGCCTCGGGTCGTGAGGATCTGGCCAAGTGGATCGAGACGGCCATGCCCTCGCTCAACATGTTGTACAACCCGCGACTGTATACTGCCCCGCTACCGGAACTCACCCTTCGCGCCTCACGCGAGGCCTTCAAGGCCAAGCGTGAAGCGTCCATGCCTCTGAGCGAGGCGTTGGCCAAGTCCCCTGAGCTGGTTGAGAAGGTCAATCAGCTGCTGCTTGAGCTCGCCCCCATGCTCCACTCGAGTCACTCGGTCAACGCAGAGCTCAGCTACGACGATCTGGACTTGTTCGGACGACTCCGCTCTCTTACGCTCGTGAAGGGCATCGAGTGGCCCACCAAGGTGCGCGAATTCATGGACCACATGTCGGAGGCTGGCGACGTGCCCATGTTCGACGCCGTTGTCAAGATCTAAACGACAGAGCTTACGGTCAGAGCTAGATAACTCAATGAAAGCGTAGCGATACACCTTTCTACCTTCTCGTCCTCATATGTAGTAGAATCTACGTGACAGACGACCTCTTTCAAGCGAAACCCTCGACGCTAGTGTCGGTTCGGAACAGTCGGCCATTCCCCGAAATCGACCGGGAGCTGCACGACTCGAAGGATTTAGCCATCGCCAGCCATGTTCCAGACGCAGGATGGTGCCGGGAGCAGCTACACGTCGACGATCTACGGGTTCATTCGCGACCAGAAGTACGAGGAGGCCGTGCGGATCCTGCAGATCGAGTTGGAGAACCACCCGCATAGTCGTGCTGCCCTCTCGCTGCTCGGGTACTGCTACTACCACATGCAGCTCTTCCACCAGGCCGTCGGCATGTACGAACAGCTCTGTGCCAACTACCCGGACGTGGACGAGTACCAGCTCTACCTGGCGCAGTCGCTGTACAAGTCGGGTCAGTACGACACAGCCTCGAGACGAGCGAGCCAACTGGAGAGCGAGCAGTTCGCTCAACGCGTTCACCTACTGAGAGCCGCCTCGTACTACGAACAGAACGATATCAAAGCCACGCGCTCGGTGCTGGAGGAGTGTCTACCCGACGACCCTACCACCATCGTCTTTGATGGAGCTATTGAGTACAAGGAGGGTCGATACGAAGCTGCGCGAGCCAAGTTCGCGGACGCGCTGAATATCCTGGGCTACCAGCCAGATCTGTCGTACAACATCGCGCTCTGTTTCTTCAAGATGAAGCAATACGGTAACGCGATGAGGCAGATCGCTGAGATCATTGAGAAGGGAGTGCGTGACCACCCGGAGCTGAGCGTGGGCAGCAAGAGCGAGCAGAATGCCGACGTCAAGTCCGTGCGCAACTCGACGGTGCTGCGCGAGACGGCTTTGGTTGAGGCCTTCAACCTGAAGGCGGCCATTGAGTACGAGATGAAAAACTACAAGGGCGCACGAGACGCACTGCTGGACATGCCACCTCGACAGGAGGAAGAGCTCGACCCGGTCTCGCTGCACAATTTTGGGCTTATGAACATGGATGTGGATCCCAACGGAGGCTTCAAGAAGCTCAACTTCTTGCTGCAGAACCCGCCGTTCCCGGTAGAAACATTCTCCAACCTGCTGATCCTGTACACGAAGCACGGCTTCCACGACCTCATGGCTGATGTCCTCGCGGAGAACGCCCACCTGACGTTCCAGTTGTTGTCCAAGGATTTCTACGACTTCATGGACGCAACGGTGACGCTGCAGACATCACCGGAAGATGCTTATCGAAAGTACGACGAGCTGGCCACGAAGCACGTTGAAGGCCTGCGCAAACTGACCAAGAAGATTCAGGACGCGCGTCTAGCACAGTCGAACGAGGACATCAAGACGTCGTTGAAGGCCTATGATGACGCGCTGGAGGACTTCATGCCCGTGCTGATGGCGCAGGCGAACATCTACTGGGAGCGTGGCAACTACACGCAAGTGGAGAAGATCTTCCGGCAGACGGCGGAATTTTGCTCGGAGCACGAGGCCTGGAAGCTCAACGTGGCGCACGTCTTCTTCCTGCAAGGGAACAAGTACGAGCAGGCCATTCAGTACTACGAACCTTTCGTGAAGAAGCACCAAGACAATTTGCTGGATGTACAGGCCATCATCCTGGCCAACCTGTGCGTGTGCTACGTCATGAATACCGACAACGAAAAGGCCGAGGAGCTTCTGCGGTCTATCGAGCGAGAGGAGGAGGAAGAATCGAGTCGCGACCCTGAAAAGAGGCTCTTCCACCTTTGCATCGTGAACCTCGTTATCGGCACGCTCTACTGCTCCAAGAACAACTACGACTTCGGCATCTGCCGAGTGATGAAGAGCATGGAGCCGTATCACCGAAAGCTTGGACCGGACACTTGGTACTATGCCAAACGCTGCTTCCTCGGGTTGGCACTCACGCTGGCAAAGCACATGACCACCATCCGAGACTCCACTATGGACGATATTCTCGAGTTCCTTGACTGCGCTGACCAGCATGGCAAGGACATTTTCACTACAACTGCAGCTGATCAACGGAACACCGGGACCGATACGATCCAGCACACTATCAGCTACGAGGTACGTGGAAGTTTATCCGCAGTTAATGATTGTCGAGTCTGACCGTGTTCTTACAATTGTTGTTTGCAGGCTCGCGTCCTGAAGCGCACGTTCCTCAAGCTTCGCTCTTAGGACGACAGTCGACTAGGTTTGGCAAACAATTGAGCATGCTCGTAATCCTTTTCTTGCTTGCTGTCTTTGAGGCTCTGCCAATCGTTGCTAACTAGGTTTACTGTCGATTTCTATCTTACACGCCTGCATTCTTGAGTCTGCTCTTGGTTTGTCGCTTGATCTTCAAAACGGTTCGAACTCTTCCTCATCCTCTACGGTCGCATACAGCACGTCGAGGATCGCCAGGCCGAGCATGTTTGTCTGGGCGTTGTTCGTCTTGGCGAGTTCGACATTGTGGACCAGCTCCTCGATCGCCTCCAGCTTCTTCACGTAGAAGTCGCGCTCCGTGCTAACAGACGCAAGCTATTCACCACAAATCACCAGCAACCATGTAAGCAACTTTCTCAAGCCCACCACCAACGAACGGAAGCGTACCTCCTTCTGGAGCTCCTCCATTTGTGTCGCGAGCTGCCTCTGCTCCACCGCGGCGGCCTCGCTCTGCAGCTTGAGCCCCGCCATCTTCTTCTCCAGCATGGCAGCATAGTCCACCGCGACTGCATCATCACCAGAGCACAGTCGGCCTTTCCGACGACGTGGTGTCGTCCCGGCCGCCGGCTTCATTGGCGTTTTGCTCGGTGTCACCACCGCCGCAGTCGCAGCAGCAGCAGCAGCAGCAGCATCGCCCAGCAGCCTGTTGAACTCCGCGCCGCCCCTGCCCTTCTCCCGACGCGCCATGGCGTCGTACTGCTGACCGGCGACTGCCTCGACGTTGGCGTCGTGCAGCTCCTTCAGCCACTGCAGGAACTCGAGGTTGTCCTGGTAGCGACCGCGCACGAGCCTGTCCACGGGCACGACCTTGGGCACGCCCAGCGCCGCCAGCACCTGCTGCAGCAGCTTGAAGTTGCGCACGAACTCGTGCTCGTGCGCCGCCGACCAGTGCACCTTGCTCATGGGCACGCGCCCCGGGAAGAGCGCGTCCAGCACCTGGCAGGCCACGGCGCCCGAGCACAGCTGCTCCACGCACGTCAGCCGCGTCACGCACAGCGCGTTGAGCCACGCCAGCAGCTCCGTGCGCCCGACGAAGGTTGCACCGGCAGTCGCCCTGCTCATGTCTTGTGGTGTTGCTGCCTGGACAGTAGTGAAGTGTGTGATAGCATAAGCTCATGGTGGTGGTGGTGGTGGTGGTGGTGCCTTTCTCGAGGCGGAGTGCCCATGGTACCAGTTGAAGTCAACTTTAACATCAAGTGATTGGCTGAAATGCGGGGTTTAATATGTGCTTATCTACCAATCACTTTCTTTACGCCTTTTACTGCGCGCGACAATCACTCTTGCACTCATCCGCGCGCGCGCACTCAAGACGAGGACTCGGCCACCATAGCGCTCGGCGGCGGCGACGACGTGCCGGCCCGAGGCCGCAAGCGCCCGCGCGACGGCTCCTGGCACCTGCCGACGCGGCGCAAGATCAAGATGGAGCCCCCGGACGACAAGGAGAACCAGCCGCCGCCGCCTCCTCCGCCGGCCTTTCCCGCGGCTTTTTCTTCGCCCGAGGCGGTCCTGGAGGCGCTCGTGCAGCAGCTGCCCAAGCCCACGGTGCGCTACCCGGACACCGACGGGACCATGACGCAGATCCTGCACTTCGGCGAGTCGGCGCGCACCATTTTCATGCTGGAGAAGGCCTCGGAGCGGCGGTTGCGGCTCGTGGTCGCGCTCAAGGGCGCCCCGCGTTCGGTGGACCGGTGGCTGGAGCTGCTGCGCTGCCCATTGCTCGGAAACCCAGGGAAATACAACAAGCTGCGGCTGCTGAGGCGCGCCGTGACGTGCGTGGACTCCAAGGCGGCGCGCCAGACGGCAGGCTACACGGAGATATGCATCATGCTGGCCAAGCTCAGCGAGTGCGTGGGCTGTTGATTTATTTTGTTTTTCACTTGGGTTGAGTATGTGGACTGATAGGATGTTGTTTGTCTGGTGCAGCACGGAGGCGGGCGTGAGGATGAACTTCCAGGAGATGAAGAGGCGGCGTGTGGGCGAGCGGCAGCCGCTGCTGTACGAGGAGGAGGCGGCGTTCGAGTACGCGGCCGGGAAAGGCGGGAATAAGGACGCGGCGGAGGAGATTCTGGAGCGAGGAGTGGACAATGACGCGTTGACTCCAGCGCAGAAGGAGGAGCTGCTGAAACGGGTCATTGCGGGCAGAGCAGGTTGGGTCGCGGCGTTCTCCGGATCGCCGCAAGAGCAGAAGGTTCTGGCGTTGCAGACGAAGAAGCAGGCGTCGAGGAAAGCGCTAGACATTGGCAGGCCCGAGGATGGACGTGGGGTGCAGAATAGTGCCAAGGTGGTCACCCCTCGCGGTTTGAGCAGCCGCGCTACGACCCCGATCCACGCTTCGACGACGGTGGTGGTCAGAACGCCAATTAACCAGCGCCGAGGACGGGAGGAGCTCGCGCCTGTGCGACTGCAAACTCCATCCGATGCGACGAATGCGTCCCATGCGACGCCTGTCAGCCATCCTCGCCCCGAAGTAGGCTTCTCAACAGTGTCGAAAGTCCCGAGGACCGGGAACAAATCGCCGTTGCTCACGACGCCCTCGCTCCCAACACGATCGAGTCACAAGTCGCAGTCTACGTCCAGGAAGACGCATCACCAGCCACTACGATTTTCTACGCTTGGTATGGTGTCCGCTGCGTTATGATTGATCGGGGTGTATCACTAACATACCGCTTTTGTTATCGTAGGTGTACCGCTCCGAGTGATCGCTGCGAACGATCACCAGAGTGACGACGAAGACGATGACGATGCTTTGATGGGCAGCCAGGCCACCCCGACTAAACCCAGCAAGGCCATGACCCCAGTCAAGGTTTGTGCGCTCTTGCTCGGGATATCTATGCTGCAACTCACGAATCACCAATTGTCGAATTTATCAGGAGATCGCGTACAACACACATAAATCACCGGTGACCAGAACGGAAATGAAGAAGAGGCCGAAAATTGATGTGGGTGCCTATGCTCATATCTTGTCATGGAGCCCAAAAGATAAGAAGGCAGACGAAGCCTCGGTTGATCCGCCAGAAAAGAACACTGAGGTACCATCTACGACTCCGGTAGCAGAAATACAACCTGAAAAGGAAATCAAGACCACTCTCGTACAACCGGTAAAGAGTGTAAAAGTGGCTCCACCGGAGGAAAACAGTGCCGCGAAGGTGAGTGTGCTCAAGAACAAGTCACCCGCTCCTGAGCACAAGTTTTCGCCTGAAGTCCAAAAATCAGTAGGTATGGCGTTGGGATCACGGGTTGTGAAGAACACCAGCACAGCGCGTGCACTCGATCACAACCGTTCGCCGAAGCGCCAACAGCTTGACCCGAGTGTGGCCGTTGACATGAGTTCACCAAGCTCTGTATCGTCTTCGTCGTCTCCGCCGGTGGCCGCTATGACAAGCTCTATGTCTCGAGATGCTTTAGAATCTCTGACAAGCCGAGTTGTGGTACGTACGGCTGGGTATGCTTCTCCAAGACAACAATAGTTGCTCATCTTTCTGTATTGCAGGTAAACGGTCAAAAGTACATAAAGCTGGAGCAGATTGGGAGCGGTGGCAGCAGCAAAGTGTATCGAATGCTGGGCCCAGATCTCAAGATTTACGCGCTGAAGAAGATCAAGCTGAAAAAGCTTGACGCGCAGAGTATTGCCCAATTCACAAACGAGATCAACCTGCTGAAAAAGTTGCAAGGAAGCCCCTACATCATCAAGCTGATTGCGGCAGAGCAGGATTTGAAGCAACGACAGATCAACGTGGTACGCTATCCCAGTCATGTGCCGAAACAGCAACTTTCATGCATACTAATCGTGTATCATTCGTATGATAGATAATGGAGCACGGTGAGATCGATTTAAGCGAGCGGCTACGCAACCTTAAAGGCGGCATGGACGAGAATCTCTTGCGGGTAATTTGGGCTCAGATGCTTAAAGCTGTCAACGCGATTCACACCCAGAGGATTATTCATGGTAAGTGCTTGGCGGCAACAAGACGATCTGACAACGCTCGTGGTATTCTTGAAGCTTACTTACAATTGTCATTGCTCCAGGCGACTTAAAACCAGCCAACTTCTTGTTCGTGAATGGTGCGCTCAAACTGATCGATTTCGGCATCGCAAAAACAATCTCGAACGACACGACAAACATTGAGCGCGACAGTCAGGTTGGCACCGTCAACTACATGTCACCAGAGGCGATTCAAGGGAACACAATGCCCGATGGAAAGCGTGACCCTGAAGGGAGAATGAAGGTGCGCAGAAGTTACTTCACAGGTTTTCGCCTGCTTTTCACTAACCCACTTCCGTAAAATGGGTGATTAGGTTGGACGTGCGAGTGATATCTGGTCGCTAGGCTGTATTTTGTACCAGATCGTGTACTCGAGGCCCCCCTTTGCTGATGCGCGCAACATCGTTGAGAAATTTCGATGTATTATCGACCCGTCAGTACCGATTCCCTTCCCGGCGCTGAAGAATAAAGACCTGGAAGATGTCATACGCTCCTGCTTACAGCGCGATCATCGCCTTCGACCACCGATCGACGGTGACGATGGTTTGCTGAGCCACCCGTTTTTACGAAGTACCGGTTCGAGCGCTATTGCGCCGTCAGCTCCTACCGTGACGTTGGAGAACGCGCCCCAGGTTCTCGCACAGCTTGGCGATCTGCTTCGCTCCCAGGGTATTGAAACCACTCGTCTGAACATGTTCCTGTCGATTGGACAAGCCGGATTGCGCGCTTCAACCGACGACGTCCCTCAGACGCCTCGCTACCTCTACAACACTCAAGAGCGACGGACAGATATTTAATGCTCAACCCAAGTTTGCATCGCAGCGAGGACGCAAAAAGTAGAGGTGCGCCTCCGTGTATACTAAGCTTAATTGCAAGGAGTAACTTCGTACTACTAGTAGTAATACAGTGCACTGAACGAGCTGGGTGTTTGGAACAGACCATGGAGCAGTCCATCAATGCTCGGGACCAGTTCCAGAAGAATCATGGCGAAGGTTGACTCGCCGCTACCAGCCATACAGCAGTGAGGGCGATGTAATCTTTCGCAAGTCGAAGCGGATTGACGTCGTGGCTGCTTCAATTTGCATGCGAGACCGTCGCTCTAGCTCTTCCAATGGCATCCCTGTATCACTGGTGGCCATTTCTTCTTGAGCTTCAGGCACCAACCACCACATGGCCGCGATCGTCGCTCGGTGCTCGACCCATCGATAAAGATGATTTCGTGGCCGATGCAGCGGTGGTGACCAAGTGTCTCTTTATTTCTGAACTCAAGTCGCGTGAATCGCGACCAGCGAAACTTCAGCTTCACAGGGAGGGGGGGGAGGGGACATGCGTAGATGTCTGAACTCGGGGTTCAGCTTATTAGCTTTAGCCTTGCGTTTCGAGCAGGACTAGCGATCATCTGGAGGAGCTACCCTGAAACATCCACCAAAGTTCCTCTCGCTTGCTTGAGAAGGGGGGGGGGGTCGCGGCTCACCTCGCCACTCTAAAATTTCCAGAGAAACATCAAGCTAGCCGTCCAAGAAACAACGATGAACACAGTCCCTTCGGCCAGCAGGGTGCACGTCGGCGAGGATAGCTTCGCCACTAGCGGACAACTCGTGATCGACGTGACCGACAAGTCCGCGTACGCCGACTTCGCGAGTACGCCGTATACGCCTCACGCCCCGTACAGACTCGAGCCTGATCCATCCCTACATGAAACCAATCGCAGCCAGCTTTGGGATCGTGGCCAAGACCTGAAGAAGCTGCCGTTCGTGACGACTAGACCCCATCTTCGCGAGTGCATGGCCGAATTCCTGGGGGCAGTCATTTGTGATTGGTTTCGGCTTGGCCGTGAACAGCCAGGTTGCCATCTCCGACGGCAAGGCAGGCGATGTCATGACTGTGAGTTTGGCCTGGGGTGTTGCTGTGCTCATGGGTGTCTACACCGCTGAGAACGTGAGCGGGTCGCACATCATCTCGGTGATCACCTTCACGCACGCGGTGTACGGGCGGATGCCGTGGTGGAAAGTGCCAGGGTATATGCTGGCGCAGACTTTGGGCGCGTTTGTCGCGGCAGCTCTCGTCTACGTGCTACACTACGAGAAAATATCTGCCGGGGACCTGAAGACCATGCACTTCCTGTTCGTCACGTACCCGCACGACGTGTCCAACTACACGGCGCTCTACACTGAAGTGCTGCTGTGCGCGTTCCTCATGTCGTGCGTCTACGCTATTACCGACCAGCGCAACCGCTGCCCAGGACCCGTGGGGACCCCCTTTGCTTTGGCTATGCTCGTCATGGCATTGGGGCTGGTTTTAGCCTCAACACGGGCCTGGGTGCGAGCGTGAACCGGGATCTCGGACCTCGACTTTTCGCCTACTTGGCCGGATACAAGGAGGCTTTCACCGAGTACTCTTACTACTTCTGGATCCCAATTGTCGGGCCGTTCCTAGGTGGTGTCATCGGTGCCGGCGCCTACATTCTCTTCGTCGAGATCCAGCATCGTCATCTATAGTGAACAAGGAGAACAGGGCCCCCCAGGGGGGCACTAGGATACATGGCATTCTCGACTCGAAGCAGAGAAAGCAGAGTCAGTAACGCGATCGAGATAAATTAAATCACATGCGGCTTCCGTTTACCTTTGTTGTACAGCAATGCACCGATTCGATACCATCTCTTGTTATATCGTTTGGTTCTGATGTGAGGAAGGAATCACCCAACGACCGCTACCATTTTGTCGAGGCCTTCATTGCAGGCACCACGAGAATACGCTTACTGCACTCAAGGGAAATCCGGGACTTCTCCGGAAGAAACTGAGCAACACCACATGACCCTCGAAGGAATGGGTATTATCCGGGCAACTCTGACTATCGGTGACAACCCTGTCTAGTGTGGAGGGACGATGAGGTCAGAGGCGACAGCGGCACGAAGCACCTTGGAGGTAAAACCCAAGCACCAAACCAACACGACTATCCAAAAGCATCATTTCTGAACTTGGATTTAGTTAGCTGACCCCATCGAGAGCTAGAACAACTTCAATAAAGCCATTGCTGGCCAAGTTTTCAGAGTGCATCGGGCCCCCCGCCTCACCTCCTGTTGCCTCGAGTATTTGCATGCTCAACTGAGACCATGATCTCCCTCCAGCTTCGACAGAGTTCTCACTATTTCTTTCGCCTCCACCTACTCAAGCGACCATGAACTTCTCGTCCAAGTCATCAACCTCCGGCACCTCGCAAGGCTTCACCAACAGCGGCCACGTCGCTGTGAGCGTGCCAGCCTCCAAGTTCAAAGCCATTCGCTCGAGCATCGACTCGAGTTTTGTCAACAGCGGCCAGGCCATCCTCGAAGAATCCACCGGGTACACGGGCTTCGCAGTCACCCCGTACACGCCGCGCGTGATCGACCAGTGCGATCGCTCACTGCACCACACCAACCGCAGCCAGTACGAAGCAAGCGTCGACCACAAGTCTCAATGGTTCGTCACGACCAGCCCGCACGTGCACGAATGCCTGACCGAGTTCCTCGGTACCTTCGTCATGATCTGCTTCGGTATGGGCGTCACAACCAGGTCGTGCTCTCTGGGGAGAGCAACGGCACGTGGCTCAGCATCAACATGGCGTGGGGTATCGCCGTGCTCACGGGCGTGTACTGCTCCGAAGGCGTCAGCGGAGCGCACATGAACTGCGCCGTCTCGTTCGCCCACGCGGTGTATGGTCGTCTACCGTGGTGGAAACTGCCGGGCTACTGCGCCTCACAAGTGGTGGGCGCGTTCCTCGGCGCGTGTGCGATCTACCTGCTGGACTACCAGAAGCTCATGAAGGCCGACCCGAACAAGGAGACCACGCAGGCCAACTTCGCCACGTACCCGAACGAAGACATCAACAACCTCACAGCCTTCTACTCGGAAGCGCTGGCTACGTGTATGCTGCTGCTGTGCATCTACGCCATCACGGACCACCGCAACCGATCACCCGACACCGTTGGCACCCCCTTTGCCTTTGCGTTGATGGTCATGGCTCTCGGTATGAGTTTCGGCATGAACACGGGCTATGCGATGAACCCTGCGCGAGACTTCGGTCCTCGTCTTTTCACGTACATGGTGGGTTACGGCTCGAAGGTGTGGACTGCGGACGGGTATTACTTCTTGATCCCCATCTTCGGACCCCTTATTGGCGGCGTCGTCGGTGCGGGGATGTACACATTGCTGGTGCAAGTGCAGCATCCGCACGAACCCAAGTTCTCTTGACATGGCTGGTGATAAACCACTTGTGTAGTTCTTGTACGAACAAACTAAATACTGTATGTACCCTCACTTCCGACATCGGCTTTTCTATCGGATTTAAAGGGGGATTGTATTTGCTTGGGTTTAAGCTGTATTTTGGCTCATAGAGGTCAAGCTTGGGAGCCTTCCAAAACCTGCATTTCATCGACATAAAATGTTTCTCTAAATTCCTCTCTAAATATAAACTGTGCAGAGGTCGATATATGTGAGAGGTCGGTCTTTATGCTTCAAGTTGCTAAATGAGGGAGGTGCATACTTTAACCAACTTAACGTTAATGTATTGCACAATGAGGGGGCGAAGTGACCCTTCGTTTATTCAGACGTAATTTACGTCTCATCAGAATAAGTTTTCTTAAATCCGTTTATGCAGAAGTTTAATACGGTTTTGGAAGGCTTCCATTGAGCGGCAAGACTACATGTATGGCTAGCACCAGCAGTGCGAGACGAGTTTAGCGCACATCGTACCGCAGTACCTCGCTCCATTGCATTGGCGTTAGCTGGTCTTTGTAGGCCTTCTCCAAAAGCTCGGTCCGTGGGCGGCTGCAGGCTCAGCGCGCCGAACACGACTCAGCTCCAGCCCTAGTAGCATGGGCTAAGATATAGCACAGGCACTTCGCGGTTGAGCGCTCCGTTTCGCTGTACGAGGCACTGTCGGTGCACGTGGTGGACGCGTCCTCAGGGACGTACGTTTCCTGGGTGGCGTCGAGCAGCTTTCTCCTATCCGCGGCGGCGCTGCTCTTCGCCTTCGTCCCGCGAGAGGTCTACCAGGAGCTGGCGGGGTGCCACACCCAGCAGTAGCAGCAGCAGCAGCAGCGCAGAATTCTTCTTGCTGTCTTCATCATGCTTCTGCCTGCCAAAATGTGAAATGAATGGTTTTGGCGCGAAAACCTCGTAACGATCATAATATATTAGCTAGGCTTCTGCAACCTTATAAATATAAACACATTAAATCTCAAAAGTAATAAGGAGTATTAGGTGTCGGAAGTGAGGGTACCTACAGTAATTCTGCATGAGCTTACTAAGTATGTATGAATCATACAGAGGGTGTACATACAGTACCATCCGCTGCAGTAATCTATCAGGCATCATAAGTACCACTGTGGCGAATAGGCCGGGGACGCCGGCACTGATTAAAGCAACATTGAAATGGTGGCGTTGCGTAACATTGAGCGCAACAATGGTGCCTCTGCCTAACATTGCACAATGTTACGGTATCTCTCGTAGCAGAATATTTGGTTTACCAATGTGACAATAGTGGACACGCGTCGCCACGACAGCTCGACAGCTCGACAGAGAGTCATTAAAGCAACATTGAAAATCAGCCTCAATGTGTGGGATCAATAACATTGATGGGGTCCAATGTTGCGTGATCGCTAACATTGACGCAATGTGAATTTTCCAGACGTCAAATTTCATGTTTGGAGCGACTGGCTCACAACAGCCGGGTCGGAAGCAAGCGCCCGCGCGCTCGCTCCGCCTCCGCGTCGTGCGACCGTCTGCAGCGGTCACCCGCTCAACCCTATTTTAATGTGAGCATGTCCTACTGCGGTGCTTATATGCATGTGTGTACTACGTATGCGGGAGCAAACGCCTTCCCAGTGCGTTGCGTTGCGTTAGGCGCGATGCGTGTTGCATGCAATCGAATGCGCTATCTTCCAAGGAGTCTTAAGCGCTTTTAATGCGCCTCTAGCCAACAGCGCAGTTAGGTTAAAGAGGGAGGGCGAGCGAACGCGAGCGCGAGCCTCGCTGAGCGCGTTCCCCGATCGTCAACACCCGCCGATCAGGCGGGGGCGGGTCTGCGTGAGCGAGCGAAGGCGAGCGCTGCAACCCGATATTTTTTTTCCTAGACACCGCGCCTGGCCGAGCCGAGGACTTGGCGTATAGCACGAGGGGGTGGGGCAGGCCGCGCAGCGGCGCCCCCCGAGCGAATCGAGAGAGGGGCGGACCCCCCGAAGTGCCGTCGCTAAGTCCGCAGGCGAAAGCCAACGCGAGAGTGTCCTGGCAACTAGGACCAACGGAGGCTCGCGTAGCAGGGCCGCGCGGTATTTGCGGAGGCGGGCCCAGCCACGAGCATTCCAGCGAGCCGAGCACAGGTGAAAGAATCTTTTTATCGCAGGAGCGCAGCGGAGCAAAGCCATTTCCCGCGGATGACATCCGTCCTGCGGGAAGGTCACATTGTGGGGTGATGGGCTGCCTTTACAAACTCCAAGATATCACCGAAAATAGACTGTGTACGTACACTGTGTGAGTCCTGCCAAGGAACCAGCAGACCCAATTCCACATCTCTTCCGTATCCCCAGTTCGTGCCTTGTCGATCGCCGCTGGAGTTCACTCACTCGCGAATAACCTACGGTACAGCAATGCGCGTACACTACCTCTTCGCTCTGGTGGTGGCCACCTACGCCGCCACCTGCAACAGCGTCGTCAACGCCGAAAATGTCCCTCAGCTCAACGACGTTGTGGCCGCCGAGGCCGATGTGGCCCAGTTTATCGGCGGTGACAACCACCTTCGCCGTCTTTAAGACGCTCGCGAGCTGACAGCATCGAATGACTGGTGGGTCTCGGATGAAAACGAAGAAGAGCGAGGATTACCTGGAGCGAGTTTCTTCAGCAAGCTCCGAGGAAAAGCGAGCAAGGTTTCCCAGGCGAAGGGCGGGACGGAAAAGCTCAGCAACACGCAGGTGAAGGAGGTGACAGCGGCCACGGCGAACGCCGTGAAGAAGAACCGCAGGATTTGGCCTTACGTTTAGAAGTTCCTCAAAATTCTCTACGGCGCTACGCTTTCGGCACTGATCATTGTTGGCGTCACCGCGATGCTCAAGTAGATGAAAAATACTGGAAATGTGGCGCCGAAGGTTAGCGCACACAATTAAGTGTTTTACACATGGTAATAGCTTGCCATGAGCTTCGTAATATTTGTTGTTCGCGCTCTCATCTCTGCTTCTCAAGGTAAGAGTATTGTCAAAGGAATTTGGCGAAGTTAGCTCAACACTCTGGGAGATTGTCTCTTTTCGTCCTACCCCCCCCTGCAGGATTGCAACCCTGGATAGATCGACAGCGACCTACAAGAGAGACACTGCTATCGTTGATTGACTAGCAGCGTTGGGATATCTCGGCAGTACTTTTTGTTGGGGCTGATCCATATCGCATTTGTACACATGGCACCAACATCGTCGAAGAAGCGAAAGCACGCACGGAGCGGCGAGCGCAAAGCCGGATGCAAGGTGAGGCGTATCACTGACAGCGGCAACCAAGCTACCGTGGCGATTCCCAACGACTCTGTCGTCGCTCAAGGAGCCGGCGACAGCAATGCCACAAAAACCCGGCAAAGCAGCGTGCAGATACAAGTGTTCCCGACCGCCCTGCCCACGCAGCTTCCATTGGACCAAGACACGTACGCCGTGCGTCCGTGCTACGTTGAATACTACGACTTAATCACAGCCCAGCTGCGCTACGGTACTCGTACCATTACAGTCTCTGGAACGTCAGGTAATAAGTCCGATACTCCGTTGTGTGTGTATGTGCTTCTTGATCACGATACTAATATTTGTGTTGTGCAATTCGGGCTTGACATTTACAGGAACGGGGAACACGATGCTGTACGGATACGTCTTCTCTCGTTTCAGTCGAGAAAACCCCGATGCAATCATCATCACAGCGTCCTACACGGACGAATCGAGGCTGATTCGAGTCACGGTCTTCGAAGGAGAACGCGTGATTGAAGCCGAGTACCTTGGTGGGAGGAGACTCATGAAGAAAGCTCGAGCACTGGCCATCGAGCGCAAGACCAAGCTCGTTTACATGTTCGACGGGCCGCCCAAGTCCCCTCCTCCACCTCCAGCTCAGATGATCTGCTTCACTAACCCGAACAACGAATGGCTGGACAAGGTCGAGCATGCAGCCCAGTCGTTCGTGTGCTATACTCCACTGTGGGAGTTGGACGAGCTGGTAGCTACGGCGGCCCATGTTCCGTGGAGGCGACCGGGAAAGCCGGACGTTTTCCTGGATCGAGCCACAGTTGAAGAGCGGTTCGCTACGTTTGGGGGCGTAGCGCGCGAGTGTCTCGCTGGCTGTGAAAAGTTTGTGACGAGGCGAAAGAACGAGCTCGTGCACGATATTGTGACCATGCGCATCAAAGCGCTGGACGCTTTGCGTGGAGGACGTGACTTTCGACCAACAAACCAGCGAGTGTGGCATTACGTGCCAGATCCCCGTGCGCCCTGGAGGAGATCGATCCGTACCGCGTCGAGGTTTGTCTTTAACTTGCTGTGTGAGCATATCGACCGGACACTTGAGCTTTCTGCCTGCGGAGTTCCCACGAGAAGTGTTAGCGGGTCTTAGCGCTTTGTCGGACGAAGTTGCTGACCAACGCGACAGAAAACTTGGAGGTGGCCGAGCGAATGATGCGAAGAAGGACAAGCTCAAGTGCAGTGAGCCGCGCTATCAGCCTGGAGTGTTCTTTAAGCTCGCGGTGTGGGAGGAGTACAAGGAAACGTTCATGTCAGGTGTGAGAGATGCTGAAGAGAATTCTACCGATTTTTAATGCAGCGTTTGCGTTTTCCAACAATAAAAAAATACTTCTACGGAAATCGCCGTGCGAATCTGCCACTTCGTATAGAATTCGGGGTGCAAATTGACCGGCGAATTCCACGAATGCAAAAATGCCAGATATACAAAAATCAAATGAAACTGTCAATAATGCAAAATGTAGTGGAATTCATCGTGCAGTTTGCACGAAGCATATTGTGCCGCACATTTGGTACACAGTGTGAAAGTAGAAACACTACCACTTCGAAGTAAATGTGTATTGTGTAAGCTTACCGCTACTCACCTACGTAATGGTAGCTAGTCTAGCTGGAGCTGTGCCTTGCATGCTCACGGGCGAGTGTTCTCCACGATAGTTGGTCAAGTCTACGCGCTCTTCCTTTACTTTACGTCGATGAGAACGGTAAACGATTCTTTACTTGCTCAAAAAGAAGGCCAGCCGAATCGAGAGAGCTGTGCGCTCGCAGGACCTCATCACTCGTCAGAAGTGCTTCAACGAAGCGCATCAGCCGCTGAAGCTCTGCAAGCCGGATCTTTTGTAGTCTTGAAGCCATATCGTGCTTTGATAGCTGTTTAGTGGCGGTTGCCCAGCACACCATTGCTGCCACACAACGCGAACGGTTCTTGCGGGTAGCACAAACTCTCTTGGCACTTGATGAAAGCCCCCACCCCATGTGTAAAGCTCGGTGTGCATCGTTGCAGTAGCATTCACCGAGGACTCTGTCTGAGTGTGAAGGTACACTATCGCCGAGCGAACATTTCCAAAAGTCGACTTTCCGGTGACACCACGCTGCTCCATCGAGGTCAAGTAGCGCATACACTCCATAGTACTTAATACACTTAGATTGACAGGGCTTCGTAAAGGGACGATAGAGAACCACTGCGCGATACTCTCCCCATTAATTGCACCCAGGTCACGAAACGTACTAGTAAACAGGACTTGCCGTCGATCCGCCTCCGTATTCTCGTAGAGCCACTCTATGAAGCGAGATAAAGTTCGTAGATAGACGTACTTGGTGTTGTCAGAGGTGATACTTCCCAGCACTTGCTCAACGCGAGCATCGAGAGCTTCCATCGTTACTTAAACTGCGACTCTTGCCGATAGAAACTGTATCGAAATAGCATAGAAATATTTCTAGTTTTTGTTTCGTTCACTTTGCACGACGAATTCCATTTATCTATACTTTTTGAAGTACCTATGAGTAACAACGTTGCGGAAACGGTTAGTAAAAGTTTTGACAGTTGAGCTCCTCATGTTTGAAGGGAAAATTCGGACGCAAGAAGAACGAAAGCAGGACAACCAAAGCAGATGTGGTAATTAAAACCACAGTTCACGCATTAAAACGACGCAAACTACCTCTAACGTTAGCCTAAAACTTAAAACGACGCAAACTACCTCTAGCCTAGTTAGCATGTGAACTGGCTGTTCAGTTGAGCGTCCGACACTCGGTGTCCACCTGCAGCACAGCGCCATCCACCGCTAACTTTATACCAAGTGTAGCCCGCTGGACATGGACAGATACGACGGATCTTCTCCTGCATGGCCGCAGCGCGGCGTCGCTTTTCCTCCAGCTTGGCTTGGTCACGGGCACGGCGTAGTTCCTCCAGGCGAGCAGCGTGGGCTTCCTTCGCGCGCTCCAATTCCTCCCAGTCTTCGTCAGACACGCCAGAATCCCGCTGCTCCTTGGACTTTTTCTCATCTCGATCTTCATCTTCGTCCGCGTCCGGGTCTTCTTCAGCCTCCACCTCGACCTTCTCCTCTAAGACCGCCTCTTTCTCTTCCGGCTCTTGTTCAAACGAAAATTCTTCAGGTTCCTTTTGTTCCGTGGCCTCAGAGAATGATTCTTCTTGTCGTGGCTGCTGCTCCTGAACCTTAAACATCGAGGTATCCGTAACCAGCGACGACTGCGAGAGCACCGGTCCATCGGGTGGGCGCCGTGCAGTCACGATGCTCTCTCCAGCCATGGCTGCGTCCTCAGCGGTGATCGTCCTCACCTCCTCGTGTATGTCGTTCTTAAACACTCGCGTTGCCCGACACTGCTTCATCTCCTTCCATACCCGCATAGCGTCTCGACCATTACCGAACCCATCCAGCATCTTCAACGCCGCAAAAGTTCGCTCCAGGACCAATTCAGCTTCAGCTTCCAGCTTCACCCCCTCCTTCTCCGCCTTCGCCCGAAGGAACGCCACGCCGTCTTCGGGTTCCCAGTCCGGGAAGTCGATGAATCGTGTGAATCGGCTCTTAAGCCCGGCGTTGCGGTTCAACATGACGTCCATGTCCTTCGGGTAGCCCGCGATCACGATCACCATGCCGCTATACGCGGGATCCGTCATCGCAGCTACCAGCGTCGTCATCGCTCCCCTTACCCAACTCGTAAGCTTCGTCGATGAACAACAGTCCTCCCTTCGCCTCCACGAGCTTCCCCGTCACCTTCATCTTCGTCTGACCCAGATACTCGCCGGTAAGATCCAACCCGGAGGTCTCAACCAGCTTCGTAGTGCCCAAAGCTCTCATCGAGTGCAAGATCTGCGCCATCACGCGCGCCACCGTCGTCTTTCCCGTGCCAGGAGACCCTCGGAAGACGAAGTGGCCGATCTCCGGACGCTCCGAGCCTTCACGTTCCGCTACCGCCATCTCCATCTGCAAGCGAGTGAGCTGCTCTCGGATCTGGTCCATGCGGTACAGTCCATCCAGCAGCTACATCGGGTTTTCATCAGCGGCGACGCCCTTAAAGCCGTCTAAGGAGTGGTGGTCTCGGATGGAAAGAAGAACTCAAGCGGGTCGGCCAAGACGGAATAGCTCAGCAACGCATAGGTGAAGCAACTGACGGTGTATACAGCGCACACTGTGAAGAAGGACCACAACTTACGCTAAGAAGTTCCACACTGATCGTTAATGGCCAAGTTGGCCAAGACGTGGGGCTTGTACGCGGAGACGTCGGTTTTAGACCAGCACGGCACCCGCGTGTGTGGCACTAGGGGCCGGATCGAGACGTGCCGTAGAGGAAATCGATCCAAATCGTGTCGGTGATGGCGTCGCACTTAAATCGACATGACGATCAGCCTCCTCCCTCTGGAGTTTCGACAAGAACTGCTCATTGCTCTCAGCACCTTGTCCAGAGTACAGTACATAAGGAACCTAACGCGTAGAGAGACCGACTCACGCGTGTCGTCGGTACCCTTCAAGCAACCGCAGCACCACATGAGAGAGTGAGAGAGATTCGTATTGTACAAGTACTGTTCGAGTAACTCGAACACCAAGAACGCTTGAGACCTGTGAGACTTGCAGAACTGCAGTAAACGACACCACATTCAACTGACACATTGCCATGACATGAATTACCTTGCCGAGGGCAAAAACCCATCAGCCTTCTTCCTCAGATCTTGACGACGTTGTCGTAGAGCGGCACGTCTCCGTGCTCGGAGAAGTACTCGAGGAACTGGCGCACCTTGGCGGGCCACTCGACACCCTTGACGAGCGTGAGCCCGCGCAGGCGGCCGAACAGGTCCAGGTCGTCGTAGCTCAGCTCGGCGTTGACCGACTGGCCCGAGTGCAGCAGCGGCTCGAGCTGCAGCAGCAGCGCGTTGACCTGCTTGACGAGCTCGGGGCTCTGCGCCAGGTTGTCGCTGAAGGCGCCGAAGCTCTGCTCCTTCTTGCTCTTGAAGTAGTCGCGCGACGCGCGCAGCGTGAACTCGGGCAGCGGCGCCGCGTGGAAGCGCGGCAGGTAGAGCTTGACCAGCAGCGGCATGACACTGTCGATCCACTTGGCCAGGTCCTCGCGGCCCGAGGCCGGCTTGAGGACGGGCGCGCCGCCGTAGTGCGCGTCGATGTAGGCCACGATGTCCCAGCTCTCGGCGAAGGGCTTCTCCCCCACGGGCACGAGGATGGGCGCCTGCTTGGAGCCCACGAGGCCGATGGGCGTGGCCTCGTCGTGGCTGGCCAGGAACAGCACGTCGTGCTTGACCTGCTTGAGCCCCATGGCCACGCGCGCGCGGCAGCAGAAGGGGCAGTGGTCGTAGATGTACAGCTGCGGCTGCGCGGACGCGGCGGGGGTCGACATGGAGGAGGGCGGAGAGCGGAGAGAGACTTGACTTGAGCTGGAGGACGCGGATTCCAAAGTGAGACCTTGGGGTCAAGTACGTGGCGGATCGGAATTTACCGGGGGCTACGCGAATCTTTGATTGCCCTGCACATCGTGGGGGATTTTGAGCAGGGCCAGCTTCAGAGTCCGAGCCTTGGACACGTCCCAGACTCTGTCTGCGTGGTCATCAAGGGCGATGCAAGTGATGTCCAGGTCCTGCTGCTGATGGAAGAGTGCAAGTCGCATCGCGCATGCTGCTCGACTGGATGAAGACGAGTGGGAGCTGAGGATTGCTATGGCCAACTTTGGCTGAGAAGGACTTCGTACATGGTTCTGGTTGCTTCGACTACCATCTCACTGCTCGTGTTGTGCTGTGGAGGAAGGAGTAAGCACGCTTCGAGGACGAACGATTGCTGTACAGCACTCTCTGCAAGCGGACGCCTCAATGCACGGAGTACACTCTGCAGCAGACTTACTTGTGGTCCAGCGGCTTCGTGAGAAACGTGACCCAGTGTATAATAGCCGTCTCCAACGATCTATCCATGCAATCGACGTTCATCAGCACAAGTGTCCGGCCTTTTACATTCGCAGCAACATAATGCTGCACTACCGTATACCCACACTGCCGGTCTCGTCGGGTGCATGCACTAAAGAATACACACACATGTAGCCTTTGCAGCAGTATGGGGAAGCTGTAGCCTACCCAAGCCACCGAAATGAAAATGAATCCAATTCACTTGAAGTTGTCCCCCGCCTAAACCCACAGTATCAGCTACCACGGGATTTGCCAATCCAGCGATAAGTTGGCGGTGTGTTGCCGTAGCGATGGAGGCTCTGGGCGGCGGCGTCTCGCACTCCACGGCCATGTGCTGGGCCGCGTCGGAAGGAAACCTGGAGGCCATGCGCCGCCTGCGCGAGGAGCACGGCGCCGACGTCAACGCCGCCGACTACGACAAACGGTAGAGTCCTACCCGGTAGAACAGCGCAACAATAGAGACATCCTTCTGATCCGTTCTACCACCCGTACCCAACGTAGAACGCCCCTACATATCGCCGTGAGCGACCAGCAGCTGCAGATGGTGGACTACCTGCTGCAGTGCGGGGCCAACGCCGAGGCGCTGGACCGCTGGGGGCGCTCCCCCATCGACTGCGCCGTGGAGACCAAGAATGTAGCCATCTTGCGCCTCCTGGAGCGCGAGCACTACCCGGTCCACAGCACCAAGCTCTCGCCGTTCGGAGGCAATACGACAGCCCGTGACGGGATAAGGCGGTGAGTAACGCTGTCTTACGACAGTTTAAGCGCAACATGAAGTGACAGGTTATGGATCACTTATCCTGTATTGTACCGGTTTAGGAGTCGCTCGAACCCGGACGTCGCCGCCTTCTTCCGCGCCGTGCAGGAGGGCAACACCGAGAACGTCAAGCGCTCGTGGCTCGGGGGCATGGGCGTCAACGTCACGGACGAGCTCGGCCGCACGGCGCTGCATGTTGCAGTCGAGAACGGACAATTGGGCGTCATTGAGCTGCTGCTGTCGGCCGGGGTGAACACCAACGTGGTGGACGGAAGGGGCCGCTCGCCCATCAGCATCGCGCTGGAGAAGCAGCAGTTTGCCATCGCCGAGATGCTGCGCGCGCACCAGAAGAAGAAGCTGGTGAGCCGTCAGGTTAAGAGCAGCGAGGACGAGCGCAACACTGCGCTGGCGTTCAAGGCCACGAAGCAGGGAGACATGGACAAGCTCAAGCAGCTGGTGCCTGAGTTCGTGCGCCCCGATATGGAGGACTACGACCTCCGCACGCTGCTGCATGTGGCTAGTGCGGAGGGGCATCTGCAGATCGCCAAGTACCTGGTGGATTGTGGAGCGAACGTGAACTTGCTGGACCGCTGGGGGTCGTCACCGCTGTCGGATGCGGTCGACTTCGCGCACAACGAACTGGCCAAGTTTCTGATTGCCAACCACGCCACGGAGAGCGGATTCCGAGCTACTGTGGCTGTCGACCACATTGACAACGCGACGCTGGCTGGAGCTTTGGAGTTTACACTTCGAGTGATCACTCGGGTAAGTCTTAACCTGTATTTTGCTTGATTGTTACTAGTAATTTTGCTAATTTGTTGTTTGTTTATTAGGATCCGTGGTTGATGGGCCAAGTGCATTGTCCGGTGCTGGACGACGACGATAACTGCATCTTGATCACGCACAGCATCTGGCAGAAGAACAACGCTGCAGTCCAGCGTCAGCATAAAGCGACTGCGGTGTTGTCGCCTCGAGCATCGAAGAACCGACCTATTGACACGGCAGCTCTGTGGAGCGACGCGATTCAGAAGTATCGGAAGGTGTCGTCCATGATCATGATCGACCCTGGTCAAGGCCACATTGGAAACGTGTTCAGTGGGCAGCACCCAGAGTGGCTTGACCTCCACGCAGCGCAGCAGTCGCAGTTCTTCCTGCTCCCACACGCAAGACGAGCAGGAATTCAAACCATCGTGTCGGTTCCGATGATCTGTAAGATGTCAACGGTGGCGGTGCTCTCTTGGTACTCGGACCGCGTCATGTCGGAAGACCAGCACGAACTGCAGCGCATCCAGCGGGTCGTCAGGTCCGTGATGATTCTGTCTACGCTTCGTCAAGATCTCCAAAGTGCTGCCTCATCAAACGTTGGAACGGGAAGAATCCCCAGGTTCCAGTACTGCCAGACACTGGACAACGCCATCACCGCCAATGGAGAACTGACGGACCCGTCAATTGTCCGCGAAGACTGTATGCTGTACTCTCATACATCTTGTGGATTGTTTTCGTTAACTAACTTTATTCCTTTTTTTTTACCTTTATAGTGAACGTTTGCGATACGACTCCGCTCGCTCTGGAGTGGGGCTTGTTCGACATGGTGGATACGCTGGCCACTTCGATGAGCAGCGAGGACCACGCGGCCGTGGTTCCGATACTGCGCTCGCTTGTGCTGTTGCTGCGCAATGGTCTCTTCAACGACGCACTGTGTGAGCACGGCCACGGCGAACTCCACGGAAGTGAGGACTCGTCACTTAAGCGTGTTATCGAGGAATGCAATGGCAAGATCCGCTCGAAGTGGACGTTGCTGGGACACCTCAAGTACTATCTGCAGTACCTGTACGCCGTTAGCCCCACAGAGGCGGAGCTGTTCAATGACGTCCACGAGTTATCTATCAAGGTGGAGCAGTATCTGAAGGAGCAGGCTGAGGGAGAAGACAACGACGACAACTCCAGCAACACGGATGAGATGGAGGTCGACGAGACGCCAGAGACTGCAACACCTGAACCCGCACCAGCCTCTGCTCCAGACTGCGTCTTGTGCAAATACAACGTGCCAGGTAAGGCACTCAAGATGTTCTTGCGCTATGTGTGCTGGACGTTAGTCTAACAGGATCACTTGTGCGTCTTGTAGGACATATCCACCCTGGTAGAGCGCCGATTCCTCCTACCCCTCCTCCACCAAGAGTCACTCCTTTCCACACGAAAACCTCCAAGTCTCCACACGGTAAGCCTCGCATCTCTATAATACAGATTTGTATTGATCTAATGGAGACATTTTGCTGTAGGTGAGCGGCTCTTTGGTCACGCTGAGAACCCCAAGTCCCCCGTGTACCGACAAATTGAGCAGGTTCGCCACTCAACTCTCTCACTCTTTCCACTACGATATCTCTCCTAACTATTCGTCTGTTGTATGGACAGCTGCTGGGGAAGCTCGAGGGTGAGTACGACGCTTTCGAGCGGAAGGCGGAGCTTGCCGATTGCTGCGACGGCGCGAAGCCCGCCACGTTCACGTCCAGCGACTTGTACGACGCCATTGGGTCAGCCCACGACGCGCCCGTCACACGCAGGAGCTCGACTGCTGAGAACCCGCGTAAGCAGCTGCTGGACGTCATCAACGAGATTATGCACGACACGTCGTGCGTGATCACGCGCGAGCAGCTCTTCGCGCTGCACCAGTGTCTCCTCCCCGCCTCAAGTGGCCAGGCGGGCGTCCTCCGCACGGACCTGGCGGTCGGGTACGCGTCGCCTCGGATCTATCGCGTGTTCATCCCCGCCGGGGAAATCGACGACGCACTGGACAACCTCATCGAGACGCTCAACGACTCGAGCCGGTGGGAGAACCGCCCCCTGCTGCGCGCGTACTACGCGTTCGCCGTGCTCGTGTTCTTCATCCACCCGTTCCACGACGGCAACGGCCGCTGCGCCCGTCTACTGGGCAACTTAGTGGCCAAGAAGCTCGGCTTCCCCCCATTACTGCGCGCGGCCGACAAGACCATCCAAGTACCCGAATTCCTGCAGAAAGCCATCGTGACCATGGAGATCATCCGCAACAGCCGCCGCCAGACGCGCCAGACGCGCATGCTCTCCACGCGCAGAGAGAACTCGTCCATGTGGTTCTAATTTGATCATGTACAGACAATTCCTTTTTGCACAGATCTTCTCTAAAGTTCCAGATCTGGCGTACTCAAAGGTTTGTTTGAATCCTAACCTAACTGTATTGTCGAACCCCTGTGATGGAATCTGCCCTCCCTCTAGGTCCCGTCACTTCGGGGTTTTCCTCGTCAAGCGCAGATCAAGCCCAGAGGAAGAGGAAAAGCAAAGTTGACGAATGGCTGGAGGTCGCGACGGTGGTCGAGGTGGCCGTCGCGGCGGCAGACAACCAAGTGGAAGGGGGAGGGGGCGAGGCCCTGGCAACCGGAACCAAGGCGGTGGTCGAGGACGAGGGAGGGGGCAAGATAATAACCGGAATCAAGATCCACAAGGACGTAAGGCCTTTGGCCAAGGAGCAAGAACCGGCGGCTATCGAGCCCCCAAACTTCCGTTGAACCCCTCGAACCTTCAGTTCGTCCGGTCGGTTCTCAAGAACTGTCCGAACCACAAGCTGAAGGAGACGGTCGAGCACATGCACAAGGCCTGGCTCAGTAGCTGGCAGGGGGTGGAGAGCCTCCCGTTGGATGCAGTCAAGATGCTGCTCTCGGCTCTGACGCGCCTGCCGTTCTCCGCGTCGATCGAGCCTCCCCCTCTACCCGCGATCAGCAAGGCGGTGGCTGTTCTACTCAGTCAATTGACGCAGAGTGGTGAATCCTCCCTAGACGGCAACGATGAGATTCTGGAGGGGGTAGAATTGGTAGAGCGCGTCGTCACTAGACTACTGAAGTTCACGTGGAACTTGAAGCGAGACGACGTCAAGGACGCACTGGACGAGATGGTGGCCCAGGCGGACAGTAGTCTGAGTGTCCGACAGACTACCCACCGTCCAGTTCGTGCTCGATTGGGCACGTTGCTGAGTGAAATGGAGAAGTCGTGGGTCATCAAGGTGAAAGTGCGGGAGTGGAGTGAAGTAGAGTCGAAGGAGGCTGCTCTACCGGACTGGAGACACCCTACCGTGGCGTGGTTGGCGGACTACCACAACTTCCAGCCAGCTTTACTCCCGAAACTCCAGCAGCCTCGCTCAAATGAAGGCAAAGTCTACGAGAACACGGAGGAATATTTCGTGACTATTGTGAAATTGTGGATCGGCATGACGTTCGTCGAGGGGAACAACGCCTTGCTGCCTCATTGCACGGTCAAAATGGGGGACAAAGTGTGTGACCAGCCGCTGTGGCCCTTCCCGGGCAAGGAGAAGCTGCTGAACTGCAAGAACTCGCAGTGTGATCGCTACGCAGCTTTCATATGTGCCCACAGACTGCACTCTAAAGGTTTCTGCAGCAAGTGTGCGGCCGAGTACCAGCAGCGACTGCGCGGACCCCCGTCCAAGAATGCGTCGACGCACATCTACGGCGGCTTCATCTCTAACGTCAAGTACGACGGCACCCTCTCGATCGAGCAGGTCGAGTCACGTCGTCCGCCGTTGACTCCCATCCACTGGCGTACGACCAAACGGCTGTCAAGTCCCAACTTGGTTGGAGTCGTGAGGCTCGCCAACCGTGAGGCCTCGCTGCGAACGACGGACGAGATTTTCTGGGCGGAGATCACGTTCCAGGGCAAAAGTAATGACGAGTACAAAGCCAGAGAGAAGGGGCGTCTGACGCTGCGTCTGCTGCAGTATCTGGATGAACCGGAGAACGCTCTGATGGCGCAGAATCCGGCGGTCGGGGACGCCGTGGCGATTATCGACTGCCAGACGTTCGTACCGGAGTTTATCCCCGTCTTGATAGCGCTGGAGAAGCAGCGCCAACTGCCTGTACCATTCCAGAATGGAGCACTGTTGAACTTGTCGAACGAAGCGCTGGCGTTCGGAAGAATTCGATCAGAGGGTGGGGACTATGAAGGTGAGAATGCTAGTGATTCGGCTGAGGATTCAGATTTTAGTGCGCCGACGCAGGATTTAATCCGGAAGGTGGTGCAGTTCTCGCTGCTGGATTCAATAGCCGACATTCGAAGAGATCCAGCGCTACGGGTGAGATTGGAGCAAAAGCTGCTGGGTCTGGTGAACGGAGCGACGCTGGATCCAGGCCAGTTGAAGAGTTTTTGTGAAGCCATGATGTACCCGGTGCACTGCACTCAAGGACCCCCTGGCACGGGCAAATCGTACTTGGGCGTGGTGGTGGTGCGAGCTTTGTTGATTGTCCGGGACCTCTGGAAGCAGAAGAACCGCGAGGTCGGAGACCCGCCGATCCTCGTGCTATCGTACAAGAACCACGCGATCGATGAGTTTCTGCTGGACTTGCTGCGGTCGGAGCCTTCACTGGATCATACGCCAAAACACACGCCCTACTTCGGGAGGTACTACCTGGGGAACAGCTTTAAGAAGCTCGTTCGTATCGGCGGAGGGGGTAACGAGCCGGAGCTGGAGCAGTACCGTGAACGGAACGTCGCCAACTCGGATCCAAGTGTCCGTGCAGTCTCAAGCCGCATCGAGAAGTGCCAGGAGTTGCGGGACCAGTGGCACAAGTTCCGAGACGTCTTCGCTCCGATTTGCGAGGCGCAGACGTTTGTTGCACGCGGAACCAAAACGCTCAGTACGGACGACTGGAAGATTGTGCAGGCGGGGGTTCCGGCACTGTCGGAAGCCGTGGCCACACTTTGGGCGCTGTCAAAGGCTTTGGATGCGGGCAACACCGAAGAAACGGTACCTGCGCTTACTGAGGATGCCGGTGAGGATTCGGATGCGCAGACCTCGCCTGTGGTGTTCCTGAATCTTGTGCTGAAGGAGAAGCCGATGCTGACAAACACAGACATTGTACGGTTGCACAAAGGCATTAAGCACTATGATCCTGAGATCGACCCTCGGGAGGTGCTGTACCAGTGGATCTCGGGTTTCCGTCCATTGCCAGCATGTGGCTACTCTGAATCAGCGGACTCTTGCCTACGCGTGTGTACCGACGGAAGCGACTTTTGCCAGGAGCATTCGTGCAAGTTCTCGATAGACGGACAAGCGTTTTGTCAGGATAGCGTGGCACACAAGCGACTGTACTGCACGCGGCACTTGTGCTCAGCCGGCAAGTGCAAGAACTGCCGACTCGATGAGGCCCAAAGATTCTGTGAAGACCACGTGTGCTTCGTGTGTCTGGCTCGAGGTGAACCCGCGCAGGAGGCGGTGGAGGATCCCCCTCGAAACGCGTGCGAGCAGCACCCGCTGTGTTGGGGTCTGGATGGAATGTGCTCGGAGGTCGCAGAGCCCAACGCGTCCTACTGCAAGGCGCACGCAGAGGATCTGTACTGCAAGTGGACGTCGAAGCGTGGCGAGGCTTGCGTTGATATTGCTACCACGGGTCAGTACTGTGGCAAACACCACGCCGAAGTCGTTGCTGCTTTAACTCGTGCGGCTCAATCGAGTACCGACAAGTGCCAGGCGAAGACGAGGAAGGGCAAGCCATGCAAAAGTTACCCACTGCCGGGCTCTAGTTTCTGCAGGGACCACGTTGGGCGAAGCAGTAGCCAAGTTGCTGCGAAAACTCCGGAGCTAGTGCTGCCCAACTCGGGTGAACTACAAGCCAGCGCGGCAGATTCTGTTGAAAGCCAGGAGACTGCGCCAGTCGAATCGCCAGGGGAGCGACCCTCGCAGTCTTCTGAAGTCGGCGAGTTTAATACAGGGGTTCAAGACGCTGCTGCAGATGAATCTAAAGCGGAGGATGATGATGATCTGATGAGCTCGGACAGTGACATGGAGGACTTCGTCGACGCCGTCCAATACGACAACGAAGACGAAGTGGAGGAGTCTGAGCATCTGCAGCACATGCGCGACGTCTTCGAGGTAGAAGACGACGAAGTCGAGGAGACTGTCGAAATCGTGGACGATGCAGACGAAGAGGAGAAGGCCCCATGGACGACACCCGATCAAACGCTGGTACTGCCTCCGGAGTGGCATTGGGGGATGGCGTTAGAGCAGCGGTGGAGCGCACTCTTCTCGGTTCTAAACCTCTGGGGCGATCTCAACGCGAAGCTCCAGCACGAGCTCTCAAAGACCCTCGAAAACCTGAAAATCGAGCACCAGCGTGAAGTTCTCCGAGCGAATTCACGGGTTTACGAGGGCAAAGCTGTCATCGGAGGCACGATCACCGGCTGCGTCTCCCGATTAGAGGCCATCCGTACGACCAACCCGTTCGCGATTCTGGTTGAGGAGGCGTCGGAAGTGATGGAACCGCTGCTGTTCTCGTGCTTCAGCTCGTCCACGCGCAAGCTGGAGATGATCGGCGACCACATGCAGCTCCAGCCGTCGGTCATGGGCCTCATCGACTTCGAGCGCGTGAACAAGATCAACATCTCCATGTTCGAGAGACTCATCAGCGCTCCACAGGGCAGCGAAGTGCCGTCGTCCGTCCTCTCAATCCAGCGGCGAATGCGTAAAAACATTTGCGACCTCACGCGGAATTTCTACAACGAGATCACGAACATCGAAGACCACGAAATGTGCGGGACCAAGCTCATCGGTGGTGCGAAGCGGAAAGTGGGGGGTGCCCCCCTCCTCGACGCCTGTGAAGGAGAGGGGCGTGAAGTCCCGGGGGTGTCGCCACATATTTTCTTTTGGACGCATACTGGGGCGCAACAACGCGCATCAGTTGGCTTGTCACGCGTGAACAACCAGGAGGCGACGATGACGTGCAAGTTGGTGCAGTATTTAGTGCACTGTGGTGTCCCGGCCAAGTCGATCGCTGTGCTCACGCCGTACAAGGGTCAGCTCATGTTGATGCGTAAGCTGTTGATGACAACTTACGGGCTGAGGACGATGACTTCAGGACGGGATCCTAAACCTGTCCCGTCCTGCTTTCTGTCTACGGTGGATCGCTTCCAAGGCGACGAAGCGGATATCGTCATCATATCGCTGGTTATTGATGGAAAGTCTCGCACGCCATTCGTCAAGCTCCAGAACCGCATGATTGTTCTATTGAGTCGTGCAAGGTTGGGCATGTACGTTGTGGGGAATGTCGAGTACTTTGGCGAGACTGCGCACTGGAAACAGACCTTGCAACTGCTCGAGAACGACGCGGAACCGGATAATACTGACGCTAACGCGGACTGTACAACGTACAGCGGACCGCGTATCGGACCGGCGCTCCCGATCTGCTGCCCCGCGCACCGAACGTCCGTTAAGCTGGCAAAAGGAGATTATGACTTGAAGCTTGGGTTCTGCACGGTGGTGTGTTCAAAGGAGCTGTCGTGCTCTCACGAGTGCGGCTTGATGTGCCATTGGCCGCAGATCGACAAGCACAACAAGCGCTGTGCCGTGGAAGTGGAGTCGCCCTGCAGTCGGCACCCTAGAGTGCTCAAGTGCTCCGCGGTTACCGGTTCTTCTGGGAATATGTCGATTGATGAAGCGTTGAAGAAGTATCAGTGCGATATCCGCGTGGACGTGAGCTTGCCCTGCGGCCACGACCAGAAGATGAAGTGCCATACTCACATCGAGATCCTGTCCGGACGGGATAAGTGGCCGGTGTGTACCAAGAAGGCGATCGCGCCGTACGTCTATGAAGAGTGCAAGCATATTCTGCAGTGCACCTGCAGTGAGTTTGATCGCTACTCGAAGGGGTTCGCGCCTCCGTGCTCGGAGAAAGTCGAGTACACGCCACCGTGTCAGCATACGGTTTCCTTATCTTGTCACGACCGTCAGGGTTACGTCAGTGGAGTGCGTCGACTTACTTGCCAGGAGAAGGTCAAGCTGGCGCTGCCTCGATGCGGACACGAAACAACTGTGTCGTGTCCGACAGCGGAGACTCTCAAGCAATGGACGGGTGAGGCGTGCTCAACGCTGGACTTCGTCCAAGAGGGGGGATCCTACGGCCCGAAAGACTACTTTTGCAAGCGAACTGTCAAGTTCCAACGTCGTTGCGGCCACCACGAGATGGTGCGGTGTGAGAGAGCCTTTGAACTTGCACAGAGCCCGTCACGTTGCCGGGAGTCGGTGGTGGTGGCGAATCCAGAGTGTGGACACGAGTGCTCGACTACTTGCTTCGAGAAGGAGCGGCTCTACGAGAAGGTTGCTCAATACTCGAGCAACATTGACGATATCGATCCGCTGGAAGTGGTGAACGAAGGGGATTCCAGCAACTTCCGCAACTACGGACTCAACGTTCAATGCAGTCACGAAGTAACGTGCGTACGGACCTGTGGCCACAAGGCCACGATGAAGTGCAGTGAGGCTCGACATGTCACTGCGGTGTGTGAAGAGCTGGTGACGGCGGAGCTGCCCGTGTGCGGCCACGTAGTGCGTCTGCCGTGTCACTTGAGCAAGTATTTAGTTGCGTGGCAGCCGTGGCAAGGTCAGACGCCGCCGTTGGTTCAATTCCTGCACGACGACAGTGTGGTGGTGGACACTCTACCGGTGCCAGGGGCGAGGCCAGCAATGCTCCGACCAATCTTGAAGGACTGCGTGGCTCCTGTACGCTTCCGTCGGACTACAACGTGTGGCCACGATATCGAGATGAAGTGCTGTGACGCGTTTAAGGTTCTGCAAGGCAAGCAAGCGTCAAGTCCCTGTGCCATTCGTGTGTTGAAGCAGCTGAGCTGTGGGCACGAGGTTGCGATGAAATGCTCAGATGAAGTGGAGACTGTGAACTGCCAGGAATCAGTCGAGAAACCCTGTTGGAACTTCGCTACGTGCGACAGTAAAGTCAAAGTTTCGTGCAAAGTGTCGGCGGATACAGTGCAGTGTTCGAACGAGACGGAGTGGGTTTGCCCCGCTGGACATTCGTTCCAGTTGCGACTGTGTAGCCGAGGATTCCCGTCGGATTGTCCTCAGTGCTCTATGTCTCGCTTGGATGGTATGATCAAGGAGACACACCGTATACTGAGCGACAAGAAGCTCGGCTTGTGGCCACCAGAAGCAGCACGAATTCTACCTGGAATGAATGGCGTGACGCATATCACCATGAGTCAACCGAGCAAGCGCGACTTCCTCATCCGGAAGATGAAAATGCTGGAGAGATTTAAGGGTGACCAGGCTTCGAAGGCGCAGTGGTCAACTTCCCTCTTCTCGGCTGTGGAGTTTCCTGTGTTTGTCGTGTTAAATCGGAAGTTGCAGTCGCAGCACATTGATAAGTTTGAGATGAAAGATTTCGGGAACCAGCAATTCAACGGGATGGAGGTGTACGAAGCGACCCAAGAGAACTTCAACCGAATCGCCGGTACGGGCAAAGCGAGTGTTTTATTTGGTCACCTTTTCACGGTCAAGCACTTGAAGAACCCCGTCGATCTTCCCAAGAACAAGGGCAAAAAGGGGGCTGCTCTGCGGGAATGGGTACGTCGGCAATCTTCTCATGGCTACGACGCGCTGTATCGAGACGCAAAATCTGGCAAAGAAGGTGGCAATTGGATCATTTGGTTCCCGTACGCGATGTTCCCCACCCACCGGGTCGACATCACGGACTCAAACCGGGGCGCTATCCTGGATTGTCTACCAGAGAGGTCCCAAGTAGAGCAACCACCTCAAAAGATCACGTTCATGAAGCCAAATGCGAGCGCTAGTGGGGACGAAGAGGAGGAGGCTGCTGTACGTACACAAGTGGCGTCTATTTTGTCAGTGGAAGACCAGGATAAGCTTCGAGTGTTAGCTGGCTCAGTGAGTCCTCTGTACGAGCAACTCAACGTGTGGTTTCCGTGGGACGGCAAGTCACTATCAACCGGCGCAGCTGAAGCCATCCCACAGCGCATGGAGAAGACTCTCGCTTCGAAGCTGAATTTCATCCCATCAACACTAGCCAACACGAAGAACGAAGCGCCCAAGAATCCGTTTGGAGGGATCAACTACCTGAAGAACGTGCAGGGCCAAGGGAAGCTGAAAGAGGATGGAAATCTGTTCATGGCGTTGGAGCTGCTGGCTGTTCGGAAGCAAGATACGGCCGAGGTGCGCGTCAAGTTGGAGGAATACGTGGCCAAGATCTGCGCTGAAGAAGGTGGGGGCTACGCACACCCGCTCGTTATCATTGCAGTCGCACGCTTGGCAGCTCGGTTCAGCCAGGCCTCCTCATCCGATGTCCACAGAAAACTCATTGAGCTATTCGCCAAGTTGTATCCCGAAGCGAGCGCGATATGGCTGAACGAGCCGGAATTGAAGCACGTGGAGCCCGTAACCAGTGCAGTAAATGCGGCGAGCGCTATCCTGTCCGGTACAGCTTCCGTTGAGGACAGGTGGGAGGCTTTGAAGAGCCAATATGGCTGTCACTCGGAGGACATGGAAGAACTGCTCCATAAGAATGTGGGTCTGAAAAAGGTGAAGCAAATGGCTGTAAACCTCTTCAAGAGCGCGATGATGCTGCGGCAACTCTCTGCTGTTCAGCGGAAGAAGAACCCCATGTCATACAACTACTGCTTCATGGGGAACCCTGGCACTGGGAAAACGACCGTCGCTAAACTATTTGCCAGAATACTGTTCGACTCGGGGATTCGACGGACCAACACCTTCGTCGAGTGCACGGCCCAACAGTTGAAAGACGACGGAGCCGCTGAGTTCCGCTTGAAATTGAAGAAAGCGATGGGAGGCGTGCTCTTTATTGATGAGGCGTACGAGCTGGATCCGGCAGGCGACTTTAAGGGCAAACCTATTGTCGCGGAATTGTTGACAGCAGCTGAGGACAAGCGAGACGACCTGTCGATCATCCTCGCGGGCTACGAGGACGACATCCAGAAGAAGTTGTACGCCTACAACGACGGTCTCAAGTCTCGATTTGAAGGAGTGATGTTCGAAGACTTCGACGCACAAGACCTGGAGGTTGTATGGGACCGAAAAGCGCAAGACCGTGGGTGGGAGTACGAGAAACCCATCGCCAAGGTGGCCTGTCGTCGTCTTGCGAAGGCCGCGGGGCGGAAAGGTTTCGGCAATGCTCGAGCGGTGTTGAAGCTACTCGAACAAGCGAGTAAAGAGGCGATGGCGCGGGAGGATTTTGACGGTTCGCTCACCTTCAAGACGGTGGATTTACTCGGGGATCGTCCGTCTACCAACCCCAAGCTGCAAGCGGTGCTGAATGAAGTGGAGGAGAAGACGGGGTGGCGTAAAATTAAGGACGAGATGAAGAAGCTGGTGAAAATTAGTGACGAAAACTACGAGCGGGAGCTCAAGGGCCAGGAGACGGTGCCCGTGTGTCTTAATCGACTCTTCTTGGGCAACCCGGGAACGGGTAAAACCACGTGCGCTGGATATTACGGACGCATTCTGAAGGCGCTTCACTTCTTGAGCAATGGTGAAGTGGTGAAGAAGACAGCGGGGGATTTCATCGGTAGTCACGTCGGTGAGTCGCAGACGAAGACGTCGCAGATCTTGGAGGCGTCCAAGGGGAAAGTCCTAGTCATCGATGAAGCGTACAACTTAAACGACAACATGTACGGCAAGCAGGTGTTAGACGTGCTGGTGGAGAAGGTTCAGGGCACGGAGAGCGACGATTTAGCGGTGATTTTGATCGGATACGAACGCGAGATGCTGGAGATGCTGCGCACTCAGAACCCAGGACTGATGCGGCGATTCCCCCCGCAGTACGCGTTCCAGTTCGAGGACTACACGGATCACGAGCTTCTGGACATTTTGGAGTGGAACTGCGCGAAGAGGAACGTGACGTGTCCGTACGACGTGGCGGAGGCGTTGTTGAAGCAGTTGGCGCTTCAGAAGACCCAGTCGAACTTTGGAAATGCCGGAGCAGTCGAGCAGTTGCTGAAGCACGCAATGGGCAAGGCCATGAGTCGCCCCATGGTCAACGGCATGACTGTGTTGACGTTGGAGGACGTTGGTGTCGAGAAGGAGGCACAGCAGAAGGACCCGCTTGAGCTGCTGGATAAACTGTACCGCATGGACGACATCAAGGAGAAGCTATCGCAGCTACGGAATCAAATGATTGTGGCAGACCGCGAAGGCTCTGGACTGCCAGAAGTGGGCCACTTCGTCTTCCGAGGGTCCCCCGGTACGGGTAAAACTACCGTCGCGCGGGTTATGGCCGAGATTCTGCATGGTATGGGGGTGTTGGCCACTAAAAAGCTGGTTGAAACTTCGGGGCTAGACCTTACTAGCGAGTATGTCGGTCAGACGAAGAAGAAAGTGACGGATAAACTGGGTGAGGCCAAGGGAGGACTGTTGTTCATTGATGAAGCGTACGAGCTGGGGAAGGGCAAGTTCGGGGAAGAAGCTATGACGACTCTTGTCGCTGGGATGACCGACCCGACCTATGCTGGGATGGTCATCATTATCGCCGGGTACCCGAAGGACATGGACCAAATGCTTGACCGAAACGTTGGATTAAAGAGCCGATTCACCCGCTTCATCGACTTCCCCGACTGGGAGGCGCAGGACGCGGTCGTGTTCTTGAGTGAGAGGGCGGAGACTGAGAACTTCGAGGTTGGAGGTGAGGCTGTGCTGTCACTTCAGCACACGTTCGTGGAGTTGAAGAAGCTGGGGAACTTTGGCAATGGGCGTGACGCTGTGCGGATGTGGATGGAGCTTCTACAGTGTCGAGCCCAGCGCGTAGTAGATGAACCGGAGGAAGAGTATACCATTACGGAGAGTGATGCGGAACAAGCGGGCGAGAGCCTATTAGCTGCTCGACGTGGGTCTGGAATTCCAGGCAAGGGCGTCGCGGCCGATGAAGACCCGATGAAGCTGCTGGACGGACTGTACCGCATGGACCAGATCCGAGAGCAGCTCACGCGCTTGCAGATGGAGATGGCGGTAGCGGAACGTGAAGGCTCGGAGCGTCCGGAGATCGGCCACTTCGTCTTCCGAGGGTCTCCTGGCACGGGAAAGACGACGGTGGCGCGCGTGATGGCGCAGATCTTGCACTCGATGAGAGCTTTGGGCACTACGAAGCTGGTTGAGACCTCCGGGTTGGATCTTACGGGCGAGTATCTGGGTCAGACGAAGACGAAAGTGACGGAGAAGCTCGTGGAGGCGAAGGGAGGGCTGCTATTCATCGACGAAGCTTACGAGTTGGGTAAGGGGACGTATGGAGAGGAAGCGATGACGACGCTGGTAGCTGCGATGACGGATCCCGCGTATAGCGGCATGGTGATCGTGATCGCGGGCTACCCGAAGGACATGGACGTCATGTTGAACCGCAACGCCGGGCTTAAGAGCCGATTCACACGATTCATCGACTTCCCGGACTGGGAACCCGAAGACGGCGTGGCGTTCCTTCGGGCGAAGGCGGAGAAGGAGGGGGTGAAGCTGGAAGCTGAAGCTGAATTGGTCCTGGAGCGAACTTTTGCGGCGTTGAAGATGCTGGATGGGTTCGGTAATGGTCGAGACGCTATGCGGGTATGGAAGGAGATGAAGCAGTGTCGGGCAACGCGAGTGTTTAAGAACGACATACACGAGGAGGTGAGGACGATCACCGCTGAGGACGCAGCCATGGCTGGAGAGAGCATCGTGACTGCACGGCGCCCACCCGATGGACCGGTGCTCTCGCAGTCGTCGCTGGTTACGGATACCTCGATGTTTAAGGTTCAGGAGCAGCAGCCACGACAAGAAGAATCATTCTCTGAGGCCACGGAACAAAAGGAACCTGAAGAATTTTCGTTTGAACAAGAGCCGGAAGAGAAAGAGGCGGTCTTAGAGGAGAAGGTCGAGGTGGAGGCTGAAGAAGACCCGGACGCGGACGAAGATGAAGATCGAGATGAGAAAAAGTCCAAGGAGCAGCGGGATTCTGGCGTGTCTGACGAAGACTGGGAGGAACTGGAGCGCGCGAAGGAAGCCCACGCTGCTCACCTGGAGGAACTACGCCGTGCCCGTGACCAAGCCAAGCTGGAGGAAGAGCGACGCCGCGCTGCGGCCATTCAGGAGAAGATCCGTCGTATCTGTCCATGTCCAGCGGGCTACACTTGGTATAAAGTTAGCGGTGGATGCACACCGAGTGTGGGACGCTCAACTGAACAGCCAGTTCACGAGCTAACGCGGATCGAATGGTCCCTACACGTGCCTGTATCACGTGGAGTTTCAGTTTACCCTACCGGTAATACAAATTCGCATTTACCTATACGTCAGAATGAGCTAGTACATACTTCTCTTCTAAATGACGACTACTTTCGCACGCAGCGTGACAGTAGTAGTAGATGAATACAGTAGATGTTGCCGGGCAAAGGGTTGAATACTGTACTGCTACATGTAGGATATGGTATTCGCAGCAGAAGCAAACAAGAGGAGAGTTAGGAATAAATGCACCAATTTCGTGTTTACGAACACAAGGACCTCTAACGCGGTCCAGCCAGTACATCCATGGGGACGACGCGCTGTTTGTTTTGTTGTAAAAATGACGTGTCCGTGATGAAGGTTCAGCATAATGGCGCAGAACCAAACACCTTCACAATGTTCTCAAGCAAACACTCGCAACATTTTTTCTCCAGTTTAGTCCTTGAGCATGGCGGTGACGCCGAAGATGATGGCCGCCGCGATCGTCGATCGGTAGAGAATCTTGAGGAACTTCTTGACGCGGGGCCAGATGCGGCGGTCCTTCTTGACGGCGTTGGCCGTGGCTACCGTCACCTCCTTGATCTGCTTGTTCGTAAGGTCATCCACCTTGGTGCCGACGCCGTTGGCCGCCGCCAGATTCTTGGCGCCCACTCGACCCTTGAGTTTGCCGAAGAGCGACTTGGCGTTCCCCAGAGGCAGCCCGCGCTCCTCCTCAGCGGCCGACTTCCACCACTCCTCACCAGACGACACAATGTGACTGCCCTTGAGACGGCGAACCTGGTCGATGAACTGAGCCTCGTTCGCCTCCGTTTTAGCCTCGGGGACGGCGATTTGAGCCACGTTTTCGGCGCTCGAGGCACTGATGCACGTGGCGGCGTAGGTGGCCACCACCAGAGCGAGCAGGAAGTTGACGCGCATTTTAAATCGTTCGACAAGAGTGAGTCGGAATCTGAATCTGAACCTGGACGTCGGTTAACAAGTGAACTGCATCAACCGCGTATGCTGGAGGCGTCGCCCAAAGAGCCCCAATCCGATGGACTATCACGGGCAGATCTGGGGATGCCGGACTCGGACATCTGTCGGGAACAGCCAGTTCGTCTGGACAAAAAAAGTATATGGGCGCAGGACTCCTGCGCCCATACCGGTATACAGAAGGTGGCGCCTTAGCGGTACGGCATATAACTGATCACCTATAATAACTACTTCTATCAATTCATAGGATTGCATACTAATTATCTATACTCCAACCCCCAATACTAAAGTCCCCGTCTATGATGAATATATCAGGTGTCTCTCTAAGGCGCCACCCTCTGTACTTTTGTCAGGAGCCAGTGCGGCGAGTGGGGATCAGCTGGTTAGTGCGATCAACATGGAGCCGGCGGAATACGGTCGACTCGATCCCCAAAGCAGCGTCTGAACCTCGCGTTACCTCTTCAACGTCGTTGGATGCGAAGAGCGCAAACCGCAGTGAAAGCCTCTGAACACGGCAAGCGCTAGTATTGTGCAAGAGCCTAATCTGTCTACATTACCCCACGCAGGACGGACCGGGGAGTGGCAACAGCGCGGCTTTCAGAAAACGCTATGCTGGTGTACTAAAGGAAGGGACTGGGACGAAATATTTGGACAACGAGTTGCATGATTTGTCGCCATTCGCTCACTTGCACAGAGATTACTAAGACGACGCGGGCCTTGATGAGCGCAACGAACGCGAGGCCTTTGACAGCCAAAGCGTGGCGTAGATGAACGTGGGCTGGATGAACGTGGGCTGGATGCAGGACTTGCCTTGGTGGGGGGGGGGGGGCTATTGCCAATCCACGTGAAATTGAGCATGGTACGGTATAGAATGTAAGGTTGGCACAGGCAGCAAAACTCGTTCCTGCTTCGGGATGCTTCACCGAGACCATACAGAGCGGTATAGACCCCAAACTTGTTTCAAAAGTGAAATTTGTTCGGGTTTGTCAGATTTGGATACAAGCCGCTTTCCAATAAGCATCCCCTCGTCTTATTAGGCAAAATTCTCCTGGACTCAAATGTTCGTATAGCTTTGCTTAGATGGTAAGGGGTGTGTGCCACATCAAAAATAGCACAAGGCCGCGAGTCAAGAAGAGGTTGGTACAGAATTGCTACAGTGCATTTTGCTTACTTAGCCGGCATACAGACCAATATATATTTTTCCCGGTCACAAGGATTTCATACCCCTTCACCTTTCCTGTGTGTCTTGAGAATACCGGAGTACTGTAGAACAATGCTCCAACCGAGTGCTATTGGTGGCATAGTGTTGTATTTGAACCGGTAGCCCTCTTAGCACTACCTTAGCTGAGAGGTTTAGCACACGCCGAAGTCGATTGATTGAATCGACCGAGCCAAATCGCCAGCAAACCGCCAGAGCTGTACGACTTGCTTACAAATTCGACTGCTATTATTTCTGAGCATGCTTACCGACGCAAGGAGGTCTTTTGGAAGCTGCAATTACAAGGAAAAGAAGGCATGGGACTCTGTACCCCAAGGGAGAATCCTGAGCTGCAGGAGGCTCACCGGCAGATAAGGCCCACTTTTTAGAACATTCAAATTCTAGAAACGGGGCAGATATTTCTGTGTTTGTATTACGAACCCCATTGTGTAGCATTTATGTTGACACCACTCGACAGCCCCGGCGCTACTTCTGTTTTGTATGCATTGCGGTCAGGGCTGATTTGAATATGTTTGTTCGGCACTAAAAATCTATTTTTCCGCGCTCAACCAGAGGCGCTGTTGTCATCGGTTTCCCCAGATAAAGCTCGGAACTACCTACCAAGACCCAGGGCAGTAGCAGGCAGTGGTGAGGCCACATCAAAAGTGTCGGTAACTACCATTTTTGCAAGTCTCCGTTCTAGATTTAGACCGTTCTAAAAAATGGGCTCGTAAAAAATATCGCTGTCGGGTGATACGAAAATCATCTACAACGCCAACGCGTAGACACGTAGGTTTTTAGACACTGTGCTCACATTGCCGTGTGACTGTTGACAAGCTTCGTCAGATTGGCATTATACCTACACTAAACCTGTTCGCCTTGTTGTCCAACAAACCTACCGACTCATTTCGAAGACGCTACGTGAAAGAAAGCACGTCTCGATACAGACCAATTTACTCTCATCTTCACCAACGCATACATTTTACAGTAAAAAAAGTATAATCCTCGAGCATTGTTTCATTAAACAAATAAGGATCCAACGCTGTACGGCTAACTCAGCTCGTTGATATGTCCAGCCACTCGAACAAGCACCCGGTAGGACATGAGCTATCTCGCAGCAGTCACACGCAAAAACTCCATCCGGCGAGCCGAGTAAAACCCGCGTCGAGGCCGATGATGAAAACGTACTTAGGCAACTCCTGGTAACACCGCAGTTGATGCTTACAGAGAGCCGTCCGTGGCGGGGGCGGTGGTGGCCTTGGTACCGAAGGCCGCCTTGCCGACCTGGTAGATAATAGTGCCACCAACACCCACACCGAGCGTGATGAGGAGGGCCTTCCTGATCTTCTGCCACTTGGTGCGGTCCTTCTTGACGGTGGCGGTCAACTGCTTGGTCAGCATCTCGATCTGCTTGGTCGTGAGCTTGGCCGATTCCTTGGCGCCGGCGGCCATCCTGGCGGCCGTGCCACGGATCCCGACCTCGGTCATTTCCTCAACGAACTTGGTGGCGATATTTGGGGACTTGTAATTCTTGAAGGCAGCAGCGGCAGCACCGATGTTCTGCTGGGCGCGGAGGCTACGCGACTCGGCGACAGCCTCGGCGTTGGTGAGGCTGATGCAAGCGACGAAGGTGGCGACCACCAGAGCAAGGAAAACCGTGAACCGCATTGTTATTTGCTGTGCTGTGCTTCTCGATGTCTTCGGGGACGAGGGAGATTCTAGAATGAGAGCGACAGTAAACTGTAGGAGGAGTGGACATCCCCCCACGACAATTTTACAGCAGCAGCGTTGGTAGCGGCATGTGAAGAGAGCCGTTGCTTGAGAAGTGGACAGGCTGTTCCGTGAGGAAAGCCAATCCGATAGGAAATCCAGGTTGTTTGTGGTCCAAAGTTGGTACACTGGCGACCGGACTACAGAAGGTGGCGCCTTAGAGGGACGGCATATAACTGATCACCTCTAATAACTACTATCAATTCATAGGATGGCATACTAATTCTCTATACCCCAGCCCCCAATACTAAAATCCCCGTCTATGATGAATATATCAGGTGTCTCTCTAAGGCGCCACCTTCTGTAACTCGCGTGAGTTAATCTGACGCTCAGACTTTCAAATATTCAAAATATCACAACCTTGGTGTAATCTACACGAGATTACCGCTTCGGTGGCGATCGGTGAAACCGCACATAACAACAGGGTAACCGATGTCGCTCAGCTTGAAAGTAGCATCCAAGTGAAAAATTAGAAATGCTTCGCGATCCTGTAGCGAACCGATGTTTTGCATTAGCTTCAAGCTCGTGATTCCAAGTATCAACGGTTCATCATATTCCCCGTTCCCGACAAAAGGGAAGCCGTGCTCACCTTCACGATTCCAAACCCAAACGGGGTGTCGGGATCCACTCCAGCAACGAAGGCCTTCGGCTTCACTAACTCTTTCGTCCTGACAATAGAGTTTTTAGACCCCTGCAGCCATCGATTGTACTTGACACTACGCAGAACTTGAGAGCACGTCGGAAACCCAAGCACTGGAGTCAGTATTTCAGGTGCCCGAAGCATGTTGCTCCAGGTTAAGCGTGGTGGAACCGCGTTTTCGTCCATTCGCTGGATGTAGTCGCGCATTTCACGTGTCACCTTGGCGCGAGGAGGTAACGAACACGCTATGTCTCCACGCGCGTGTGGCTGGCCATTTGTTTACGCAATCCACCGCTTCGAAGTCGGGCACTCATGCACTTTCCAGAGCGTTGCACATTTAACAGTTCCTTTGCAGTCTGGACTCTGACAGCGAAGGCGCCGCTCAGCCATCGAGTGGTCCCCGGGGCAAATCATACACCAGCGCGTCCTCACCCAAAATATGGCAGAACAGCAAAATCGCTCCCAGCGAAACTTGACGAACGCATCTTCGCCTTGGAACTCGGCTAACTTCGTCCAGGTGTGGTTTGAAGACATCTGAGGTGGGTACAGCTGCAGCTAGGTTCTCCGCAAACTCTCGAAAGGTACTGGCTTGTAGTGTTGTGTGGGGAGCTGTTGGCCGCGTTGGCGTTGGCCGAGGTACCACCTGGCCACGCTTTTCATTGTTAGCCAAAGGTCCCGACGCGAATATTACGAATCGATTGGAGCTTTCGCACGAATTTTCAGGACCCACATGAAAAGACCACTTCGAGTTGACGTGATAATGGGCGACGCCGAAGAGGCCCAATTGAACGAACTGCGGGATGTTGCAGAATGTGCAACCTGTCCGTACCTGATGTGTTTCTTCCACGTGATGTACAATGTACGCAAGCGAGTGCGACACTTACCAGATTCGGTGCGAGCTATGGTGTATCGTGGTATTCTTGACATGCACTACACACTCAACCAAACCGAATTTTGGGAGGTGTGGGGGCGTGTATCTCAAGAGTGGCAATGCGATAGAAGGTTGCACGTCTTTTTGACATATTTCGCGGCACAATGGATTCATAGCCGCTTCTGGAGATGGCAGATTTATCACTCTCCAGGGGAGTACGCTACAACCAACAACCCATGTGAAGTGTTCAATGCCAGCATCAATCGCTATACGCAGCGGAAGGCAGCGGATACGTGCCGTTTGGTGATGAAGCTACTGACGATTGCAGAAGATTATTCGCTGTGTGTACCACCTCCCATGGCATCTGGACCAAACGCCCCGCCTCAAGTTGCAAAGCAGCTGGCCCGAACGTTAGTGTCGACCAACCGAGTCGTCGTTTACGCTACGACCGAGAAGTCGGTTGTTCGCGTGCTATATCATTGCGGTGATCATTTGGAAGACCGCCCCGAACTGTCTGATCTTGACGAGTTGAAGGCCCCCAGCAACGCCAAAACTCGTCATCATATTGCCCGAGTGTTTAACAGATGCAGAAAAGGCTACCGCAGCCAAGTTCTATCGGGAAGCTGTGAAATGGTCTGTACGCCGTGCGCACCACGTTGGCATGCCACGAGGCGGGTGGGCGGTGCACCTGAGTTCGTTTGGGTGCTCATGTCTTTTCTATAAGAAGTTCCTGTCTTGTGCCCACATAATCTGTGGACGTGCGGCTTACGGACTCAGCGTGTCTGGAGTTAATGGGTCCAATTTAAGATTCAAGGATAGGCGTGTGCGCCAGAAGCGTCCACAAGTGAGCAGTGCGGCTACAGTGCATGTAGATGATTCAGCTACCGGTTTACTGCTGGCAGCCAACGAAGTGTCGCTGCATGGCAATCACACCGGGTCCAATCTCAGGAGACATGCGCATAACTTCCCAGCTCAAAGTCTTGGTGTGGTCGGGGCAGAAGTCGGGTTCGATATTGGCTTCGCGCCTGGTTTCAACCTTTGTCCGCAAGATCACACCAGATGCACACAGGCCAACTGGTTACACGGCGACTTTACCAGACCCGGTGGCTTTCCAGCTCGATCCACAGCATTTTCAGCCTCTCTACCCGCCGATTGCACAGCCAAGTCCTGCAGCTCCCCATATTCATTTCAGACTGGTTTGGCGACTTGGCAAGAAACATTTACCAGTTCTGGGCCATATGTATGGTCTACGTCAATAACATCTGAGAATTTGCCACCTCCAACCGAGCCCGTCCCCATCAGACGCCAAATTGGCCGTCCCCCCCCTGGCCACGGCGGCCCTCGACATGCAATTTTTGTTAGATTAGTTCCCGGCAAGAGGCTACCTTCGTGTCTATAGGAATATTACATCTTTTACGACTGAAGTACTTCTCAAAAGGTCGGTAATGTTGAAATGGAGGCTGGTTGTTGCCACCGATACCATGTAGTTGTTTCCTGGACCTTGCTTATATCGCAAGATCTACAAACATCTACGTCACAAAGCGATATAGTTGATGAATCACATAGTATGTATTCGAATGCCACTCTGTAGGTGTTTCTGGTTTTGTGAGTAGAACAATCAGGCTCGCGTAACGAAACCACTTTCGAGCTCTCCCGGAATCTATCTTGATTTCTCAACAGCGTTTTCCGTGTTAATAATTTAGAATTCATCGGCTTGGAAGCACCTGCTAACTATTAGCACTTGGTGCCGCCAACGCAACATGGTCACTATGTGTTACTCTCCATATATCAAAATGGAGGTTTCCATTGAGTTATATAAAGCCCACATGTGTAGTTTGGATCATCCCTTGACTTAGTTCGTGCTCGGCACTTGTCGCTTCGCGCTTGTCCTGTTCAGGCGTCAATAAGTCTTGGGCCTCGCTGCTGTCATCCTGTACAAGCAACCCCCTACTAGCTACAATGGACGGAAAGGCAACTTGGCTGAATAGGCGTTCGTGTTAACCGGATAAGTTCACGACCACTGCTCAAGTATAAGCGTATCGCCACAAATGCGGGCTTAGGGAATGTAAGCACTGCAGTTCGACCCTCATACAGCCCCCTGGCCTGCTGTAGGTCGGTTACGCACTACTTCATACTAACCCCGAAGTACTTCATACTAACCTCAAAGTGCTGGATTCAGAATAACTCGCGCGAGTTAATCTGAAATACTGGATTCAGAATAACTCGCGCGAGTTAATCTGAAATGCTGGATTCAGAATAGCTCGCGCGAGTTAATTTGATATATACTCTTGATCTGATTAAATCTGATACCTAAAATGATTGGCCATATACGGCTGACTATCATTCGAAAATTCCCCCTCCCTTCCCCTCTTTTCCGAATGAAGAGGCGGGTGTGTGTGAACTGCACTGAGAAGGAGAAGCTTGCGCTTCTTAGGCGCTGGAAAGTAGATAACCCAGATTGGGCTCTAGAAGAGGCCGCTGTCGAGCTTGGGGTCAAGGAATCGACTTTGAGAGGCTGGGTGAAGCGCTACTGGGATGTTTGTGACAAAGAGGTTGGCTCAGACCGCAAGCGCAACGAAGGCGGAGGACGAAAACACAAGATGAAGCCGTACGAAGGGAGAGTAATCGAATACCTTGATGAGCTTATGGAGGACAACTGGACGTTTGACGATGTGATGTTTTATTGCCGGAGCCTGGAAGAGTTCAACTCGGATTTTGATATTCCAGAGTCTCAAGTAACATGGGTAAAACGGTTTATCCAACGCTACACAGCACGTGTACCCCCTGACGATGGCGGTGTACCCTCTACTGACGGCGGTGCAACCTGTGGTGGTGGCGGTGTAACCCGTGGCGATGACAGTGAGCACGAGCAAGATAATGGTGTAACCCCCGGTGACGGCGCTGTACCCTTCGATGGCTGTGGAGATGAACACAGCGATGAAGACAGCTACGATAGCGCTGGATCAGATGAAAGCGATAGCAGTAGCGAGAGTATGGATTGTAACGAGTCCGAAGAGAGCGAGTATGAGGTACCTACAGCTGCTAAGAAGACTTCTTTGCCTCGGAGGCAGTCTGCTACCAGGTCGCGGAAGCAGAAGCCAATATTGGAGTGGACGCGTGGTGATGATACGAGCTGGATCTATCGCGAGGACCTGGACAGCCTAATGCCGCATCAGACTTTGACAGAGTCCGCCGTTGATTATTTTGTGTATGGTTTCATGCCTCGGAAGAATGGCTTAATTTTTTGCCGCGGAACTTCTTTTTTCCGAACGATGCAAGCCGTGAAAAGAACGAAGGAGAAAGCTGCAAGGGACGAGCGCCTCGTTGGTCACATAGGGAAATTTGACTGGGTATCGTACCGGTTTGTTATTCTTCCGGTCAACGGTAATAGTCACTGGAGCTTTCTTGTGGTTGAGAATCCCCTGCAGGGGGGCGTCATTCGGCTGTATCACGTTAATTCTGCTACAGAAGCGCACGATACGGCAAACGTGTTTTCCTTGATGCAGTGGTGGTTGGCGAAAGAGCGGGTCCCAGAAACAGCTTCGGTGGGGTCGGTTAAATGGAGTTTTAACGCCTGTCCTACCAAGCCTCAGCAGCAAAACTCTGTTGATTGTGGAATTTATCTGCTCTACTTCATCGAAAAGATATCCACAGCGATTATGAAAGATCGCCCGCATACGCTACGTGGATCAATGGATAAGTTTTGCTCCGACAAATTCAATGTCGAAAACTACCGTGCGCTTCTACACCAGCGTATTATCCGCGCGACCAACGCAGCAAATAAGAAGAGTAAAATCCTATAAATATAAGTACCGTGGCATCCTAATTACATTTCTTGCGCAGGTGTTACATGTACCTGCGCGCGCATGCTATCAATAATATTGTTGTCTCGCTCAGAGCGAGTCGCTCTAGCTTTTGACCAGTCCATTTCCCAGAGCGAGTCGCTCTGCATGTAGCTACCGACCTGTCCATTTCCCAATCGTCGATCGTGCTATGGTTGCTCGTGCCCGTTTGGTGTGGTTGCTGTTGTACAAATCTGAGGTTGTTATCGTCCTTTACTCCGCTGCAGGAGCTAGTCCTACAGGACTCCTGTCAAACTTACCTTACTCACGTTCAACCTCCCGCGGGTTAAGGTAAGGTTGGTCTCACCTCACTAACCTCGCTAACCTCCCACATACAAAACTCCATATAAACATTTATATGAGCTTACACGAACACACAAACGCCTGGACACCAACACCCGCGAACACCAGGACGTCGACGTGCACGTGAACGCCGACGCGCTCGTAGCTGCCGACTCGCTGTAGAAAGCCGATGTGCTCGAGGACGTCGCGATGCTCAAGGACGTCGACCTGCTGACGGACGCGGAAGCGCTCGTGGACGCTGACGGGCTCGAGGAGACCGACGCGCTCGTGGACGCCAACGCGTTCGTGGACGTCGAGATGCTCAAGGACGTCGACGTCGAGATGCTCAAGGACGCCCACGCGCTCGTGATGAATTTGATGAACGAAATAAAGCCTTTGGCCTTAACCAAGAGAAGCGGGCGAAAATGGGCTGCTATCCAACGCGCAAGAAGCACGTACACCTCCATCTGCTGCTCGGGGCTAACTTCACGAAGCTGTCAGGCTATTCTCATCCACATCGTCCTCTTTGCCGTAATTTGCTAGCGCTGCTGCGTGGTACTTGCTCATGTGCCTCTCAACACCGCTGTTTCCCTTGCCGAATCGAACCGATCGTTTGCACCTTGTGCAATATGCATACACAGTGTGCTCGTTCTTCAGGTTTTTATCATCGATATTCCAGAACCGGTAGTGAGCCACAAGCACAATAAACTGCCAGTGTTCAGGCTTTCGAATTTTACTCATGCCAAACTGTTTGTGAGGCGGTACTGCCATTACCGTTTCGTAGACTGGGGTCTGCCATAGTGGTGGAGGAGCTGTTAGCGTCGTAGCAGTCGAATTACCGCTAGCACCGACATCCACCGCTCGTTGCGCAGGCGTCATGGCGACCAAAGTACATCTATCACCGCCGTCCGAAGCTTGTTGCGCAGGTGTTGCGTCAACCCTGGGTACCGAGCGCTGCTGGACCTCTTGAACTTGCGACTCACTGGCGGCATCCGAATCGGAAGAGAACACGGTGTCTAACCTTCGGCTTCTCTTTGTTTGGCGCGTGTCGGTAGAAACAGCTCAGCGAAAATCACATCCTGTAGCGTTCCAACTCTCACGGGCGATAGTGTGTGGACTGCGATTTTGAGGGACAGACGCCATCGGCGTGTGCGAGGCGCTATTCAGCACTTCGTCAGGGAGGCGGTGCTCGTTCATCGCGCAAATTCGGCTGTAGAGATCGCTCCTGGTGACCAGCTCTGGATTAGACGTCCGAGCGAGGTCTGCGAGCCAGCTTAAAGTGCATGTACGCCGCGTACTCCGTACAGTACGCGGCACCTTTAAAGATGGGTTATTTATGCAAAGCATGATGGTTACGCAGGTTAGGCCGAGAGTCGGGGAAGTTGGGAGGTCTGAAGGTGGGTTGAGGTTACGGAGGTATTGTGCTTTTCAGTCGTTTTGGCAAATCGGACGTGTCAAACAGCTACCTACTAAGATAGGGCTAGGTTATCGGAGCAGATTAGCAGGTCCCTCGTAGGGAATTAGGACCAAGAATTGCTAGTCCGATGGAAGCACTTGCGCAGGTCTTCCAAACAGCCGAAAGCCCGAATGTCGCCCATTTTCACGGCATTTGGGGTTTGAGGTCTTACGAAGGACTCCTGCCAAGTCTTGTGGCAAGACTTTTGTTCCGCTTTGGGACGGTTCGCTCCACGCAGTGAGGCCACGACCACGAGGAAGACTGAGGAGGCGAACACCCGCACGACTTGACACGCACTTGGTAGATATTAGACTGAGCTCCTACCCCTACTGCTACACATGCACGTTGGGCAGCGTCTCCAGAGCTCCCAACCACTCGTTGCACTTCAACTCCTGTCCCCTGCTGTCCTTCTCCCAGGACCTTGTCTCTCCTTCCTTCGGCTTCTTCCAGGGCAGTGTCCGCACTGTCGCTCCTGTGACGCCCCCTCCAGTGCGCCAACGCACCACCGTGTGTGCTAACGGCTGCAACCGGAGCCGATTCATAACAACTTTCATACGAGCTGACTCTAATACGGTGTATGTCAAACGCAGAATAAACCTATGAAAACACGATGCAGTCGATACGTTAAACACTCCAGTCTTCGTCATTCGCCTTCGCGGGTTCCGGCATTGCTTGCTTCCCCAAACAAAGATTGCTTGACTTGGACTCCAACCGGGAGCCCCCTCATCGGACTCGTCCGAGATTTGCATCTCAGATTTAGGGACCACCAACCTCAGATTAACTGACCTCCAAAGTCCTACGTAGGACTCGGCAAAATGACCGAAAGGCACAATAAAGGTAAGGTTTGGGAAGCTGAGGTTGACAGGACTAGCAGGAGCCCGGGACCTGCAGTGTTTTGCTGCAAATGGCGGCTTTCGTAAGGGTTTGCCTATCCCGAATAGTTTTCCCGGGCACAGCCCAAGATTCTGCATCTGTCGCAAAGTCAATTTCTCGCACCGAGGTCATGCGGTTTTTGTTCATCTTCCAGGTGTCGTCCCATTATCATGGTCACTGTACATGTACCAAGGTCACTGTATACATGTACGGTGAGGCTCCGAAGGCGGAAGGTCTGAGACTGTTGCCCGTCTCCGGAGTTTGAAGCTCGGCTCAAGGGCCGCAGTTGACCTGGAAAATGCCTCACGACCAGTGGCTTGAAACGTCACCTTGCGGGCATCTCTGGTCGAACTCGAACGGCGCAGGTTTGGGACCGAACAAAGCCTTCATGAGCGAGAACAACCGGTCCTCGCTACGCCCCGCTTGCGGCTAGCTAAATCAAACTGTGAGATCAACTTTGAGTCAAAGTCAAAGTCTTTGACACTACGCTTACGTTGAACTGAAGCGCGTGTCACCCTGGGCTCGCGGGAATTGATCTTGACCGCGTTCTTTCAGAGCCTCGCATGCCTCAGCATTCATGTGGACGGTGTGCATTTTGCGCTAGAAGACTTAACTAGTTGGCTATGTACTGCGCAATTCAGTTATTTATACAATTTATAGCGTGTATACCAATAGCAAGCAAAAAGTCGAAATTAGAAGAGAGGAGCGCTATATCTGCACGCCGTCGATATATTTTCTAACTGCGCAACTGTGAGATAAGAAGACTGCAGCATTCCATGATAAGATGCCGCTCCGAATATAATCAGCTTCTAGAATCTTTCCTTTTAACAGTGCAGCTTCGAATTACGAGCTCAACAGCGAAACAAGGCTAAAAGAAGAAAGCTGAGAGCTTATTTTGATGGTTCAGCCCGCTGAGGTACTTAAGTACAAATATAGATAAGGCCTTGTATGATTCTTTGAATGCTCTCATTTCAAAAATGGCGCGCAGATGCCATCTCTGCAGGAAGGTGATCTCCAGCATCAGCAGCTTTCGCCGACACCTCGAGCACCGCGTCTGCCAGAAGCCTCGCCGTGCATCGTTGACGAAGGAGCAAATCAACGCCCAAGCGCGGGTGCGATATCACCAGCGAAAACACGGAGCATCTACGTCTATCCAGGTACAGGCTGCTGCCACTGTTGTTGCTGATGGCGTGTCAACCACCGTCCCTATCGAAATGGCTACAGTGGAATCTATGATCAGCGATACTGCCCTCGCTGCATCGCCTCCGGCGACCCCGCCGGCAGCAACCCTCGAGTGTGCTATATGCTGCGAAGATGTAGAGGACCCAATTTCGGGGACATCGTGTCAGCATTGTTTTTGTACAACTTGTCTGCTTGAAGTGTACCAGCGTCATGGGAGTCGCGCTGTTTGTCCCATGTGTCGGGCTCTCCTCAACCTGTTCAGCGCTGACATCGAGGATTCTGTCAACGAGGCACCTGTTCCAACTCGTCCGGTAGCATCTTAGCCTCTGCCAGCATCTTATCCGGTGCCTGATGTCGTTGACACCACCGCATCCTCGCCAGCATCCCCGGAAAGTGCGCACGACTCAGACAGTGACTTGAATAAATATCTCTACAAAATTATAATTTATAAAAATTAAAAGGTTTATAAGATAATCTTATGTTTTCGTCAACCCAAAAATCTTATTCGAGTAGCACCGTGACTGGCTGTGTATACTTTATCTAAGTTAGCTTTAGGTGCATCCAAATGACTAATTTCGGTGATGGAACGTGCTTACTGAAGTTAAGTCGAATACCTGGTGTCAATCTTATGCCTTTTCAATGACCGATTGTTCATACATACTTCTAATGACTTTTTGAATACAAATGTCAAGTCAGTTCGATGATCCATGATGCATACATTGTTTAAGTGTCTAAAACCCTTAAGAGTGAGTAGATCTAATTAGAACACATATTAACGATTGCAAGCAATATGCATGTATGTATTGAATGCAGAAAACTAGTAGTGAAGTTTCACTACTGTGGGCTCATGAGCTTAAAACTCCTGCGAGAGTTCTTGGGAGCCCACGACAGTCGAGGTCTGAGAGCCCAGAATCGCGCTAAGACCAGAGCATGGGCTTGATCCGGGCGAGGAGCTTGTCGTCGCACTGAAAGAGTCGCGGGCTCCAGTTGTGCTGGCATGGGATCGTGTGCGCGCGCATGCTTGAGTGGGAGCTTGAGCTTGAGTTGGAAGCCGTGGACTCGACGGACAAACGGGCACTGGCTCGCTTGGCTTCCGCAACGACGCGATCGCGTTCGCGCTTTTTGCGCTGAGCCTCAGACTTTGAGACGTAACGCGTCAAAATTTGCGAGTACCGATCCTGGTCATCGGCCCGTAGAGGATGCAGCTTGGCGTGAATGTTGGTAAGTGCCACGCAGATGTTCACGATCCTGTCGAACTTTGCCTCGCTCCACGTGAACGTAGTGCTCACCACGCGCCAGAGTGTCGCCATGCGGCCAAAGTAGTTCTCCACCAAAACACGATCCGATGAAACGCGCCGGTTACGACTCTCCTCGTCATACGTCAGAGGTCCGCCACGAGGACGACGCTTCGGTATGATGGCGCGCACAGACGTTTCGAGCCCTTGATAACCCTTGTCGGCCAGAACACCCCACATGTTGCCAAACGACGTCGAGCCTTCTCCGTAGTCGTTTCGCCCAGCCTCAGCAGTCGTCTTGTGCAGCAGCCGCTTATGCACTTCCAGATTCTTCATACAGATGGTTATGTCAGACACAGATCCAGAGTAGTGCCTCGACACATGCACCGCTAAGCCTGGTGGTACCACCGCACACTCGATCTTGAAGCCGTACAACTTGTGTTTTCCTGAGAAGTAGTGTTTCTGCTCAGTGAAGCGGCCGGATGGTCGATACGCGGGTTGGAACTTGACGTCCAGTGCGTAGAGCGCGTAGGGATAGTTGGTGAACTGCTGGTTGCAGCGCTCTTGGCTTGACATCGTGACGTTCGTAACGTTGCGCTCCATCAGCACTTCTTCCACCAAAGACCATACCTACATGCACAGGCAGTGAGTCAAATATCATGCGCTCATTCTTGTCTGCACTATGACGTGTTCTTACCTTGTTGACCATCTTCTCGAACGTTGGCGGCAGCATCCGGAAGTCTGTCGCGTGTTTGAGCCAGCTGTCGTGATGCTTGAGGACTGTCAGGGACATGAAAAACGCGTCCTTAGCGCTGAACTTGTGCCGTCTGCCACGGCCAAGATTCCAGGCTGGTAAAAGCTTCTCCTCCACCTGCTCCCATAGCAGCGAGAACTCGTCTTCGGTGAAGTTCGTCATGGACTTGAGAGCGTTGGGGCCCAGGTCGTGGACGAAAGACAGCATGACAGGAGCGTCGTCTTCGACAATCGGTTCTTGTTCTTGGTGGTCCAGATACTCGCTGAATTCATGGTGGGAGAGCGCAAGGGAGTTGGTATGCTCTTAACAGCCGCGCTAAGGTGTCGGCGACCGACTGCTGTTGGCTTGTCATGCCGTTCTGAAAATGGCGGCGTCTTTCCGTACGGTCAGTGACTTCGGCGCCAGATGAACGGATGGTGCTCAGAATACTAGTCGGATTGGATGGATAAGAGCTGCCGGGAAGCCTTGATTGCACAGATCGTCATGGCACCTCTTACCACCACCTACTCCACTTACGCAGTTACAGCTGTAAGCATTGTTCCGAGAGTTCTTATTCTAAATCTTACTTTCTCCGTAATGTGTGTCAGATTCGGTACACGCTGTAAATTTGCAAGACATAACGACTTTCGCAGTTTTTATACCTAAAAGTAGTTGTATCGCACATTGATTAGTTCGATCATGAATACAATGCATTACCATCTCTTGTTCAGTTTCAGACCATTTTCGAATTCCAAGCTGTTTTTGGTTGTGGCACAGTCAGTAATATGTTACGAGGAAAAATCAATTTTAGGGGACAAAATCCAATTTAAGAGTATTTTTTTTCAGTGTATCCATATATTGTAAATCGGCGGGTTTATTGGCGGCAAAGTCACATACTTCGCTGTAGATACGCAATTGTCTGGCACGTCTACTGAGGGAGAAGAAGAAAAACAAATCGTTGCAGCCGCAGTTAGATCTCAAAGTTCAACGATAAGCCTAGCTGGTCACACAGAACGCCTGAAATTGTATTTGTACATGTACATCGGTACATATCACGATACTGTACGTACAGTACAGTACTTGGAGGTCTTACTGTTGGAAGGATTCGGTCTAAAAAAGTTGGCGGTCCCAACCTGCTTGCTACGATGGCGTGGGCACTCCAAGTGTGATGGGCTCTCGTTGCATGACAGCGGGCGCCAGCTACGGGTAAGGTATTCATTCTATCAGGTATAACGAGAAATTAACCAACCTGCATCCTCGCTGATAATGCGTTCCTCACCTTTGGGTCTTCCTGGTCCTTGGCAGTTCACTTTCAGTACTCTATTATGAGTTGTTATTCCAAAAAAATACCAAGCGTGTGCCCTCCACTCTCTACCAACAAGGAAACGCACGGTAAAATGTCGTGCGAGCCTGTTCTGTTTACATGCAGGTGTTTAATAAGCAAGGTGGCCCCGGTTCCATCGTTTCAGCGTAACTCACTACAGGCGTCCCCGGGCTAATCCCGGCTGTATATTTTAATGTACCTCGCACAGGAAGTACAAGCAGTTCTCAAGATTTGCGCGCTACTTCTGCAAACATATTGACTTAGATGCGTGTACAGCGAGACCTACTGCGACAAGTGGCACGTTGCATCAATACCTCCACCGTATTCTTGAGCTAAGCTTGTAGTAACTCAGTACATACTCATCTATGATCAGACCACGTGAATCTTGTTGATTCGCAAACATCATAAGTACCACTGTGGCGAATAGGCCGGGGACGCCTGTAGTGGTATAGCTTTAATCTCTTAGGAAGGATACAGCTTACCGCCCTCAAACTCAAGAACGATCTTCTTACCGTCACGACCGAAGACTAAGGAGATTCCTTTTTCAAAATATTTTTTCAGTACATGTACAACAATGTTATCAAAAACTGTTAAGCAAGACACATCGAACATTCTCACCGATGGATCTCAGAGATAATACCCTGTACAGTGTGTCTCCCATCGTACCGATATTCACGTACAGTTCAGTCGTTGTAAGCGCGTGCCAATTCCCAGTGCCCACTCCTGCCGCGTGCCAGCGGCCAGTGAATTTCCAAGAAGCTTCACCCACCTGCGAACCGACATATCATGGTGGAGATGTAGATCGGAAGTTGGCGCAGCAGTGCAACTGCAGAGATCGGTTGGCTGTTATCCGACGGCACCGACACCACCGCAGCTCGCCGGTCCGGGGACAAATGAGTGGGCACATCATGCGAAGGCAGTTACTGTACGACTGTAAACTTGACAACGAATTTTTGGGAACTATTGAGGCTGGAGCAAAATTCACGATATTTTGGACGTTTGGAGGAGGACACGCCGTGTAACTATTTCCCGTCTGTATGCAACTTCCTCGGATACGCCATCGATGTCGACCACTATCCCGTCCTCGCTGCAGTACACTGTACTGCAGCGAGGACGGTACTGAGTACACAGATCACGGGTACATGTATTAATACATACCAGTACGATGTTCTCTTTCGTAATTTCCTTGGATACGACATCGAAGTTGACCACTATCCTGTCTTCGACTTCGCTGCGGAGCGGTGGTGTTGTAGGATACAAGCTAGCATTATTTTCTGCAAAATATATTTACTGTACTAGCAAAAAAAATGGAGCTGCCGAGTCACGCCGAAAGGTTTCGCCCCAACCCAATGCTTGTTCTGATGGTGTACTGTTGCACTTGGCGAAATGGCACTCGTCACTTGTATCGGATACTCGAGCTAGCCATCGGTAGAACAATCAAGTACTGTGAGATCGGACACGACCTAGGTATAATGCGCTATTGCGACAGCATCTTTCCGCTTAGACGCGTGGTCAACTTGCATAATTATTCCTCGCATGAATTACCGCGGACAGAGCCACACTAACGAACACCACCAGCACCGCGCCGTACACCCTTCTTGATCATCGGCGGGGGCCAGACTTTGGGGGTTTTCTTGACCTCCTTGACGACCTCCTTCGCCACACTTGCAACCTGCGCTTTGGACAGCGTTGCAGGCTTGGCACTGTCCCCCGCGAGCAGCTTCGCGTTAATCTTCACCTTGAGCTTGCTGATGAGGTCACTCGCGGACTCCAAGGAGATGACCCTCTCTTCATCGTTGACGTTCGTATGATGCCCCTTCTCTTCTGTGCCCTTAAGACGGCGGCGCCGGGGTAAGGGGTTGACCTGGTGGATACTTTCAGCGCTGGTGACGGCGACAGCGAAGACGACCAAGACCACGGCCACCGGGAGCATTGAGCGCGTCGCCATGTTCCTCGTCGTGGCAAGACAGAATATGAGTGTGCTGGGGCCCCAAGTGATCCATTGCGTGGATTTGCCCTTCATGTATTGGGAACTCCGCTCATTTCTTTCCTTGCAAGCTTCCGGCAGGATAAGCGAGCTATTAATAACAAGTAAGCGGTGTTAACCTTTTCGTGCCACACAGCAGCAACGCATTCGTTCACAATGTTCAACGGCAACTTTGAAACATGAAGCCATAAAAATAAATGGCTACATTCATGTTCCGCTACACCAAGTGTATCTTGAACCGCCCCGTCAAAAGATTTCGCGTGTATCATTCGCCATTCTTCCAGCAGAGCCACACGTACCCAGCCAGTCAGCAAGCCAGCTATGCAGCCCCCGCAGCGCTCCTCCTGCCTCGCCCTGCTGCTCCTGCTGGACGCCATGAGCGCCAAGGTGGTCGCGGCGCAGAACGTACCGGAGCTGGCGCCGCTGGACGACGTGCTGGCGGACCAGGCGGCCATCCCGAGCCCCTTCAGCCCCGAGGATCAGCAGGAGCTCGTCAACGTGGCTGCAACGCACCTAGAAGACGGCTACATCGTCACGGACCTGGACAACGAGCTGCAGCTGCTGGAAGGAGAGGAAGCCATCATCGCGGCGGCGCCCGTGAACCCGCCGGACAAGTTCCTGCCCATGGACACGCGCAGCGACGAGGTGCTGGACCTCGTGGGTCAGTTCATGCTGCAGTACCAGCAGGAGGTGGGGCGCACTGCGCTCAAGGCTTCGGTGTTACAAGTGCTCAAGGCCGAGAAGACGGAGCCCCGAGAGGAGGTGCAGGAGATCGAGATCGGCACGGGCGGCGGTCCCCTAGAGCTCGTGCAGACGGACATGAGCGAGGTCATGCGCGTGTACTTGCTGGTGGACTACGGCTTCCAGAGCAGCATGATGGACGCCAAGCGGCCCTACGTGTCGGTGCTCAAGCTCACGATGGACTGCGTCAATGGCACGACCGAGGACGAGGCAGACATCGAGTGCGACCTGCTGGAGCACTTGGACCTGCCGAGACACAAGGCCGAAGTGGGCAAGGCGGTGCAACGCACCATCGCAGAGGCCGCCCCGGCGTCCTTCTTGAGCACCCACTCGCTGCACGTCAAGTACGACGCAGTAGAGCAGCAGGACTTGGCTACGGGCGAGGACGGGGACATTGAGACCATGACGTATGTGCGCTACCGCGTGCAGGGAGCTGACGGCAAGTTCAGCGACGACGACTGCATGGTGGTCGTGCAGCAGGCCATAGGCATCTCCACGCTCATGTTCATGGATACGGTGTGCTTTGAGAGCGCGTCCAAGTCGGCAGTGATGGCGGCGTACGAGTACGCGTCCAACAATCTGCCAGTGGGGGCGCTGATCTTTGCTGCGGTCTGTGGAGCTGCTGTGGCGGCTGCGGTGCTCATCCGCCACCGCCGCAAGAACCAGCGGTTCGGATACTCGTACGTGCGGTCCAAGGCGCCGTCACACGTCCCGACCCAGGGCGCGGCGGCGACGGGCGTCAAGTATGTGGATGCCGACTCGCCCGCTATTGCCTGCTAAGAGGTTGAGCTGGATCCATTCAACTCGGCAGCTGGGGCTCTGCGTATTGTAAAGCTGTCAGTGACGTGGTTCACCCTGTGTGTATATAGGTTAGCTGGTTTGTATTTTGTTTCTCTCAATTGCAGCTGCTACTGTTCATTGTTCTTGACCGCCCAGTACTTTGTGTAGGACTTTTCGTGTTTGGCCAGCTTCTTGGCCAGCTTCTTGCGTTGACTCTTGGTCAGTGCCTCTCCGTCCTCGAACAGCGGGAAGCCCTCGGCGTCAAAAGTGTCGAAGCGACCTGCAAACTCCGGCAACAGTCTGAAGAAATCCAACGGAGCGATCTGCATCAGCGCCTCGAACTCGAGCTGCTTCTGCTTTAGGGCCTGCGCAGCTTTGCCCACTTCTTGGGATGCCTGCTTTGACTCTTCCGCTTCAGCTTGGGCCGCTTGGCGCTCTGCAGGCGACAGCAGCTTGAACACGGAGCGTCCTGGTGCGAGGTCCTCAATCTGGATGCCCAGAGGAGGTAGTTCCTCATTACGCAATGCGTCACACAGAGCGAGAACGCGGGCATTTCCTGGCTGCTTCGGATCACGCAGGGCCTCTTCCCTTACAGCAGCACGGAACTTCAGTAGAGACCGCAGGAGAGCCTCTTGCTCGTCCCTACTGACGTGGTCCTCGCTGCCAGTCGATTTCTGCTGTGACGTTTGACCTGGAGCCGCGAATCGACGACGCATCATAGCTGAAAACTCGGCGTGGAGTCCCTCGAGGCCGAAGAGCTCGAGAACTTCAAGCACGTAGTTCGTTAACGACAGCAGTACCTCATCGGGGGCTTCCGAATCGCCCCGTTGCGCCAGCAAGTACGTATTTCCACGAGACACCAACTCCAAAACGAGTGACAGCGCGCGAGGAGTATCCAGGTCCGCCAGCAAAGCCTCGTCGACCTGTGCTTGAGTAGCGAAGAGAGCGTCCAGCAACTCCAAGTCTGGCTGTTCACAGCGCTTCGACTTGACCTCGGATCCGCGTGCCACCTCGTGATCCCCGCCGTACGCCATGACGCTGCGGAAGAACCCCCTCAATTTGTCAGCCACTGCCTCCGCGTCACGCACTCGATCCTCCGAGTACACCAAGTTGGCGCGATACTTGAACTGCAGGCAGAAGAGTCGGAAGTGGTCGGCCGTATGTCCCTGCCCCAAGAAATCCCTGACCGAGATGAAGTTCTTGAGCGACTTGGACATCTTCCGTCCTCGAATATACAGGTGTCCGAAGTGCACGAAGTGCTTGCACCACTCCTCGTTGTGCCCATACTGATGTTGCCCGTGGTTATGCGCCTCACACTGCGCGATTTCATTGTTATGGTGCGGGAACCTCAAGTCCACGCCGCCAGTGTGCACGTCCAGCTTCTCCCCAAGTACATGATGCGTCATCGCCGAGCACTCAATATGCCACCCCGGTCGTCCCATGCCCCAGGGCGACGCCCACGCCGGCTCGTTCTCCTCTTTAGCAGCCTTCCACAACGCAAAGTCCTTGGGGTCCTTCTTCACCTTCTCCTCCTCCTCCACAACGTCGCTCTCCTCCACGGCCGCAAGCACCTCGGCATCCTGTTGACTCTGTCGTCTCGGGTCCAGCTTCCCGTACTTGTCACCCAGCTGCGTAGTGTTAAAGTACACTCCTGACCCGTCCGCAGCTTCATACGCGAAGCCCTTGTGCTGGATCTGCTCGACGTACTTGATGATCTCGGGCAGGTGCTCGCTGACTCGGGTGATGGCGGTGGGGGGACGAACGTAGAACCTGGCCATGTCCTCGAAGAACTGCTGCTCCTTCTGCCGCGCGAGCGTCTGGAAGCTCACGCGCTGCTCCTGCGCGCGGCGGATGATCTTGTCGTCCACGTCCGTGACGCCCATGACCAGCTGCACCTTGTAGCCGCCCGTGCGCTCCGCCACTCGGCGCATAATGTCCTGACTCACGTAGGCCCGAGCGTGGCCCAGATGGGCCTTGTCGTACACTGTGGGGCCGCAGGAGTACCATTTCAGCACATTCCGAGTGACCGAGGTCTCTCGCGGGAGCGGCTCGCACTCGCCCGAGAGCGCGTTAAACATCTTCAGATCTCGGGACGTGGAGGAGGAAGCGCCCGAGCAGGTGGTCAGCCATTGCGACCGAAGCAGCGAGGGCGCGCGGCGCGCGGAGACGCACGGGAACGAGAGCGCTTGCAGCATCCGCATCCTCGCGGAGCTTGTGGCTATGATGAGCTATTCGCACGGTGCGATGTGATTGGTTGATTAGCTTATGCGGTTTTAAGAGCATTTGGTTGCTTATAAGAGCAAATTTTATTTGCTCTAAGACGCGATGTTGAAGTGGATACAGTTCATAATGGTAGTGTATATATGCTGTTGCTGTCACTGTGGTTTAGGCCGCTGCGGTGCAGTTGACGGCGAGCAGGCAGTTCTCGTCCCATCGCTTCGTGTAGTACGCAGCGAGTCTCCTGCCGTAGTCTCTCCAGGTCTGCCACTCGGCCTGCGCTTCGGCTGTAAGGTTCGGGAAGAGGTCGATGTTCATGGCGTGGTCGGTCTCCGTATCGTGCAGCGTCACCACGTCGCTCACCTGGTCGTAGCGCAGTCGCTGGTGGCCGCGCACGAGCGACATCTTGCGCGCCGGCTCGTTACTGAACACCACGCGCTCCCCGTACGGCACCTTGCGCTTGAGTGACCGGCCGACTCCAGTCTGGATGAATCCTCCCTCCGGGACACCGGTGATGTCCGCCAATGTGTTGAGGAAGTCGTACTGCTCCACAGCGTCCTCGATGACCATCCCCACAGCGTCACCCAATCGCCCTTCCGCGATGATAGCGGCTGCGACTCGAGTCATGGACTCTTCGTGGGTGTTGGTGACGTCCGCTTCCGGAGCTTGGCCGTGGTCTCCCGTGATGATGACGATGGTGTCGTTGAGCACGCCTTCCTTCAGCATGCGGTCCATGAACTTGCCCAGCTCCAGATCAGTGAAGGACCGTACGGTCAGGTACCTCTCGATGAGCTCCGCGTGCGCGTGGCCTTCGTAGAAGACGGAGAAGTCGGGCTTCTCCTCCTCGTACCATTTCGGCCACGAGTCGAACGGCGCGTGGCTGGTGATGGTGTAGTGCGTGATGAACGCAGGGTTCTTCTCTTCACCACTGGCGACGCGCTCACGCTGCGCCTTGGTCTTGTTCACGAGCAGATCGCCCAGAATCTGGAAGCTCAAGTCGTCGTGGACGCCCCAGTTCAGTCCGCGGTGCGGGTCTCCAAGCCAGTCGTCGGGTTGGATACCCAGGTCGCTCTCCGCGATCTCCATCATCTTCTTGTTGTCCCAAATCGTGTCGAAGCCGTGCGTAGGGAGGAACTTGTCCCAGTCGTCCAGGTCGATCGAAGATCCCGTTGTGAACCAGGTCTCGTACCCTTTCTGAGTGAAGAGCTGGGGCAGACCGGAGAGCTCCGTGCCGTTCCTACCACCAGTGATGGCGGTCTTCACAGCGCTGTCGTACGGCACCTGGGCGAATAGAACGCTCTCCAAGGATCGACTCGTCGGGTTACTCGACCAAATGTTGCGCATGGCGACGCCGCGCTTCGCCCACCGGTCGAAGTTGGGCGTGATGGTCATGTCCGTCCCCTTGAACAGGTTGGACGGGTCCCCTTGGCCCACCATGTAGCGCGAGTCCTGATACCTGAACGACTCCACGCCAAGGACGAGAACGTTAGGAGGGTTTGCGCTCGATACGTCGACGTCGAACGCGAGATCTCCTCGGAATCCGGTAGTACGTCGGTAGAGCGAGTCAACTCCGAACAGCTCGTGCTTCTCGGTAGGGTGAATATACGTCTCCACCCACGGGCGTTCGCCTATCACAGTCGTTAGTGTCACGTCCGACGGCGCGGGCTGCAGCGCGTAGGCGAACAGCTCGTTCAGCGTCGCGTTCAGCGCGGAGTAGGCAATAAGCGGTGAGCTGGCGCAGCTGATCTCCACCACAACCGCGGGGAAGCCAACAAGTCCAATGAGGGCGACAGCAAGTCGAACAGCGTGGTGGCAGCTCAGCTGCTGATAGCTGAAGCCACGCTTGGCCGGGGACAGCAACGCGTCCGCTTCTTCACTGGAGTTTGCGTCCGCTGTCTCTGGTCCCTCTTCTAGCTGGTTCTCGCGGTCTTGCACTGCGTTCTTGTTAACAAATTTGACGCTGCGCTTCTCCAGGACGACGAGCTTCGGTACTAGGAAGTCGGACACTACATGCGTGGGGTTCCACTGCGCCAGGTCCGTCCAGCTACCGAACGTCCGCACAAGACCGAAGAACGTCGCGACCAGGACGAGCCCCACCGCGTTGATGTAGCCTGAGTTCACCTCCTCCTCGGAGATCGGCGCGTCTTTCAAGTGCTCCCGCTCCCTGATCAACGTGGCCACCAGTCCACTGCTAAACCTCATGTCCCTGTGCACTACCAGCAGCAAGTCGGCGATGAAGGGCCCCATCATGGCCAGGAACAGCAGCCACGACACGGCGAACGTCACGACGCCGCCGCACACCCGCGCGAAGACACCGAGCTTGTGGTGGTCCATCGCCGCCTGCTTGAGCACGTCGAACAGCCACAGCGCGCTGGCGAAGTACGTGGTGCAGACGAAGTCCTCGAGGAAGCCGAGACTCATGACGGCGGCCTTGACGCTCGACGTGTAGTCGGCCGCGCTGCTGTACTTGGTCACGAGCGCCTTGAGCGCCACGCAGCGACTGGCCGAGAAGTAGAAGATGGCGAACGTGTAGATGAAGAGCCAGCCGAGCCACGGCGCGGAGACCAGGAAGTCGTCGACCCGGAAGACGTCGCTCGGGCGCTGCCTCTTCCTCCGCCGATTGGTCTCTGACGCCTCCATACTGGAGACTGCGGCATCGACGTCGTCCTCGGCCATGGGCTCTCCCGACACCCGGTACCGAGTGGACTGGAGGTCTCTCGTGGGCGCCATTCTACTGCTGAGGGGGGAGCCACGAGTAGGTAGGTTGGCGCCTGCCGTCTCGTTGAGAAATGAGCGTTTGGCTCGGTTGCGGCCATCGCCATCAGCCTCGTTGGAAGAGGATTGCGAACGTCTGGCGCTTTGGGGGTCGAGGCTATGCGCGACAAGCGGGTTTTTCTGTTCGACAGCCTCAAATCCTTGTAGAAGGTGACATGATACCCAGAATGCTCATATTGGGTTCTTTTTTCGCGGAAAAGCGGCTTGTTGGACTGTACTCCCCTGTCAACCGAATCGTTTACCTAGAGGCAATGGAGGCGATGGCCATGAACTGGGGACTTGGCAAAAGGTTTGGTGTGTGTTGCTTGCTGCGGGGAAAAAGATCCTAATGTTTTCGTCGATGGGACGAAAATTCACTTTACGGACAGTGGAATTCGCTGCACGGCGTGCCTGGGTTACTGTAACTTCCATGTACGGTGAAGGTGTTGACCATTGCCAGACTAGGGGCTTCGTAACTGAACCGTGGCAGAAGCGCGTGCCAAGTGCTCTCGCATCTGCAATCCCGGGTACATGTAGTAACAGCGGTACGGTAGGTGAATTTCATATGCTTTGTGGTCAACTCAGAGAATTTCTGTGGTCTTCTAGCCTAGGTTATTACATGTAGTCGACGCACGAGGGTGTCCACAGACATTTGACGTACTAAGCTGATTGATCTACAGTGTTACTCTTCTTTTTCGGAGTTTATCAAAAAGTTAGCAAGCACCTAACGGTAAGGTGGTTGGTTGTACCGTACAACTTGTACGACTCCTTACTTTTTGATAAGGCTTATCCGGGCGAGTTGCCCACGTGTACAGTGTACAGATGATCCTCTTTGGAGTGATATCCCGAATAGGGACACATTCTGGTTATCACTAATGGAGGCTCTCCCGGTGACCGACGACATACAAATTCAAGTCAAAGCATCCTCCAACCTCCGGAGTCCGGATAGTGCTTAGTGATACGAGATTGGGCTTTATCACTATCAAGAGACCATTAACTATGAAAATGTCCATTTCGTAAAGCATGTCCGGCAAAGTTCAACCACAACGTGGGTCGCTTGCGACCTTGAATGGACTTGGATTCTCCGAGTTCGCGGTCATATTATTTTGAATAAACTTAACAGTTTTGCATGTTGCGATTCTGGAACGCGCATTTATCGTTTTAGCCTGGGCGCTAGACTAGATTTCGCATTGTAGCTACCTGTGCCGTCCTTCCAGTTCCATCTGAATAGTGCCCAGTCCTCGCGCCATAGTAGCAGATATTATAATGTCCAGCGCAACAACTACTTGTATCTACATGTAGTGCTTTGACCACGTATCGAGTGCACTACAAGTACTAGTAGATATTATAATGTCCAGCGCAACAACTACTTGTATCTAGTGCTTTGACCACGTATCGAGTGCACTACAAGCCCACAAGTGCGCATTACCTGTGTATCACTGTTACACTGGTACGCATTATCACTACACTGGTACCTTGAAACGATATTGTACCGTCATTGTGGTACATATTTAGATAGTGATGCCTCTGGATTGTGATAAAAAGTGGTCTCCCGAGGCTATCACTACGGAGAAGATCGTCTGTACTGCAAGTTGCGAGCTGGTTACTGTACCTGAGCGAGAGCAAGCCACCCTTCAGAAGGCTATCGACAGTCGACCAATTAATACAACGGAAGTACGAGGGCTACCAAAAGGAGTTTGCAGAGTGGAGCCAATCGATGGAGTTTAGCGATGGTGTTACGGTCACTGGTAGCAAGCTTCATCTCTTTTTGGACACCCAAGTCGTAGGCAGAGAGTCGAAGAAGAAGAAGGGCGTCTCAACGGTGTACGGCTACGTCAACCCTATGGTAGACCTATACAATTAGCATGTCGCCAACAAGATGAACGCTAACGATCATCCTCGCACGTATAAGGTGAAGCAACTGTTGTCGACTGTCCAGGCAGAAACTACGTCGACACGAAAGAAAAACTACACAGATCGCGGCGTGGGATCGCTGCTGGACGGCTATCAGTCCGAGGCTCAATTCACTCAGATTTGTGATACTTTTTTCGTTTTGGATGATCTCATGGGGAGGGCTGCGTTTTTGGTATCGCATTTTGGCTTACTACGAGGCGAAAACATTCGTGATCTGGAGCTGGCTGATATGTTTTCCCAGGAATTTGACAAGGAGGGTTTTCAGCCGTGCATTGCGTTGGTCCTGCTAATCCAACATGGGAAAACGAATACGTTTGGAAAACTTCAGCATGTCGGCTTCATGCGCAATAAGGCTGTTCATTTATGCCCTGTTGGAGCGGTTGCTTTCTACTTGTTTGAGCGCTTTCATCTCAATAATGAATCATTTCCCTCCTTTCGGAGATCGGAGGACTGGTATGACATCAAGTTCCTAAGTGGCCGAGATCGAAATAAAGCTATATCCTACAGCACTCACAAGAAAAGCTACGAGGCTGTTTTTGATCATCTTGGCCTTACGTTCAATAAAAAGACTCATATCAACCGACAACAGGGCGTACGACAACTGGAAGGCGCTGATGTCGAGATCTCCCAAACTCGCCGACATGGCCGATGGGGCCTTGGCACCGTGGAAGCAGTATATTCCGCTCCTCTGGCGCGAGAAGCGATTCGTGCTCTGTCAGGACACCCCCCCCACGTGCACGTCTTTATTATTTGGAGCTCGCCATTGTGGACCCACCCAATGACCTGAAGCAACAGATTTTTCCTGGGCTTGAAAGTTGCAAACAGAAGCTATTAGATGGTGAGTGGGAATGCAACCTCGCCGCTCGAGGGTTCATTGAATTGTTGAAATTCTTACGCACCTTTGTTGCTTCAAGACGCTGCATTTCTATTTGACATCCTTCCTGCTCGACTTCGCCGCCATCCGATCTTCGGTGGACCGTTTCAACAATTCCGCGCTCAAGCACTTGCTAGCGCATTCACCTCAGTTAGAACCAGTCACAGTTCCCCAGTACAACATGGGCCGACGAGTTTCAACCGTACGAGAGCTTTGGACAGAGTGGCACCATGGTCTGGCTAGTCAGCCTTCGATCGAGTACCTGGAGGAAACATTTGGCACAAAATGGAGAGCGTCATCAAAAGAAGCGAAATTCTTTTCCAGGCGTCGATGTGTCATCAATCACGCACGTAGCTTCGTGAATGGCGGTCTCTCTATCGACGATGCAATTGAAAGAGCTGATACGGAGAGGGGGAACAAGAGCATCGACAGTTATTCAAAATGGCTTCGCAGCAAACAGCACGATGACTTACATTAGCAGCGTAATGCATTCGACAGTCTAATTGACATCATTATCTGAACTGCAATACCAACATTTACATCATTAAATTAGTTGCCATAACCCCTTTCAGTCCCGATATGAAAGCGCGCTTAGCTAACACGGCCAGTGTCTACGGCCTCGATGGGGCTGCGCACTAGCTCCTGAATGATGGTCACGATGGCGATTCAAAGCCCAGGAAGCGCAGGTATGGCCCGTTCGCGTTCTCGTCGTACGTCTCGACGACGGTCGAGGCGGTGGCGTTGGACGTAGCGTAGGAGGAAGCGTTGATGAGCGCGCACATATCGCTGCCTTCAACACGCGTCTTGTTGCTCTTAGTGCGGTTGCTCGACTGGCCGGATATGAAGATGCCAACAGAGCTGCAATGCTCGATGGCCATACCCAGATCGTGCCGCTGCGAACCAGCACGTCTTGAGCAACAGGAAGAAGGGGATCCTCACAAAGGTACCGTCATGCTGACGACGAGGCCCAGCATCACCCTGTAGGCGTTGTAGTGCTCCAGGACATCGTCCTAGCTGCCCTAGATGTGCATGACCTGCTACTAGAGCCACCACCACAGAGTCACAATTAGCGGCGTCGTGTGTACGATGACCATGTACACGACGACCAACAGTACGTACCGACGCGTGCTCGGCAGGCAGCGTGCTCGGCGGGCAGGGTGCTCGACAGGCAGGGTGGGCAGACGCGGGCACTCGATCGCCAAGATGCCCGACGGCACGGGGTACGAGCGACGGGCAATGGCAAACTTGAGATGTGTTAATGGAGGTTCGCCCCAAATTTGTAATTAGGTAATACTGCCAATCAAATCGTAGTATTTGGGTAATGACCCACCAACTGGTATCTCGAGGTAACACGCCAAAAAACGGCTGTTATCCCCGGATATCAGGTCACTGAGTCATGACCGAGTCATGACTTTTTGCTTTTTACTTCGAAGTATCTTGAACTAAAAATAGTTGAAGCTCTTGTCACTTGTCGTAAGCTGGATTGCACACGAAGATATTCTTCCTTATACCAACCATGGTCTCTTCAAAGTAAGCAGCACTAGATTACTCTTGCTACGCTGTGGTGCGTACATGGAATGTGAACTCGGCAACGGGTGCTACTTAATTGTGAGTACACTTCACTGACTTCTGAGTAATTCCATATAATGTGACTTAGGAAGGATGTTACGTCCGGCATCGCCACCTTGGTCCAGACCGGAGGAGGATACAATGTAAATGCATCTGGGGAAGTAAAACATCGATCCACTTATGTGGACGTGAGTAAGCTAATAGAGAATTCAAGCGTCATCTAGCAGAAAACAAAAGATAAGTTGCCCTAAAGGGTTTGTAGCACGTTATTTGTGTTCGTGAATGACGTCCGAACAAGCAACGTATTTAAAGTGTAATTAACAGTTTCAAGTTGACGCAGCGCACGAATTTAAATGAAGTGTACGTACTCGGAAGTCCGAGCACATTACTCGTTACTCAAAAGTCCGCGAAATGTACTCAAAGGTAAGGGTGACCCCTCGACAACGGGTAACAGTGGCCATTAATTTAATCTGCTAGTGATAGAGCAGCAAACATACAAACGCGTTTGCAAACAGCACTAACTGTAAGTTTGTGTGTTGAGAAAATCACTAACATATTTGCGGAGTATACTACTCAGCAGTAACTCGATAGTATTAATGGGGCCGTGGATGAGTTACTAACATCTTCGACAATTGGACACAAAAGTATATCTCTTCTTGTACCGTGCCCTACCGTAGAATTCAATGCAAGGGTCTGGAAACAGTAGCACTTCATGATGCAAAGTGCAAGCGGCCAAAAAAGTATCTATTGTGGCTATTTCCGGGTCTCGAAGTTTATCAATAGCCTGCGTTCTGACCCGGAAATGTTCACGGCGATCAAAGCTGCGAGGGGATCATTCGACTGTTCTGGCGTGGCGCGGTAGCATTCACTACACTAGTCCAGCATGAGCATCCGGGTGCATAACTCGGAGCACTTCGAGGAGCTTCGCCAAAGCGCGTTGAGCAGCTCGTCCCTGTCGTCGAAGTACGTTGCACAGGGCCTCACCCATTCGAAAAGCCTGTCTCACTTACACTTAATCCCGCCGTACGCAGGTCCCGCTCGACGGTCTCTCCATCAACCAATGCCAGCGGTAAAATGACAGCCTCGGCTCTCTCAAAGGAGACCCACATGGTAAGAAATAATGAACTTCCTAGAATCTGTAGAGCTTGATCCTGATAAAAAATGATGTAGAAACGCATGGCTATGAAGCACGAGCTGTACATGAAGGAGCAGGAAGCTATGGAGAAGAAGCTCGCGGAGACCATCGCCGAGAACATCCAGCGACAAAAGAGCAAGAAGGAGGGACAGTATTTGAAGCTGCAGCAGGACGTCGAGGTAAAGTATTATTTTTCCTATCTTTTAGCTTTAGTCGATTAACTCGCTGCTTAAGGATGGCAAAATCCTCGCGAAGGAGCTCCAGGAGAAGCTGGAGCTGCAGCAGCAGTCCAGGGCTCGGCAATTTTCTCGCATGCACGAGGAGTGGACCAATGAGGTCTACCACAAGCTCAACGACCCGATTCTGGCTAAAGTTCACGCTATGGACGGCAAGCAGCGAAGTGCCGAGAAGGCTGAGGCGTACCAAAAGTTCCTGGACATCACCAACAAGAAGGGCGGCCTCTTCCGCGACATCATCATCGAGAGCGAGTACAACCCGCTGAGCGACGCCAAGTTCCTCAACCACCGAGCCAGACTGGACGACCCGATGAAGCGCGTGATTCGCCGACGTGAAGAAGAGGACGCGATCGCGCGAGACGGTGCCAGTATGTCCGACGAGAGCGGCACAGACCACAAGGCGCTAAACGAGCAGTACGTTGGTCGTGCTGACAATCTGGACGTGAAACTCTGGTCCAAGGGCGTGTACGAGAGCACGCCGTACGGCTACTTCCACAACATGATGAGCAGCACCTCCAGCTCGGAAGGATCCAAGACGTACGCGTCACGCGTGAAACTGGATCACTACAGTATCGAAAAGGGTCCCGAGGTCCTCCGCCAGGAACAGCCAAGGGGCAAGCGTACTAACTTTGACGGACACAAACTACCAAAGACCACGATCCAACTTACATAAATCTCGCGATTTTTTATTAAATGTGAATGCATTTTTTCTTCTTCTTGTCTGTAGGAAGTGTTGGACAGTAGTAACTTACCTGAAGATGTCATCGAGCACGCCAAAAGACTGCAAGATAATCCACAGACAGCCAACAATAAACGAAAACGCTGAGGAGCACATGCCCACCCGAAAGTCCATCACTGGCGTGTTGCCGCCCAGTCGACGCGTGACTTCGCCGTATAGCGCCGCGAACACGCCCATAATGAAGATCGACCCCACGCAGAACGAGCCCAGATAAGCGGTTGACTTGCCCCAATTGTTCAGCACCACAGCGGGTAAGACACCCAGGATACCTCCTGGCCCAGCGATACCTCCTGGCCCAGCGATACCGTGGACGATGCCGACACACAACGCAGCCATCTTCTGCACGAGCGGATTGTCGAAGCTGAAGTTGGAGCAGTACTTGTGCTTGAAGCTCTTCGGCTGCTCAGGCTCCATCTCCGGCTTCAAAGTCACTGGTGTCCCTGAACCAGCAGCTTCATCCTCGTTACCGTCGTTCACCATAAGTGCGTACGACCCCGTAGGTGAAGCAACTTGCTCAGCTATAACGCTGGCGTTAGTCGGTCGCACGCTCTTCTGCTCCGGCTTCAGAGTCACCACAGTCGGCGTGTTAGCCCCAGTGCGACTTTGACTGCGAGGATCTTCATCAATGACGGCGACTGCCTTCTCCTCTGCGAGCTTCAGGTGATACTTCCGGTACACACTCTTGCCCGTCCAGACACCCAACGCGATCGTGAAGACGCCGACCACGTAGTTGAGGTACTCTCCGGTCGCGTCCAGGTCGATTGTCTGGCCCGCTGCGAAGAAGATGGCCGCCATGATGATCAAACCGATCGAGTGGCCGCACCCCCAGCGAAGACCCAACGCGAATGCTCTCCACGAACCACCGTTCGACATGGCTGCCAACGCACTCAAATGGTCCGGACCCGTGAGGACGTGGACGATGTCGAGCAGCAGACCCGTGGAGATGATCTTGCCGATGGAAGCATGCACCAAGCTGCTGTTCTCCTCGCTCAGCATACGCGTGGAGGGCGGTAGTGCAGTTTCCATGGTGCTTTGGGCTCGAGTGTTGGTTGGTCTTGTGGTGAAATTTCAGTAATGATCATGGGCGTGGTCGAGTGTGAAGATGTCGAGGGCCGTCTTCACCATTGTAATAAGACCCCTCGATCGAGTGGCTGTGATCGTGAATGTCCACAGAAAGAAGCACGAGGTCGGATATTGTTTCTGCCGCACGAGGTGTACCGGTTATCAGGACTTGATCGCTGTTGCTAAGCGGCAGGGCTGTCACAGACAAGAGGCTACATGTCTGTTGACAGCACAGTAGTAAACCAAAAGCTTGAGACGCGGTCGACCTGATAATGAACTCGGACGAAGCAAGCAAGCATTTACAACAAAAGACGCGGTAGCACCCGTACACGTCAAAGCGAGTCCACTGGGGCAATAGCTGGCATCGATTGGGTCTTGCCACGCGCGCGGTCAAATGGACCCAGCAGTTTGACGACAGACGGCACCGAAAGAGCCGCGGGTCTCTGCAACACCGGCACGACGGCGGGCTCACAGATAGTGACGCGGCAGTGCTTGAATGCCAAACGCATTGCCATCATCTAATGCGCCTCGAAATACAAATCGTAAGGTGGCCCCAGGATCATGGTCCGCTACTGTATGACTTTTTCTTTGGAGGAGGACGGGGGAGGTATGACCAACGAGAGCGCTGAGTACTCGTGCAAGCAAGCTCTGGCCACTTGGAGTGAGCGACATCGTGCTTGTCACGTTCACGGTTAAAGCCACCCCTATTGATCGACCAGCTTACTTGAAACTTAAAATTAAATATGTTTAATTGCAGTTTGATAAATATTTTTTGCTACTACAATCTAATAATTTCGAAGCCAATTATGTGATTGTGATACTATCTATTTCTTTTCCAGTCAAAACGACAAAAAGCTTGCAAAGCACAATACATGTACTAGGGCTTCGCGAAGGCTGAGATAGGATTGGTTAACTCACCTTTGATCGCCATTGATAAACTCAATCCGCACGCTCCACGCGCATCTCCTGCGCCTGCTTCGCAGTCGCAGAATCTGCCCGACAATGTATCGCCACTATGCTCACGACGTACAACCGATTTCAGAGCAAAATCAATGACGAATTTGCAAATGAACTGGACCAGCCTCCATCATTCTTGAGAAGTCTAAAACACTCGGTCAATAGACATCACTTTACTGTAAATTGACCTAAAGGCGTTACCGGTTCATCACCGGTGTCGATTGGAAGGGGGGACATCGCCCGAATTAATCCTGTTTGGGCTGGTCTATCAGCACTTCGTCGCTTCCTATCCCAGTATAATATTATACATAACTTAATGTTCACAGGTCGAAGAGCTGTGCTTGGCCGGCAGAAATTTTTTGTAACTTACCGAAACCGGTTACCTTTCTAACCGAAATAGAGAACTTGTTAACCTAACCAATTACATTTAAAGCTACGAATGGCTACATGTATTACTCTGTACCTCAGGGGCTGTAGTTTAGCACTAAAATCAAGGACAAGTCTAAGATAAGACTAAAAATTACGAGTTATTACTACAGCGGGCGGAGAAACCCCGAGCTACCTGTGTGGGTCAGCTTACTAAAACCAAGTCAAAAAGATGTGCAAAGTGAGGGGGAATGTTAAGGATTTGCTGGTTCTGTCTACGAGTACGGAGAAAGGCAACTTGCAGTGCGTTCCAGAGTGTTGGTCATGGAAGCGTCGAGGACATTCTAGAAGATGTTGGTAAGTTCGCTCTGTGTAGGACACGTGGACAAGTTAGCCAGGAAACTTGTAATTCAATCAATTACTTTCCATTCTGCGCTGCAATTGACAAGTCCAAATTAAATGGCAACAGCGCTTCAAATCACAAAATTACCATATCTTCTGGGTTTCGCATGAATCATTCACCATTCGACACGGAATCGTTTGAACTATAATCTTCTCGAATTCCATTGGTTATTAAAGGCTGGATTTTGGCGAATCGCCGCTCGAATGAAACCGGTCCAATCTGAGTTTATCTTGGTTTTTGTATTGGATCACTAGATGGTGAACCTCCAACGCCTGGCCAAACGTGATGAAAGCCCTCAGACATTGCACGATATCATATCCGTTTCTTGGTAGCTCGGGATCCTGGTTTGCTTATATGGATGACAACACGAGTACCTTTCGCCTCATGTGTGCATTGTATCGCTAGTGTTGCTGGATGCAACTGGGTAGGTCGAAACACTGGGTCATCGGGCTTGCAAATCGTTTTGACTTACTATATGTATGTGGCGGGCTTGGGGTGGGCTATGACTTTTTCCACCCGGTGAAAGGATGCTAAGGATTTCACAAACAAACTACGCTATGCATCGCTGAAGCATACTTTATCGCTGGGCAACGATTGTCAATATCTCGTGCTATCATGTCTGCTAGCTCGATCTACGCAAGCTGTACGCCTCAAATGTTGAAAGCTTAGTACATCGTCTCACGTTAGACATGCTCGCCAAACATGAAACGGAGGGTGTTAATATTGTCACTGCAGATTTGGATACCTGTATGTTATTATAGGTGGCATTCGGGCCCATACCGATCTCTGGTTCGAGTTGCGTAATTTTAAATAAAAAGAGCGATATATCTACCCGCTCATTTCGCGAAACTCTGACGATTGACTACTAAGGCTTCACGGGTGCTGGAATAGCTCGTCCAGACTTGTCTAATCCTCATTGCGAGCGGTTTCGGTGCGCAGCACATGCTGCGCACCAGGCACTCTCTGAATACTTTCCCCACTCGATACGATAGTGGCATCAATATTCATATCAGCAGGGTTCTGCAATAGCTTTAACTCTCTCTCTCTGTATATCTAGCTAGCCTAGCTCAATAGTTTATGAGTGGATTCCAAGTTTTTGCTCCGATTTCCAGGCCAAAATGAAACACTGGCCGTCCTCAGTAACTTCTTGACGTAGTTCAAGAACTCGACTTAGTCGACTGTCAGCAAAATGGTCTATTTAGCAACTATTCATCTTGCCAACAACGTATCTTGCTACTGTCATGTTCATCAATTGATTTCTGAAGCCTTATTAACAGAAATGGCTCCAAGTCGGGCTCGCATACAAAACTAACTTGCGATTTGAACATGTTTCGCTAAGATCGAGTCATTATTGCTGGTAAATACCAGTTTCAGAGGTCAACTTTTGACTAATTCGACCTGTGTACTCCCCCGTAGCGTTCGCTCCGGGTCGCCTATATTATTACAGCTTTAATTGTAACAAGACTTTGAAATTAACGTTGAGAATTTGAGAAATACTTTGAAGTATGTATAAAAATTGCCTGTACTTAAAAGTATAACCATTGTTTTCAACGATTTGGTTTTCGGGTGCTTGGACATTCAACAAGGCAACAGGTAAACTCAATGCCAAACCGTCGTCGTCGTCTCCTCATTGAGTCCTTTACGCTCGCTAGTGTGAATGTGTTCAGACGTCCACCTCTCTTGGTGTGGTAGGTTCCTCGATTCCTCGACGCTATTGACACGGACGGCGCGATTTGACTACTCTCGCTCGTTGCACTCCATTTCCCAGAGGCAGGCAGCGTCGCTATTATACCCCCCCCCCACCTCGCGCTCGTCGTGGAAATGAAGATTATCATTGTTACCTGGGCGTAATTACCAGAGGAACTGAAAGTGAATGGTGATGACATATATTGTCGTACTACTTACTCGTCGGGCAAGTACTCCTACGGTCTTGTTGCGATGCGTGAGCAAGGTTTGGCTGAATACTTCCACTCATCGTGAAGGGCACCCTCCGCTCTACCAATTCACAATAATTGTAGTACCCGGAGCTGGAGTTTAGTCCACCTTGTTAATGCTGGTCCAGACAGCAGCCACCGAGTCGAGCTCCACGCCACTGGTACCCAGGAATCTGCCCAGCAGGTAGCCCGCGGGGGCGCTGTCCGATCCGATCTTGGTCGCGCGAGTTCCTCCCGAGATACGCTGGCCGAATTGAAATGTGGTCGTCGCATACGTTTTGGCTTCGAACCTGCTTTGTCCTTCGATTGGCTGTTCACACCACTGAGGCGTCGTGTATCACGCGTGCATCCCCGGATAAATCAACTTCTCCTTTTTGAACGGCGCCGAACGGACTGGACGTTACCCCTCGCAGCATCGGCAGTAGATTAATATCCGGGACTAGGTAGCGATTGGCAGCTTGACCAGCCCGCAAGTGCTTGACGATGCTATTGAGTGCTCTGGTGGCCGATCCGGGATTAGGCGGTGCCGCTCTTTGCGGTTTAAGCTCACCCTCCCACTCAGGAACAACTCCATGATGAACAATATCGTGACATTAGAAGTGGTACCGATAAGTTGACCACGAAGGCAATTCGGTAGGCTCTTCCAAAGCCTTGCTTGGACGCATGTCCTGCGTTGATTTGCCTCGTAACAGTCAAACAAAACCAGGTAACTGCATTCGTGAGCGACGAATAAATTCGCTGTATAAGTTTTGCTTGTTCCGGTCCAGCAAGTACACTTCCTTGTCCCCACTAGTGACCGATGATGGCATTGTCATCGGCGGTGCCAAGCCATGTCGTTTCAGATCTCGAGTCAGCTCCACATCCGCGGCTTCGACATGAAGCATGGCTAAACGTCTCCGAGCAAGCTTCGTTTTCTCGAAACGATGCTGACGATCTTGTAAAAATTCTTCCAAGCTCGGTGATTTCGCAGCCTTTAGTCTCGAACGTGGCTCAAAGACGGTTGAGCTCGAAAGCTGGGACTTATTAAGTGACTCAACATCGAGTGCATGAGCAAATCAAGCAGCCCTGGGGTGGACAGACTCGAGTGCATGAGCAACTCAAGCGGCCCTGGGGTGGACGGACTCGAGTGCATGAGCAACTCGGGCGGTCCAGAGGTGGTTGGCACCAGCGACACGAAACCTTCAAGCGACTTCGGGGCTGGAATGCGCAATACTGCACGTTGCTCTGCATCAGTTGGACCAGTCGGACGAGGAGCACCGGCGGCTTTCTCACTGATTGCCCCGCGTTGGACAGCTAGTCCGTCATTCCGGCGTCATTTCATATCCGCGGACAGGCCTCAATAATTCTTGACGATAAAATCCCGGACAATCTCGGGTAGAGCAGCTGACTTAAAGTGGGAAAGGTGCTTAATGACGCAGGTACCATTCTTCCCCACTCATCCTTGGGCAGATAGAAAGCGCAGACAGATCTGCTTCTTACCTTGTCTTGGTGCCGCCTCACGAACCTCGACTGGGATGGAAACGCACTCGTCAATCTGCGCCGTGGAGCTCAAGTCGCCGGGAGGACCAATCAGCGGGCAGTGCGGCGATAGAGCCAGCTGACCCAGCTGTCTGGCCAATCAGAGCGCGCCGGTGAGCATCGAGAGCGATCTGATTGGCCACGACTGGACGACGGCGACTCCCTTGTGGAGCCAGTCGTTCCTAGAGACCGGAGCTCCAGCGAAAGGCATGCACCTGACCGGCGTGCTTGCACGCCACGGCTGGGCAGCTCGGGGGTGAAGCCGCGGACCAAGCTGGATTTCTGCGTCGCTGCGTGCGGCGGCGTATTGCGGCGGTCTTTTGACCGTCAGCCGGAAGGAGGGGCCTGTGGTGGGTCCACGGTGGTCTACATCTAGCCCATCGCGCCGTTTCCCATTACAAACCAGGCCACGGGTGACGCCGTGGGCCCTCCTGGTAGTCATAGCCTACAAAGGTTGCGTGATACTGGCAGGTCACCAGATCTTCGGGTGTGTGGCACTCCAACGTGCGCATACCCTCCACAGCACTCGTAGTGACGCGCGGGAGCATACTGTCAGTCAACGTGGCCTGCGCTGCATGGAGCTGGCTGCGACGGGGTGGTCCTCTCATGGTGCACTCATGGCGCGGCGGGGCGAAGAAAATCGCAGTGGCAGAGACCCAGATACGGCTGACTCGGGAAAGGTGACGACACGTCGCCGCATAAAGCGCTGCTGGGGCGCTCGCTGGTGGCCTGCAACACATTGGGAAGAAGGAACGCAAGTCGGCCCAGGAAAATGCAGTGGAGAACTCAAGCTTCGGAGGGCAGGCGCTGCTGAAGGAGCAGCGGGACCGCGTTCGCTGCCCGCGGTGCCAAATCGACGGAAGTGGAGTAGACTATTCAGCGGGGCATCGGGAGACATGAGCTCGGTGTTGATGGTGGATGCGTCGGTCGTTATCTTAGTTAGGATAAATGAACTCAATCTAACCTCAACCTTGAAATGAAAAAATGAAAAATGGAAACGCGCTTATCATTGTTGGTATTACCCTCCCCCCTAGATTGGTTGTTGTGGCGGCCGGAAGTCGAGCTTGCTGCTTTTACTGCGTTCGAGATCGCTTGGCGAAGAATTAACTGATGTACACGCACGAATGATTCATGCGATGCACTGAAGCGAGCCTGGAGCTGCGCTAACTCATTCCAGTTGCCTTCCATGATGTGAACGCGGAATAACTCCAGCCTGTCGTCAACCCACACGGCAAGCTCAACCAACTAGTGTCTCGGGAGTTGCCGACAGCTCGCTTGTACGTAGCTCACTGAGAAAGCGTGCCGCTACCGACAGAGTGTCGTGGACAATAGGCTTGTAGAGTTCCTGGGCGACTGAACACAGTACCTCAACTGCTGCAATTAAAGTTGCGAACACACCCGGTGTTGGCACTGCAGGGAGCACATTCTTTCGCGAGAAATTGCTCATATCATTCCCTTTGACGCGAGCACGCTTCGCAAGTTCTGTCACACGGTTAGAGTGAGAGATCGATAGCCCTCGTGTACCAAAGTCCCGACCAAATAACGCACGCAGTACTGCAGGGTGCTGAAAGAAACCAATCTTCCGCAAGTTTATCTGCCCAAACTTGATCAGAGCCAAGTGAATCGAAGTCTGCACTCCAGTTGGGTAAAAAGGTTGCATATCAGCAGCTTCTTCTTGACGCTGCGTCAATAGTTTTGAATTGGGCGTTGTGGCTCAGCTCCATTGCATTCAAATTAACTGATCCAGCTGAGAAGCAGTAGTCAGAGTCGTTGCTTGGGCTGAGCGAGGGAAGGAGGCAGGAACCGCCGGTGCCAAGCGCCGGCGCTTCATACTTGGCTGTTCCGTCGTCACCCTCGCCGTGTTGGAGGCATCATTATCACCTTCGGGTCGATCAGTCCGTCGCCGTGCACCACCTCAATTTGCCCTGTACTTCCGGGGTCTACGGCGATCTCAGACTGCGCCTTGTCAAAAATTGTATCCCCGAATCGGACACCTGCAGGAGCCGCTCGACCGCCTTCCTTGTAAAAGACGTAGTCCAAAATATGTTGAACCGTTACCTCGGTCACGCCCAAGATGGTAATATCGAGCAGCGGGAGAAGCTAACTCTCATCAACTCCTTTTCCACCGACGCAGGTTTAGAGTTCCGATGAGTCTCGCACAGCATTCTCGCCAATCCCGTTAAACTTGTTGTACACTCTCTCGTGCTTGTTGCGCATCTCCGCCGCTATCACCAGACTGGTGCTCTGACCTCCGCAAGGCCGAAGTGCGTATACCTCGACCGCAACATCTTCTGTCAAATTTGGGGTGTAGATGATTGACGTCTCGTCTCAAGCGAAGTTCACATTCAGCCATCCATTAGGTTGGTCTCCTTCCCCCTTATACCCGAGCACCAGCCCGTAGTCCCACACGCGGGATCCACCGGGCTGCACCCGTGACGTACAGATCGCACTTCCAGCAAGGTGCCAGGGGGTCCGCCGATGATCCGTGATCTGTATGCTGAACTGCTCACCTTGTTTACCGTCGGTAGGGCTGGATCTGCTCCTCTGGTGTCTGCTGAAGCGTCCGAGCCTTGAAGACATAACGGTCTGGGCGAGACGCGGGAATGCGGGTGGAGCAGCGTGGAAATCTTCACTCTGCTTGCAGTAGTACTCCAAATCCAGTAGTCGTGTACTTGGATCTGGTGGTCTGGATCTGGATCCGGCCGGGTTGTCGCCTTTCGGGGTTGTTGTCCTTTTCGTTGCCTTCGCAAGTTTTCCTTAGTCATGTTTGCTCCCTCCATGACGATGTCGTTGACAGTTGAGAAGGGAAGGGTACACCGGCCAAACAGATAACTCCGGTGGATCTTGGATCTGCACTTGACTGCAGTTCACTAGAAAGATTTTGAATCTGGACGATATATTACTATTCCAGTCTTACAACCAACACTAGATCTGCTACCACTAACCTCTCTACGCCGTGTAGGGCCAATGTCATTCCCGTTTCCAGGCGAGGGAAGAAGCGCTTGCTATGTACAAGGAAAATTCGATTCTGATTTTTTCTTAAGTTCAATCGCATTCCAAAGTCCTAGCTTCCTATGGATCCTATCATCTCATCTCTATCTACTGACTCTATGGAGCTTGGTTACCTTCCCTGATGGTCGCTTGATCACCTTCGCTGCACGATGACCTCCGATTCATCGCCCGCTTCTCCGATCCATGTATCACCCGCTCGATCTGAGACCGAATCAGAATCAAATTTGGATCGGATCGCGGATCCACTTGACGGCTGCATTTCATGGATCTTGGGTCTCGAGGCATGGTGTTGCTTGGGCACACATTCGTGACGCCCCGTCACACTCGTTGTGGCTTCCGTTGCAATTTATAACACCTGATACGGGGCCCGATCCGCCAGTCTGGTGGATCCGTCGCGGAGTCTGGATTCATCAATCTGCCGATCACCCTTTGTCCTAATTTCTTGGATCCTGCTTCTCCACGTTTGAGGCGACGTCCACTGATGTGCTCCTGCTTGAACAACCTGATCCATCACGCAGTCCTCTTGGGCTCCGTACCTGGAAATTGTGATGAGGAAAGATGGAGTGTGATTTTCGGGAACACCATCATGCGAGCTGAAGACCCGATGGACTCGTTCAAGTACTCGGCCCAGGCAGCATCCGGAAGTCGACGAGGATCTCGACAGGCATGGGAGTATCTGCTTTTTGTCTATGCCTTCATAGGCAGCCGCCCCTGGGACCTTCAACTTTTTGACGAGGAAAATGAGCGCTTCTTGGCAACCCTTCCGCTCGATGAGCGCTCTGGGCCAAGGCTCAGAATGTGGCAAAGACCAAGTGGACAGTCGGCGCAAATTGCTGGGGAGATTGGCGAATGTGCGCAAACATAAGAAGAAGAAAGCATGAAACAGCTTGGAGAAAGGTGTCCGACATGAGGAGTAGCGTAGTACTGTCTGCTGTACCTTCCGTAGCCTAACTACTTCAATACTTTAATGTGCAGCCCCAGTCATTCTGTTTGGTATCGATGAATAGTAAAACCGAAATGTGACTACTATCACAAGCCGAATTGGTTGTTCAGAGCGAATGTTAACAATCCCAACTGGTGTTGAAGTGCAGCGTAAGAATAACTTGAACGCTTGCTATTTTCAGGGCAGTCCCAGTTCCAATATTTGTTTCCACGACTACTCGAGGGTGATACCACTATTCATATTTGCTCTACACACTAATGTACAGGGCGAAATGTGATCAATTCAACTGGCGTTAAAGTTCAGCGTAACAAACACTCACTGGTTTTGCTATATTATTGGTGCAGCCCCACTTCCCAAAGTAGTTCCCCGACTGCGGAAGGGTACCAGCGCTGTCGCGACCGTCTCTAAAGCATAATGTTCAGAGCCATTTAGAAATAATCGCTTTAGAATGCAACATATTATTGTGAATTTCGCCCAAATTTGCCGATTTCGCGCTCGTTGTCAACCCGACAGCAAAAAGACAACTCATTCTGATTGGTCAAATACTTTCAGCGTCTGAGAAAGACTGAGCCCGCCTATGCTCGGCGTGTTGCTAGCGACAGCAGCGACGACGAGTTCGCGGACGCCACTGCATAGTCATTAGTCATCTCACTAGAGAAGATCTTGCTGGCCAACACATGACACTATATTAGTTTAGGAAGCATCCTAAGTCAGCTCTGGCATCGTCGGCGTCAGGCTGCGCTGTACAGTTCTTGGTCAGCCCGGAGATGGGTCTGTCGATGACTTCCTGCTGCTTCTCCTCTTCAGGACCCTCTTCTCGGCCTTGTACTTGCGGTCCCTGTCCTTGGTTAGCAGCTCCACCTCCTGCATAACCTTCTTCTCCTGCTCCGTCTTCGTCTTCTCGCGCATATCTGCGCCTGCGTCACGTACTAGCGGTTCGAGTTGGCGGGGCCAACATCATCGGCCGTGGGGCCCTTCTCCTAGTCCTTGATCTTCACTAAGTTGCGCTCCTCGCCGAGCCATAACATGTCCGTGAAGCCATACGCACCGATCTGCTTGCGCGTCATCTTCTTGAAGCGCTCGGCCGCCTTCTGCTTCTCGCGGACCGCCGCGTCCTCAGCATCCTGGCGATGACTCTCGTGATGCTGTCGGCCTTGGTTTCCTTCTGCGCTAGTGCTAGCTCCTGCCGCAGCTGATTCTGCTGCTAACCGGCTTATAGCAGCCTCGATATGCCCTGCGTCACGGCTGCGTCATCCAGTCCGCGTTCAAGGGCGTCCTGGGCTACAGACTGCAGAGCACGCGTCGCCACGTAGTCCAAGCTGCTAAGGGAAACAGAGAATGAATCATTGGTGAGACGGCATGAGTAGAGGTGATAAGATCGAGGTGATATGACGTTCGATGCATCGCGCACCAGAAGAAACCGAGCCGCGCGATTCGCGCGGCGCGAAGCTGCTTGCGCTTGAGTACGGGCGTCGCCAACTTCAGACTGTGAAGCTGTGAAGTTCACATTTGTGGTGTGGCGCACAAAATAACCTTCATGAATACATGAATTATGTCTTAATACAGGTTTGTGCGATTGCTGCGTGATTGATTCGAAGAACCGCGCATGGAAATTTTGATTAAAACGCACAATACTGGAATAGGAAGCGACTAAGTGCTGATACCACAGCCCAAACATTGATTAATTTGAGCGCTGTCCCCCTGCCCAATCGAAACCGGTGCTGGGCCGGAAACATGTTCTAGGTCAATTTACAGTAAGTGATATCGATTGACCGAGTGTTCTCGACTGCATAAGAATGGTGGAGGCTGACCCCATTCATTTGCGTCAATATTCGTTTTATTGACTTTGCTTTAGAATCGGTTGTACGTCGTGCTCGTAGCGGTACATTGTCGGTTAGCTTCTGCGGCTGCGAAGCAGGCGCAGGAGTTGCCCGTGGGCTGTGTGGATTGCGCCAATATAAGTGCAAGCGCTTACGAACCAACATGGTTTCATATTTTGGCGCAGGTTTTACTAACATGACTAACGAGACCGCAGTAGGGGTCGTCTAGCGATCAGCTACGAGTTTAAGTCAAGTGCCCGCTCGAGAATCCAGTGTATCGTCGTTGTTAGTGGAACGCTAGGATATGTCGTTCACGTAGAAGCAACCAGTGGTGATAAAGTGACCCTAAACAGTGCGAATGATTCGACCGGCGTTTTTAATTAGGATCGTCTGAAATGCTTCAGGTTGTATTGAGCAACTTGCGGTGAAACGGTAGCTGGCCAATCCTATCCTAGTATTCGCGAAGTCCTAGGTTTTGGAAATGAGAACTTTCGTTGTGCAGCTCCAGTTTCAAAAACATCAGCGTTGGCAGATAAGTATGGTAACCGACGTGTAACGTAGGAAGTATGCGAACTTACCGCCAAACTAATATAGGCATATCATCTAATGTATTTACATTTCGCTTACATCGCAGCCGTATTTTAGCAACTCCAACGGACGGTTTTGTATGGACAGATGCATCTCCTGCTAAGTGTAGCTGCACATCTGTCAATCCCAGTACGGAAAATGAGAGGCTTTAGTTTCAACTACAATTTTAGCTTAGCAGACCCACTTCCAATATACATCGCAGCTCGTAACGCGAGTTGGATGTTAGTCTTCATATATGTAACAACAGGCTGTCCAAGCATGCTTGAGATGAGTTCGACGTACAGTGGATAGAAAGTTTTGTCTGCTACTCTTTACATGGTTAGTGTTTGACGGGCACCCTACTTGCCGCGAACGGCGACTCGTTACCTTGATTCACGTTGCTCGGCCATCTTGGTACATCCATGTACGAGTCGTCATGGTGTACATAGAGTGAATACAGTAGCCAAACTTGGCCGAGAAATTGCACGAACATGGCAGTATGTTTATATCCACTTCCCACCCCGCTGCTGGCATCCTTAAGGTTTCAATGCGCGCTGTTAGAGAATTAAGCTGGGCGGACACGGGGAGGTCCTCCACCTTCCGCTTCCGTAGTTAGTCGTATTGACGATGTTGTGGTGTAGTAGCACGCACTAAATCGTCAGATGTGGCACCCTAGCTACAAACACAACAACAGTCGAGCTAGTCGGCCCTTGTTGGCCTGCGCCGAGATGTCCCCCAGCGGGTCGGTCCTTCCGGGACAGTGATGTCTCGTCCTCGCCGAGACCAAGCACCCTAAGCCAGTCAATCACGGAAGCCAGCTGAGTTACCTGACTCCGGAATTAGAAATCCTGTGCCCTCCGCCAAAGGACGGACGACGGCCCTCGCGGGCTTTTACGGGTCGCCGAGAGGTAAGGCTTCTCGACTCAGCAATCAGTGCCCGGGACGTACGGGAACACCGGCTCGCAGCGGTGGCGAGACTTTTCCTTCGCGCTTGGCGAGACACGCGCCCAACCCGGGCCGACCTTAATCTCTTGGCGCTACCAGTCAACACCCTACAAGCTATGCCTCTCGGGTGCTGACAGCAGACATAATCCGGCCGGTGCAGGGCTTACTGGAAGCGCGTGCACGTGTTGTGGACCTAGAAAATTCTGCTCTGTTGTTTGTTATCTCTGTCGGGCGCCCTGAAGGACCGCCTCTACTATTCCGAAGCTCCTATACAAATACCAAATGAAAGTGGGCGGTTTTGGATCTCAGCCGACTCTTCACCGAGCTCGGCGACGCTTGAGCTCGGCTAAGCCAGATAACCTGTCCGAATAACCCCTTCAAATTGGCTGAGCCGAATACGGCGTGTCCGGATAACCTGGCGAACTCGGCTGAGCCGAATAAGATGTCCAGATAACCCAGTGAACTCGGAGGGGCCGGAAAAGGTGTCCGGATAACACGACGAACTCGGCGGAGCGACCCTTGGACTCGACTGGCGTCTCCCGGACTCAATTGGACCTAGTTACCGTATCTGGATGGTACGTGGTGCCGTTTAGCCGAGCTCGGCGGCTTGAACTCCCCATGACCTCGGCTGAGCGTGTCCAGTGCCTTCCTGAACTCGGCTGGGTCTTCATCACTGGTCCTGCCACGTGTCACCAGGTCGGGGCCGGTGTGCCTTGAGTCTCTGACACCATCAGTCGAGTTCAGCGGTCCATCAGCGCATTTTTGCCCACTGAGCTCGGCGGACGGTCATCCCACCGAGTAGTACTTAGCTCCTGGTACGTTGTTCCACTGCGGCCTTGGAGTGTGACACAAAACTTAATGCTCCCTACACCACAACTACCCGATGTGATGCCGGCTCCAAAAGATATTTCGCGCAACCTCTTCATCGTCGCTTGAGAGGATGAAAGCAATGCTGCTACTTGTCACGGAGTGTAACAACAGCAAGCCAGCCCTTGTGATGGTTTTCCCCTGCACACCAGCCGAGCATCGGGTGCAAACGTCCTTGGCACCATCCCTTCGGTGGCGCACAACACCACAAGCTGCGTGAGCATGGAACTCACCTTGGGCTTGGACCGTAAGGTGACGTCCCGTTTGATTGCCGCATTAAATGTCTTGCGAGGTAGTTCGTTGTAGAGAAACCGCTCGGAGAGTGGAAAGCCTGCTATCTCCAGAAGCGCTGGTCTAATCACGTCTTCGTAAAGTAGGCTGAGAAACGTGCAAGTCCAGGCATCTTTGCCCACTTTTTCTGGACAGCCGCAAGCTTCTGAGGAAATCCCTGGTCGATCGTTGAAAAGGGTAGCTCGTGGATGTCGGCCATGACGAAAGTAGCTGTTTCGTCCGGCAGGGACCGTTCTTTTACGTACCACTTATTGGTCACATGTAAGTACCACATCAGAAATTCAGTATTGTTGTCTCGGCAAAAACGTTCCCCCACTATGTTCCACTGGGTTGCGTCTGTATCACACATAAGATAGCGAACACGAAACGGCTTCCCTGTCACCGCGCTGTACACTCTTTGTAGCAGTTTGTATACCTCTGCATGCTGCTACTGTTGTTGCCGTTGGGAGACGATGAAAATAGCAACGAGGTGGATGCTCCGCGCCCGAACCGAATTGCCGACGGCCACGACTGGGTAACCCACTTGAGTCAGCTTGTACGTCGCATCAACAAGAAGAATGAACGAGTGTGGGCCCTATCCGCTCGACTTAGAAGCTTTTTCGAACATACCCCGGCTGTGAACGGGTCCCGGTCACTTCCGTTACCTGTAACGGTGTTGCCAGCGTTGTCACTCCCGGCGGTGAAGGTAACATCGGTTGATTCCTGTTCATCATCCGTGATGACAGCCTCAGGAATCGTTCTCCTTACACGTCACTCCCACCCAGGTTTCCGGTGACGTAGCGGTGGGCAAACCGCTGCACAATACTGAGACTTGGAGTGGAGACCTCTGAGCGGCCGAAACGCTGGAGGAGGCCAAAATCTCTTGGGCTTAAGTCAGTGAGCTACCCAAACCCGCACAGCTTCTATCATCGCAGGAGTCAAAAGAGGGCTGGGATCAAGTTGTTGTAGGCCACGTCCATAGTAACCTTTTGTCGAGTGAGCGGGTCATTATTTGGGCGCACCGTAGACAGTCGACGGCGACAGCCAGCGCATGGCTCGCAGACGTACACCATTCGCTGGATACGCATAGCATGAGGTGCCAGAGTCATGCATACATGATACGGAGCGAGGTCGCTCTTCCAGATGCCGTGCTTCATGAAGCCGGTCATGACAGCGTCGGCGTCGCGTTGGGGTATCGCTGTCGTGATAAGTTATCAAGGGCGGTGGGGGCGATGAGTATAGTCGGAGTCGGGCGCGGTTTTTTCATTCTTTCAGCGGCTACGTTCCATTTATGGTCAAAAAGTCTGTTTTGCATTTATTATTGGCTAGTTTTCATTTCGATGGTGTTATTCCATTCACAAGGGTTATATTGCATTTATCAAATGTCCGGGTTACTCGTCCCTAGTTCGTAGCACCCGAAGTGCCACTACGTCTAGCCTTATGTCGTCCACTTGCTATTCTGCTGAAGCTTCACGCTACCGCTGTTGTGTCGAAGATATGCATTAGTTGGGAACAATGTTGTGCCCCATTTGGAAGGAGAAATTGATCGTCCTTGCAAGAGCTTCAACTTCCAGGACAGCCAATGCATCTTGATCCTCGTACGCGATCTCCCAGAACCACTTTCCTTCACGAGTGAAGGGAGGGGGGGTTATCTTGCCAGCATAGGTCCGCTGGGACTCCTCGCCATCTGCCTCGACCACTGTCTTTTCGTTTAGCACGCTCCAGTTGATAGCACTTGCTGGTTTGTCCACAAGTCGTTTCACCGGGGCATCGACGGAGTATTGGGATGTTCTCAGACCATCTCGCTGGAGGCATCATAAGTATCTATGGACCACCCGTCGTGGTGATCGTAAATGTATGTAGCCTTTGGTGTGTCTACACCAAGGTCGAGAAAGTCTTTCGAACCTCTAACAGACGTCGTGGCTGTTAGAGTTACAAGTGACTGAAGCCACTTGTGCGTGTAACCGTGTTACAACCCCATAAGAAAAGCGAATGATTCCTATCGGCTGAAAGCAGCATCTTTTAGACAATGAGCGACATGCACGGCATTTTGCCAACCAGCTGTTGGTAGGTTCCTAACTTAGAATATTACATTTAGAGGAAGTCAGAAAGCATAACACAAAAATAGCAGTTCTCATTTTAATCCAAAAACATTATTTGGACCGTTTATTTAGATTAATCTAAACTCGGAGTCCCGAGTATAATTAACTAGTTTAAACTAAGCTACGCTTCCTCACACACGTGCGCACACGTGTAAGCTAAAATAGTGAGCCAAAGTAGGCCCATTACAGCGGTCTATCGGGAGGCCTGCGAGCAAGCATCACCGTCAAATCAAGATTGTCAATGAGGTGAAGGCATGCTAGTACATGAGCACACAGCTACCCCGTCTGGTAGAAATCTTTGCAGTCACACCTGAACTTTTTTCTGATGGTGTTGATCTCCTCCAGGGCCACAACGGAGAGTACCAGTCGTGCTCATACGGAAGTCGATCCAACACCGTCATCTTGTGCAGTGAGAGGTATCGAAGCTGGACATTCTCCACAATTTCATCACTCTGAGGA